CTTTTTATTATATATAGTAGTAAAGATATTTATAACTAAATTTATAAATTACTAATATTTACTTTAAGTTCTTTTTAAGAAATTAAATTGCTTTAGAAAGAATTTAGATTTACTCTTACTTTATTTAAATATACCTTTTTATATAATTCTACTAGCAAACCTTATAAATAGTATATAATAAATATTAAAGGTTATTATATTATTGTAAATTCTAAAGAATTAATTAATTAGAATATCTATAGAAAAAGAAGTAGAATTAAATCTACTTAATAAGTTAATCTATAATTTATATATTTTGCTGCTATACTAATCTCTAGTAAGAAAGCTATATCTTTAGTATATATAAGCTTACTAGTTGCTAATTATATTACTAAAGAATCTTATTAATAAAGCAGTAAATTAATTTAATTAGTATCTCTTATATAAATAGTTCTAAAATCTCTTTATATAAAGGCTTTAAGCTTCTTATATATACTCTAGAAATACCTAAAAGCCTCTAAGCTAAAAGCTAGCATTATAATATTTAAAGGCTAATAGTATTTTTATTCTATTTATTAAGAAGCTTATTAACTTAAGATAAAATATCTCTATAAAATACACTATACTAAAGAGATTATTAAATAGTCTCTCTAAGACTTTTAAGCTATTTATATAGTCTTAGTATATTAAAGTAGAAAATAATTTAGAATTAATTTAGAATTAATTTTAAAATAATTTAGAAATAATTTAGAAATAATTTAGAAATAATATAAAATTAGTTTTAATATAAATCTAGAATAATTATAGTATAAAGTTTAATTTATATATTAAGGTAGAAGGAATTTTTTCTATATAACTCTATACTTTTAAAAAATCTAAAAATTAGAAAATCAGAAAATTATAGTGGCAGCGTTTGCAGATGCAAGCTAATGTGCGACCGTAGCGGTTTGTAGTTAGCGATGGGGCCCATGTAGATTGCTCTGCTCTGCTCGTGTGAGCAAGTCTGTGTTGCGCCAACGTCTGGTAGGAAATTCCATGTGGGATATCACGGTACAGAGGTAGAGTAGCAGATACGCAGACCCAGTCCATGACGACACACAAAGTTTTGCGATTAGTCAAGCCCTCGTCCGGAATGCTGCTGCATCAAGAGCACACCAGTAGTCGCCGCGAGGTGGCATCGTGGTGCTCCTCTCATGTTTATTTCTTTCCGGAGCACAAGACGGAGAGCGCCTGGCGTCGCGTTTATTTTTTGGGTTATTTGCGAAAAGGGGCCCCCCGATCGATCGCGGCCCAAAGCAATCTCGCACCTCGACGTGGAAAATGGAAAACGGGGGAAAAAATGAACACGCCGTGTGGGCATGAAAACAGGGGCCCCGGGTTTTCGCACCCGTTGGGCTGGACTGGGCACAATGACTCATCGATGCGGGCATGTTGGTGTTATGATATCCGCGTGTCTGCTATACAGAGAGAGGACCTGCCTGTTCTGCATGGGCATCCCTGGCAATACGTCTCACTGTTTGTTATGCGGGCAACCATAACCATCATCATTGTCATCGGCACATCGTCGTGGCTCCCGTCAGGAGAACAGGCGAAAAATCATGAGAGAAATCATGACATTAAACATGGGGCTACAAAGTAGCGGCCCCCGACCCGGCTCTATAGTCCTCTACTCCGTCCAGATTTTACCCCCAACGCCAAACCAAAATGGTAAACCCAAAGTTTTTCCACACAAGGAGCCATCGAGAGCATGAAACGCCATTTCCCCATTGCATCAGACTCCATTTCCTTCCGCGCCTCCCGCCTCTCCCTTCTCCCTCCGGCCGCAGTCCAGAGTCATGCCTGTCGTGCTCTCGTCATGTAATGCTCGCCATGTGATACACGGGCCTGTTCGCCAGGGCCCTTGGAACCAGCTCATCCGCAAACGAATGGCTATTACCCATCCTGCGCGCTTCGTCTCTCGCCCCCTCGTGACAAGCAAGAGTGGTATTCCTCCCCTCTGAACCGAAAAAATGCACCGTTCAAGCGTGTTGTGTTGCGCCACTTAGATCCTCATCGAATCGTTGTCAAAGCCGCTGTAAATCATAGGGTCGCCCATGCCCATCATGGCGTCGGTATGGGGACATGACAGGATGTCGGGTTTGATGGTGCCGAATTCAGGGTCAATCATGGACTGATGGTTCATCATCCCCACGCTCCGTAGGGAGTCGGCGTGCTGCAGGAAGTGCACTGCCAGTCCACTGTTTTGGGATTTGGGCATGGACCACGTGGAGAAATTCGGCATGGACTGGTTGTGCGAGGCGAACATGGCACTGGGGTCCATTTCTGGCACGGTAGGACTGAAGTCGAAGTCGTTGCTGCCCGCGTAGCTCTGCGGTGATAGAGTCATGGCGTTGCCGCTGCCGAACGCGGCCTTGCGGTAGTCCTCAAAGTCGGAATGGTCGAGCTCGGAAGACGAGGCACGGTCGTTTCGCTGATAGCTAGACGAGTCTGTGTCCTTGACGTCCCTCTGACTGTCGCCGTCCTTGCTCTGTTGCTCCTCGAGCTGACGGGCGAGTTCCGTCATGCCAGCCTCGTCCTCGGGAAACACCGAGTGCACGGGGAGGTCGACGTCGCTGTTGGGCCGGATGCAGCCGAGCTTCTGCGCGATGTCGTGGATGACGGGCAGGCCACGGTCGCTGAGGTCGGGCTCACCAAGATCCCACGGCTGTGAGTTGCGAACCATGTTGTACAACTTGTGAACGGTAGCGATGAGGGCGAATTGCGTGTTTTCAAGAACCTCGGCGTATCTGGCCATTACTCTGTCAGCGCAAAAGAAGACGAAGAGACTGGGGCATTCGTGCGATGCGAGACATGATGTCACATACCCTCGAGGCAGCTGCTTGTACTCGACCTTCTTGCGCACTCCCGCAGTGCAGACAAGACCGTCGTCTTTGCATCTCTTACAGGGAAATTCACCGTCACACTAGCAGCCGTGATGTTAGTTTTTTTATATTGTTTTTCTTAACATTTCATTTATCTCATTTCTCGTCTCTGTAGAGGCAAGGGGGAGAAAGAATCCACTTATATCATGGTTCACAGTACCTTTGTCTTTTTCATCCTACATCTCTCACAAGCCTTCCAGACTCGCTTATGTCGGCCATCCATGCCAGCAGCGTGGGCGACATGGTCATGATGGTGAACGGCAGCAGCACCAGTACTAGCACGCTTGGAAACACGACTCGTGGACTTGACCGACTTTGAGGCGGACGAGCTCTTTCTTGAGGCGCCGGATTTATTCTCCTCCGCCGGGGGCGACGGTAAGCTATGTGATCCCATGATATAAATGTGAGAGTGAGTCGGAGTGAGGGCCGGCCTGCAGAGTACGGACAGCGAGCTCGCGGCTAAGTATGAACAAGATGATGGAGACGGCAAGCTCGTTGGGAAGTAGAATGCGAATTTAATTCCAGGTCCTTGCCAAACTGGTTTGTAATTAGGGCAAAACCGGGGGGGGGGGGGGCAGGAGGGGGGGGGAGGGGGCAGGTTATATAAACAGCCATGGCGAACGTGTAGGTGGGAAACGGCCTTTGGACCGGAAAGGCGAAAATGACTCGACGGCCCGAGGAGAGGGGCGCGGGCTGATTAATGAATGAGTTACGGACGGACGGACGGAGTAGTTACATGCTCAGCACCAAGTACCGACATGGAAGTAGTGAGCAGTACTCTGTAGGGTCAACTGCCTGCCCTGCCCTCCTGGGCCCTGTCGTCCTGTCCTGTCCTGTCCTGTCCTGTCCTGTCCTAGGGCAGCGAGGTCAGCTTGGACTCAGTCTCACATCATCGTCAGGGATCAACCATGGCTTTGGCGGTGATGAATCGACTGCCTGCTCGAGGGCATCGCTCGCTGGTTGCGTTTTGCGCCTCTCTGGGCTGGGCTTGGGCTGGCCAGCCAAGGGCTGCAAGATCGAGCCAATGCTGGTCTGCGAGGCCGAGTATCGCGCAAAGTAGCGCTCCGAGGGGTGTGGTTAGAGACCCGCCAGCCAGCTGTCTGACTGCCCGTCAGTCCTCCAGTCTGCCAGTCTGCTGTCCTGTCGGCGGCGTGTTCATGTCCGAGATGGCGAGACAGGACCGGGGGGGGGGGGGGTTTTTCTTCGCGTGGCCTGGGCCATTGCGTACCAGACGCTGGGGGCGCGCAAAGTAGCGCTCCGAGGGGTGTGGTTAGAGACCCGCCAGCCAGCTGTCTGACTGCCCGTCAGTCCTCCAGTCTGCCAGTCTGCTGTCCTGTCGGCGGCGTGTTCATGTCCGAGATGGCGAGACAGGACCGGGGGGGGGGTGCGTTTTTCTTCGCGTGGCCTGTGCCATTGCGTACCAGACGCTGTGGGTGGAGCCACAGGGAATGTTGCTTGGCTTCAACTGTCGACATGAACTGACTGGCCTGGCTCATGATTTTTTTTCCCCACCAGTCGATAAGTAGCCCGGGCAATCTGCTCGCAATAGCGTCAGACTCGACACGTCCGGCCCATCAGCCCTGCATTCAATGTCATCGCTGATCAATTCCTTGCAAGACATCGTCATTCGACAACTTTGCAGCGACTGTTTTCCATGAGGCCTTCGTCAAAACGTGCCGCGACGACCCAGCCAAGAGTGCTCCCAAGTCCCAACCACGTAACGAGACCGGCTTCGACCAGGATGCTTGTCGTCTTTGGCCCTATACTCTGCAGTCTGGGCGGCTACCCCTTTCCGACCCTTTCCAGCCATATCCTCGTCAGCGAAGCGCATGTTTTAGCTGCTCAGACCGGTGCTGGTGTGAGTTTCAAATGGTACGTGGTACGTGGTCCGCTTACACAGCGGCCATGTGCATCATTGATCTCTTCTTGCTTCATCGGCCATAGCTTTCCGAAGACTTCGTATGCCCCAACTCTTATTTTTCCCTTTGTTTTCTTGACCCCCAGTATCTTCTGTCCTGACGTCCTCGTCTAATTTTAGCCTTAACTTAACGGTTGAAACGGTTAAACCTCCTCCCACCCCCCACTCGCGTTCGCAATGCATGACGACTGCACTCGCCTTGATAGCGGGCGCCTGATATGCAAGTGTCTTTACATCACGCCTGGCAAGTCGGCATAGCCCAGAATTGTCTCACCGACCCGTCGTGTCGGAACTACCTTTGGTGGCAATTGGAGCTGCTACTGGAGCTCTTACTCGTGAATATTGACCCCATGTTCTCGTCATTGATGTCGACAATCACTACCAAGACATTCCGTCGCGTTTGAACTAATACCGGCCGCTGTGCAGACGACTTCTGTTGTGTCTGCGAGCCATGTTCTTTCATCTCCCTTTGACCGGACAATGCAATGCAAAATTTAGCCTCGTTACATACCTTAGTTTCCTTCCATCATGGAATCATCGATGAAAACGGCTCGCGCCCAGGAACCAGGACCGCACCATCGTCGCTAGTCAAGAGACGACTTATAAAAGTCGTCCTATTGCAACACAACGGCTCGGCGTCTTGTGGCGTATTTAAGCGAGACGAGACGGAACCGCCATGAACAGGTGCCGTCGCCGAAGAATTCTGTCTCTCTTCCCAGGTTGAGGCGGAGTTGCATACAAGGCAGGATCCCACATGCCGTTTTTGCAGTCAGTGTTGTGAGTGAGCTTTGGGTGAACGGAAGGGTGGGAGGACAACGGAAAAGTATTACACCACCAAGAGGTTTCTGGTTGGACGCCTTAACAGATTCCCGGCCAAGCCTCGGGCATTGAGGTGCATTTTAATGGGCCGTCAGTGCCATGCCGCTGGGCACTTGGGCAATAGCCAAGCATTACCAACCAAACCAGTCAGCACTTGGGTTATCTCTCGCCGTTATGGAGCTCCAGAGCAGCCATTCCCCATCCCATTGCCTGTGGGCTCTTCCCACTTCGTTGGGTCCGAAGCCAGAGCAGCCCCGTATCAGCCACGCGCAGGTGGTGATTTGAGGCAGGAAGCTTGGGTAACCAATTGGTAATCCTCCGCGACAGCTTATATAACTGCATGGGGCTGGGTACCAAGCTCCTTGTATAGGATTGACTGTTCATACTTATGAGAAAGACGCCAGTGTTGCCCCGCCGGACCTGTTGTCTTCTCCCCTTTTCTTTCTGACCCGATCGATGAACGAACTCTCTGCTGGGTCCCAGGAAGTCTGGCGGGGAATGTTTTTGAGTCTTTCCTTGTCCGGCGTCTGCGTGGTTGGCGCGTGCTACGACCCCTTGTGGATGACATGTTTTGTGCATATTCACATGGCCGTTGATACAACTAACGAGACTGAGCCACGGGTGAGTGATGTTGGCCTCGCTAGCGTAGCTGAGCGTGCTGTCAGTGGTCCGCTCGCACAACAACGCCGTGGCTTGAGAATCCACGGACTTACATCGCGCTTCCCCCGATGTGTGTGTGTGTGACTGACGATGGCTGTGGCCGGTGGAGTCCGGACATTTCTTATAGCCGACCCCGACCCAATCCAAGTCCCGCGGGGACACCTAGTTGCCATTTCGCACCTTTAATGAAAAGCCCTCGGCGATTCATTTTGTCATAGATAATTCATCAGCTCATTAGATTACACCATGGCGCCAGGGGCACATTTCCTTACGCTATGAGTGTTCGACTAAGATGGAGCAAGTTCTTGCCTAGTTTGAAGCCTGGCACAATCCCTTGACCTATTTATTCTTTTAATCGACGCCTCGCCTAGTCAGTAAGCAGTTGATGATCGATCGCTGTCTGGTCGGTTGATAAATCGTTCTCGAGGCTAGTGCGTGCCTCACCACGTAACCCTTGCAGAAGTCCGTAGGCAAGTATTTCTGTCTGCACGAACCCCCCCACCCCTCTCCCCAAAGACAGCGAAATCGGCGTCCATAATTTGTGGCCCGGCTGTTCCAGTTTTTCTGTGCGCCTCGCCGAGGCTGGCGTTAGCCTCCCGACGCGGTTTTGTACGTCTTCTTTGTGTGTTCCGACGTGTGACGTGTGTCAAGGGCCGCGGTTGGACGTGCGCATGTCTATTTCGTCCGGATCATACAAGGCTACCTCCAATTGCCTTCAACCAAATCCACAAAGGAAATGTCTGCAGGATCGATCGAAGACTGTAACTCGGCCGAGGCTGTCCGTAAGAACGCAAAGAGTCGACAGCAGAAGTTCCTTGCATGTCTCTTCGCCACGGCCGGACCGCACAATTAACGCAGGGCACTCGGGCGTTTTTCGAACCGAGAAGCTTGCCATGAGAGAAAGCCGTAGCGGGCTGTCGATGGCGAGGGAAGATTGATTTTTCTTGGCATACAGGCCAGGCGGGAAGAAACGGCCGAGCAACCAGACCTGAATGGCGTGATGAGCACCGAGTAGTTACCACTACCAGTCTGTGTTATGGTCGGCAACCCCAGCCGGACGGCACCGCGTGCGGGAATAACTGCTCAATCAATGGGAATAACGCCCCAACCTGCACAGCAAGCCGTGTCGGTATCTGGGACCATCTCCTGCTCCATCCACGTCAGCTGTACGGAGTAGCACTTGACGTAATGTGCTCGGTAGGTGTATTATCTTCTTCTTCCTCTCCTTCTTGGCGCGAGACGGCAGTGAATAGCGGGTTTGTACATATCCAAGGCTGTAGTACGGCCCTCGATACTTGTGCCAAATACTGCGTAGCCCAGTGGGATTTGGATGACGATGCCTCCACGCATTGTCATGACTAGGCTATTCACCAAGTAGGACGTAGAACAAAGTGGCAGGCGCCCCACCCAAGGCCTCCGCCCACGCCTTCCTTGCGGAGCTGGAAGAACTTTCATGACCAGGCGGTCGCCAGTCCGCCAGTCTGCCAGTCGAAATCCCCCCTGTCGATGCCAGAATGCCTTCGTAATTCCCAATTCCTTTGCTTCGTGGGAGGGGAAAAAGATATCATCATCTCTGGCGTCGGTGGTTTAGTTTTGAGCCACCACGAGCACGAAGCCACTTCCCTCACAGATTCCACACCCCAACTGCCGGCCGCAACAGCTGCAAATATCATCACCGGATTTGCACCCAACTTCTAGAAGCTTCAACAATGACTTCGGATTCTTCGTGGGCCGCAAGAACACTCGGTGCAGCTTTGGGTCCCAGACGTCGCAATATTGGCAAAGCCTGACCACCTCGTTGGCTGCTACAGCCACATAGCCCGCAGAGTCTGCAAAAAAGTCGGTTCGGTTCCGCTTAGTATCATGATGCTTTTGGTTCCGGCTGTGAACCCCAACTCCGCCCGACGACGTAACCCAGCTCTCAACGCACATCAGGATTGGTGTCGGCGAGGATTCAATCAGGAATGTTCAATGGCCTGAAGCGGGCCCGCGTCTGCTGCATACGACCACATGGCTCTGCAACCTGCGCAACCTCGGGTGCTGCATGTCACGCGCCTATCGACCTTTTCACCACCTGAACCCTGCCCGAACTTGGTAGTAAGATGAAGTTGATGATGGACCCCGACGACCAGGGATCCCGTATGACGGGATCAGTACGATGGTTTGGTCGTTTCGCGACCGGGGCCGGTGCTTCGCGCTCCGATGTATGGCCTCCGTCGCCCCCAATTGACGAGCCAGCCAACAATGTCGAGGCATTTTGCCTCTTCAGTTGGGGGCTGAGTCCTGACATGGCCTTGATTTGAGCCGTGCGGCCAATTACAGGACTTGGTCTCTCGGGCCAAACTCGCCTGTGTCGGCGCCGAGACACGACCGCAGCGCTCAGCTTGTGCCATCAAAGTTTCCGGGCCAAGAGCCCAGTCAGCCAGCGGCTTACATCTCCCTCGCCCTTCACGTCATACAACATGGCGTCTCTCGTGAGCCACCCGTGTCTCATGACCGCCAGCAGCGCCCGTGCCAGCAGCGAAATCGCAGGGCCGTTGGAGCGACCAAAGAGCCCGTAGGCCAGGAAGAAGAAGGGGTTCGGACATGCTCACGCCGCCCCAGTCGCATGACGTGCTCGGAATTTGCACGATTATACTACTACTATGTAGTACGTTCCATGTATCAAGATGTTTGCGGTCCAAGTCCGACTGCGCCTTGCTCAAAGTTTTCTGCATTTCCAAAGATATCGCCCCGGCCGCTGCGGTGGCTGGATTCACGGTTAGCGTTGTGCGCCTTTTGGAAAACGAAGCTGGTCCATTTTTATCATGACTCCATTATTCTGTATTTCCATCTTTCTGCATCGGTTCTCCGATGTCTTGATTCACGCCTCACCCCTCGCCACTACTTCCGCCCTCCTTCTTGTCTGATAGCCGACCAATGTGCGCATTCTCGCTTCACGCCGACATCAGGTGACTAGGAGAATAAAAACCGACGCTCCGTTCCCACGAATTACTGAAATTATATCCAAACGTTGTTTTGCCAGGGGCCATGATGCAGGCAGGACCAATCTAGAGCGCCCATTGGTGCTCGGAAGATATGAGACGGCGCACTATGTACGGAGGTCGTCGGTCAAACTCCGCGGATGTTCGCAGACTGGTGCCCACCAATCTAGGAGAGAGGGGGGACGGAGCCGCTTCCTGGACCTTGTTTCGATTCTTTCCGGCAGTCGACGTCCTTTCTCATCGAGGATCTGCCACGCTTGGGACATTGGTCGGTTAAACGAGGAAAGCCGGCTGTCAGGGGCGAGGCCCATAGTCCCGCTGAAGATGTCGCTGACAAATTGCGACTCGTGACTGTCCTGGCAACATGAGACATGGCACCACGTCATGGAGTGTGATGTACGAAGTACAGTAATCGTGCCCGCCCCACTTTATGTGGTTCGGCTAGCAAAAGCCCTCACCACCAAAGGTGGTGCTCGACAGCAAGGCGGGCCGGACACCAAGGCGGGCCAATTTTCAACCTAATAACGCTATTAACCTCTTCGCCTATAATGTACACCCTTCTCGTCCCAAATTTCTAGTAGATCTAGTACAGAATCCAGACGCCATTTACGTGCCTTTTTAGCTGCTTCAAAAAACGTCCTCTTGGCGTGGTTGTGGCGCCTTTTGTCGGCATGCTCTTTATGCTTGCTGTTCGCCTGATGAACTCGAGAAAGGTCTTTGCAAAGGCGTGATTGGAAGGAGAAACGGCGAATGGTTGACGCGACAGGTATGCATTTGTTGGCGGTGACGGGAGGGGAGCCATATGAAGAGGTGCATTATCTGTTGACTGTTTTTCTAGACCGGGAAATAAAAATAGGACATGTATAGAAAACCAGATATTACAGCCCTTTTTAAAAAAAAAATCAAAAAAATCAAAGGTCGTCACTCATTCATTGGAAGCTTCAACGAAAAAAAAAACCCCGGATGTAATTACGCAGCTCATTAAAGATCCACCTGATCAATCGCCGGCCACCATTGAGACCAGGCCCCCTGCTCGTCGAGGTTATTGCTGACTTCCGCGAAAAGCTGGTTCAACAAGGTATTAGTGTCGAGCTCGTGCTCGTGCTCGTGCTCGTGCTCGTGCCCTTGAACCGGCCAAGTCGCCTGCGCCGAGGGCCGCTCCGCGCCCCGAATCTCCCGAGTATGCGCGTCGGATCTATCCACGACACGGAACTCGTGGACAGACTGGTGTAGAGTATCAAAGTCTGCTCGTGTGCGCCCCTGGTATCGTGTCCGGTCCTCGGTTGCTCGCTCGTAGAGCACGGATGCATGGTGTATCGTTTTGATCTTGCGCGTGCCGCCCTCTCAATGTTAGCGCAACGGTGGCCACGGTCGTGTCATGCTTGCGGGCGGCTTACCCATCCGTCGGCGATTTTCCAGACAAGTCGAAACTTTTCCAGGTAGTCGAGACACATTTTGAGACAGTCGCTTGCTCGCGGGCTGCGGCCCAGGTTCATTCGGGGGTATTTCGCCACGTAGAGGTTGAGGTAGCCGGCTGAGAATGCGCAGAACCCGGCAAAGGGCGTCATGAGATGCACGCCACACTCGGAGGCCTCGTGTAGAATGGCGGCGATGTGCTCTGCCGCGCCGAAGAGGAGTCGGGAGCTGTCGTCCCACCAGCCCTCGGGGGCGGGCGCCCCCAGCATGGGCTGGTCGACTGGACCCCGTGGCTCCGACTCCGGGGTCGGCAGGAAGGGGAAGTACTCGCGGTGAAGCATGAGGGTGCTGACAAGGCGTAAGCAGGGGCGGCGGCGGCAAGTTGGGAGCCCCGTCGACCGCTACCGCTGTGGGAAGGGGATTCTTACCTCACGTAGTACAGGAGATTGAGGTAGACGACCCGAAAAAGTTCTTCTCTCAAGTCTTCAATCGTCGGCACCCCTCGTCGTCTCCCTTTAAGCCGCCTGGCTTCAGCCGCAACACCAAAAGCAGCCATCGCGATGGAAATTCTCTGTACGCGACATTGTCCAGCTTGCACAGTAGTCTACTCATCGCTGTTGCCTTTTGCCACCTACTCCGGGAAGTCAGAACGCTCACCTTGCTAGCGTCATTTTTACTCTCTCAGTAACTGCATTATTTATTTATTTGTTATTTGTTTTTTTATCATTATTGCTACTACGACTATTTTAAACAAATAGTGCACGCATCACAGCGCGCCAGGGCTGGCACATTGCTCCGAATGCTCCTGATGATCCCTTCAACAGGCAGGCTTCAGGGATCTTGCGCCCGTTTTGTCCCCCCATTTGCACCGAGACACCAGGTGGCTGCCAAGGCCATGGCACCGATGATGACTCGCGGGAATCGAACCATGCAGCACGACATCGTTCACCCATTACTCGGGCAGGCTTGTCGTGCAGACGGTGTGGCGGCCGGACTATCATCGGGGCATTGGCAAACGGAGCAAAGGAGCCCGGGACCCGCCGCATCGGACGCGGAGACGGACCAGGACCCACTCGCCAAGAGCGCAACGCAACCGCCCCCGGGGCTCCCTTCTTCCGAAAGCCTTTGATCCCTTGCCAACATGGCAAATTGATTCAACCACCGTCCTCGAGATCTGGTGGATCGTATCGGGCCGTGGCCCTCACACGCCTCAACCTGACGCGATGGCTTTGGTACAAACCTCTGGTCAACCAATGAACGGCTGTTGCCGTGTGTTGCGGCACCAACGTTTGCAGCTTTTGGACGATAAACCGCCAAGACTCTACCACATTGGGCGGCCAAGGGTTTATCAAAGTTTACTGTCGCAGGATTCATCGCTAAACGCCACAATAACATCCCCAGAGAGACTAGTACTTGGGGTCTGAATCTATACTGCAGCGCTTAGCAACCTTTGACTTTGATGGCTACAAAGAGCCTTTTTCTAAGGGGAGGGGGGGCGATAGCCTGCTTCGTCAGCTCGTATCAAGGTTTCTTTTTACGTCTTCGACAAGTCAGTGATGGCGCCTGAACGCTTGCCGCACACTCCCCACCAATGTCCTGCAACGTGGAATTTTATTTTGTTTTTGTTTTTATCTTCATGTTTTTTTTCTGCTTCCTTCTTCGACGGCCTGCTGAGCGCTCTCCGTTATGTGATCAAACGTCGTTGAACAAAATGATGCGCGGCTCATCTTCGTCAAAGACGGTCCACGTCCATGCCGCGCTGGGTAGGTAGCTAAACAAGGGAGATGACGACATGCCATAGCTGCCCCTTCTGAAAAGATGGGCATGTTCGCTTCGCAATCGTTGCAGAGAATCCGGCGTCGCGAGAGACAAGAAATGATCTCGTTTCTCCCCCTTGGGGAGAGCACTGGTTTCTACAGGTTAGCCGCGCCGCCGTGTCCATATCGCAGCATTGCACAGGTTGACTGAGCACTTACAGTCCGTTCCCAAACAAGCCATGGCACAGACTGGGTTCCTTGACAAGCAGGCCCCGAGCCCACGTCGCTTGGCGCCCCTTTTCAATCGCCCCATCGATCCTCTCCTGAAGCATGGGATAAAAGGGCCGCAGAGACTGCAGCGCAAAGATAAATCCAGGCGCACCATGGCAGAACTGCACCAGTCTGTCTGAATCCTCCTTGTCCTCATCCGTAGCAGGCCAGTTTCCACCGTCAGCCTGCATGTCGAGCAGCTCCTCAAGTCGGGTCCTCAGCCTGGGTGCCAGTGAAGGATCACTGAGCACGATTTGCGTCATGACGCCGATGTCTCCGTGGACAGCGCCGTAGTACCGCTTCCCTTTCCACAGCCAGCCGCCCTTGCTGTTGTCCCTGGATTCCAGAATTCTCTGGCATATCCTGCCAATTGCTTCGTCTATAGGGTCCGCGCTGCTCGGAACAAATCGTCTCACCATTCGAAGCAAGTATAGCACCGCGGCGCGGCCATACAGCATCTCACTGGGGAACGGGTCCTCGCCTTTTGGCGTCGGCTCCACTAGCCTGGGCACGTTTTCGAGGAACGTAGCCACTGCCTCTTCGCTGCCGGTAATGCTGGCCCTGACGGCCTCCCAGGCGAGCTTCTCGCACATGAGGCCACAGTTCTTGTCTTGTACGTGTTGAGGGCCACGATCGCCGGCCATGTACCTCTCCGCCCAGTACATGCACCCGTGGCCATGGATCTGTAGGTCGGCGTGTTTCTGGGCCATTCGAAGAAACAGGTACGCCAGCGCGGTGTGCCCGGCTGCGAGACCCAGGTTATTGTCGTCCTTTTCCAAAGGTGGATTTTGCCGCACGATGCCCTCTAGACTCTGCTTGAGGAGTGAAGCCGTGTCGGCCGTCAGCGGTTGCAGCGACATGGTATTGGGGAGGTATGCCTGTGCCATGATGCCTGATGCTTGAAATGTGAGTGTGGTTGTCTCATCGTAGGTCTGTATAAACGTGCCAGGGCGTCCTTGATAGTCGACATGTCGGGAGTCTGGACCTCCGAGACGGGACACCAGGCGGCATGTCGCCTATCTGCTTGCCCCAGAGCTCGGGCGTTCACTGACGGCTGGCATCAACTGGGCATCCAGAAGGTGATGTCGACGTGACGTGATCTGTCACATGCACATGCACATGCACATGCACATGCACATGCAGGTCTGAAGTGTGAGCTGTGAGCTCCGACTTCTGACTCCGGCCAATGGCACTAGTCCGAAACCGAACAACGGCCCACCGAAGACGGCTCATCAACCTAGTATGACGGCATAGACGACGTGATCTGCCTCGTCATGGACTCATCATGGTTACAAGCACCGTGATACATCAAGGCCAAAACTCCCAACGCTGCGCTGCCAGACTAGATCGCCTTCGCAACTTGATTGGGCTCAGAAGCCACTCAGTATACCTCCTCGAGTGCCGTGCCAGGACAAGCTGCGCGGAGAACAATGGCAGACAACGTCAAGGGCGGCAAGTCCAGAAGCAGCCGAGTCGTTGACTCCGTCAATGAGAAGGCCCAGGGAATCCTGTAGGACTTTCCCCGCCCGTCGTTGACTTGAAAACTGACATGTCATAGGAGGGAAGACCTTCACAAGGCCAAGGACGTGGCGTATCAAGCGCTCAAGAGCAGGGCTTATCTGTATCCCATCAAGGTAACTACAGTCTTCGGTAATCACCGCGGTTGAAGCAACGCATCGTGCTGATCTCCTCCAGGGTATTGCTTACTTTCTCTCGCACAAATCTCTCTGGAGACCGTTCATCTCCAAAATCGGCTCGTATCTCACTCTGTCTGCGGGTGTAATAGGCGGCATGTTTGCTTTCACCTACCTTCCACAGCTTGCCGTGCTCATCTTCACGAGCGGTCCACTCGCCGTCTTTTCTACGGTTGTGCTCGTACTGAATGAAAGTTCAACTATCACAAATTTAATCTCTAGGAACTGGATCCTTCAGCAGTCAATCCTCGACACATTTGACGGCACACTGATCTCCAGAAATGCTGTCAACATGGTCCGTGAGGGCCGCGAGGTCAAGTCTGGAAGCGACCCGATGAAGAGGCTGGGTAAGACGTTGAAGAGCCCCTTCACAAAGTTTAGTCCGACGGCTATTATTCGATACATCATGTATCTGCCTCTTAACTTCATCCCTGTGGTTGGCACAGCCATGTTTCTCTTTCTTCAAGGTATGAGGCCGCGTTGCCCGTCATAGGAGTTCCAGGCTAACAATTCGTGTAGCCCGAGCCAGGGGGGCCCTCGTTCATGGTCGTGTATGTTTGTCTGTTTTTTTTTTTTTTTTTTTTTTTTTTTCGTAAAACAGTACTTCCAGCTGAAGAATTGGTCGGCTGCGCAACGCCGCGAATGGGTAGAAAGACATGCCGGCGCCTACACAGCGTGAGTAAACCATCGCCTCATCAACTGAGCTCCTTAGGCGCTTCCCCAGCTCAGCTGACAATTCAATTGCCCGTCAGCTTCGGCTTTGTAGCCACTTTGCTGGAAATGGTGCCCGTTGCCAACATCTTTTTCACCTACACCAACACTGGTAAGACCATCGCACAATGGCTCCGAAGCATCGTTGATGGTAACAGCTAGCAGTCGGGGCCGCATTGTGGGCCGCAGATATCGAGGAGCTAAACACAAACATGACGGATGAAACGGCACCGACCCTTCGAGAGGCGGCAAAGAAGGCCCAATAGCCGAGACGTGCGACAGCATACATTAATTCCTAGGGTCGGATAGGCTAGACCTGTCACTATTTCTTATGTCACTTCATCATTCAAGGCGAGCTTCCTCCTTGGTAGCTGCTGGCTTGCGTGCAGGTAGACGAACGTCGCCAATGCGGTCCAACGTCTTGAATGTCATCGTCTAGTCCAGGGAAGCCAACGTTTGAAAGAAAAGATCTGGTGCTAGTAAGCAAACTTGAGTCAGTATTGTATCTTGAGCTATTTTTGAGGAATAATTAGACCGTAGGCCTTGGGACTTGTCGTCCCGCCATTTGTGTCGATGCTGAGACCAGACCCTTGTTGCTCATCCACTTGTTTGACGCATTGGCTCGAAACTAGACTCCCTTCACGTTAATCTTCTACCAAACTCGACCGCGTTTTTTTTTATCAGAGTCGCCACTCCGGAATATCGTTTGCCATGCCGGCTGGACCTTGGGAATAGGGGGCTGTGAGACCGTTGGAAGCGAACACGGTGTATTCGACTTCGCATTGTCTGCAGGTACACCATCGATTGTGCAACAGTTCCACGGCTGTCTGCATACTTGGCGACGACGGACAGCCACGAACTGTTTCACAACTCACTTCCATCTTACATGTCCCACGAACCGAATATCCTCCAGCAAGGAATCCACTTCTACGTATTTCTCCAGGTAGATGTGTTGATGGCGTCACAAGGAGCTGTATTGTACCACAGACATGTCGAGAAACAAATGCCAAAATGGTGTATATTCGGTAATATGCTGCAGTCCAGAGCTGAAATAGTCAAAATGGCTGAACCCCGCTGATCAAAAGTTTGCTTTAACACATAGAAGCAGGTCGCCTATGGTGTTTTGTCTCACAAGAGACGTTGCTCGAGATGGGTCAAACTTACATGCATCCATAGGAGCAACTGTAGACGCACGCACAGGCCGTAAACCAGCATGTTATTCATGACTTGTGTGTCCGAATGTGAATCCAAGGGGATGGAAAGCTTTGTTGTCATCAGTCTGTCGACAGCTGTTGTACTCCGCGCCCATCAGGTCGGCCAAGAAATGCCAGTCGTGCCTGCCGTAAACGACTTGCCAGCTGGCACAAGTGATTCGCCTGCAGCCGACAGTTGACATTGATGAAAAAGGCCCTCTCGTCGCGCTTTTCCAAGTTTGTTGTCTTCATCTCTCGCGCCCCGGCCGCACCTTTTTTTCGTTATCAACTCTTGGTCTTTCCTGTACCTCCAGCCTTTGGATCCTCAGCCATTGAGACATCGAGCCGATTTGGAGTTACAGATTCTTTCATTCTTTCCAATTTGATACCATACTTTCGTTAGAATTGCGTTGGTACTCGCCTGTCCTATATACAAGTTTTCTTTCTCGAAGAATCCTGGATATTTCGACACTCATTTTTGTCCCTACGTAGCGGGGTTTTCCACGACCTTGGCAGCTTACAGTCTGGTCAGATTGGTTTTTTGCCGCCTTTGCTGCTCGATGAAGCTGCCAATGATACTCGTGGCCTTGGGCCCAGTTCTTTACCTAGGATTTCTTGTTTCCTTCTCGCAGGCTTTCGGTAATCCTTTCAAGGACGGAGCCAATGTTGAGCCACGTCTTCTTTCCGGTGTTGGCCGTCGTGATTCACCTCCAAATTACGGGCCTCCGAGCTATGGCTACGGATATCCGCCTCCGTACGAATATGAGACTTCAACTACGGCAACAACTTTGACTACCAAACCGGATTCTTCTGTCACTCGTGAGTATTCCGCAGACATGTAAAACAGATTCTGGGCCTGACACTACGGAAATTCCAAGATTTTACTTCGGTGACTACCGTCAGCACAGTTCTGACCGTCACGAACCAGCCTTCATCGAAAAGTGACGAAAATACTACCAAGTCGACTCAGGTTTCGACTGCAACAAGATCGGCAGGCACCGAGTCCGAGTCTGTATCATCATCTACGGAACCCAACCCTTGGGTGAAAAGCTCAGCGTTGGGGGTGACAGGGGCTTTGACTTCATCTAGTTCCACAGACCTGGAGCATTTGTCTTCTGCCGAAACAGACGCAACCAACTCCGGATCCGTGACCGGCACTCGTTCTCCCTCGAGTCTCTCATCTGCTGCCACAACTACGCTGACTTTCGATACAGCTGTAGGAACCAAAACTTCGACCTTGACTGCTGAAAGCACATCTACCAGACTCAAAAATGCAACAATTACTACAAAGGTAACTGTGACCAGCTCAGCAGTCTCCTCTCCCTCGTCATTTGAGAGTTCAGAGCCGCCCATTACTGCAAGTTTGAGTTCTACAGATGAGGGCTCTACTCCTTCAGCGACAACTCATTTCACCGCGACAGTCACTGCGATAGTCACAAGTACTCAAAGCGACGATATCAGAGAGTCGTCCGGGTCGTCATCTTCATTATGGAGTCCGCCGCCTGAAGGCACAAGGGCGCCTTCAATGTCGCTTATCACAAGAACGATCACCGTTTCTTCTCCAGAAGTTGTGACGACTGTTCTTGGGTCGGCATCGTCTGAAAGCACTAGTATTGGAGAGAGTCACACAAGCGGCCCCAGCGCCAGTCGAAGCTCTGCTAGCTCTTCAAGAACATCGACCGCAGAAACTGACGGCCTTTCAAGAACCAAATCATACTTCTCCTCAACCTGGACGAACAGAACAATTGGTATTTCTACGACTATTTCGTCATTTGTTGCCACCCGGGGCTCCCCTCTGCCAGGCTCCGTTTCATCCAGGCCAGGCAGCGTATCGCCAGTTACTGGTACAAGTAGGACGGGTGCGACTGTGTCTCTTTCAGTCACTATTTCTCATCAAACCGAGACTAGACCCTCTTCTCCGGGAGTATCTAGAGGCACTGTTTCAAACACTTCTCCGAGCCCGCCATTTCCAGTGCCATCCAATTCGACCATCTCGCCCAGTAGAAGCTCCGATTCGCCATGGATGAGTTCCACTGCTTTAGGTACAGTCGTTTCCCGTACCGACTCGCGGCAGCCGATCCAAACAACTGGAATATCCTCAGCCTTGACAACAAAGACGATGACTCTAGAATCTACGCTTCCTCCGTTCCAGAATACCACCACTACTTCCCTCAATAGTAGTCACCAGAGCCCATGGAGGACAACCCTTGATCAGACGAGAACTATCACGAGTATAGTTTTGAGTAGCTTTCCCTCGCATTCTACTGAACATAACTCTACAGATAGCAATTCGAGTCCTACCTCCAGTCCTCGAATCTCTTTGTCAAGGACTCGTTTCACATATCGGTCAAGCTCAATCCCGCTATCTACTGAGCCACTCCCTCGTGTTACAACGCAGACGTTGCCACCATTTCCAATTCCATCAAATGTCACCTCTCCTCACCAAACCCTACATGACAGCACAATATATTCTAAATCTCTCGTCTTATCGTCCACCTTTGCATCATCCTCTTGGTTTCACAAGATCAGCTCCACAGACACCAGGAACGAAACATCTGTCAGGACGTTGACTAAGAAGTTGACATCAACAGTGATAGTGTCACCAAACTTCACTGCCACTGCTAGCCAAAGTGAGCGTTCAAGCAGAAGTCTGCCCTAAATATTAGTAACCCTAGTAGTTCTAACATATCCATTTCACAGGCGCCTCAGGTTGGCTTTCTACACTCACTGTGTCCCTCGCAACCAGTGCAGGTGGCCCTAGTTCCACAGGCAGACCCAGATGGACCAACTCAACTACTCAATCGCCGGCTTTGACAAGCTCGGAGGATCCAGGCGCGGCCACAGAATCGCCCTCCAAACAAACGACTGTTTCCACTAGCTCGACTATGCTGTCTTCCGGTGGCACAGAGGGTGTAAACTCTACGACCAATACGCTAACTGACAGTACTTTTACCTCCAGTCAACCTGAGACACTAAGTCCAAGTGAGATCACACTCTGGCCGACAAATATATCGTCCTTTACTGGAACTGCATCGCGTCAGCCTGGAGCGCGTTCGACAATTAAAAGCACAAGTCTGTATCAAAATACAACTGAAACAGATATGGTGCCAACGGCAACATACACCGAGCATACTAGTGTTGAGGTTACTACGGTGACATTGACACCAATCTGCACTGATGCAACGGCCAATGGTTCATCCAGTCTTCATGTCAGTAGCATGCACAGGAGTTGCACCACTTTTGATAATGGCACATCGACCATGACTCGGTGCCTTGCTCTACCAAATTCCAATGACCCCGGAATAACATCTTTGTCCAATATACTGTCAAGTAGGAACCGGATTGTTCACTTCGCCCTGGAAAATGAGACGTCGCTAACGAGCAGATAGATCCCGATCCTGTACCCACCACATTTTCAACTTCAGTGAGAAGCGATGAGGATTCTCCAGGACGCGGACATTCGAGCCATCCTCAACCCACGGATAAGATAGGGCCACAGCCAGACAAAAGCTTGCCCAACAATCCAAATTTTCCTTGGGGAAGCGACTCACCAATTCACCGGCACCAGGGAGTGGCCCAGCTTGGTGCTGGCGTGGCGCAGGGTGGTATTTGGCGGCGGTGGACTGAGGAAGCAGCTCGGAAAATGAAAGCTTGCTTGCCATAGAGCAGAACGTCGATGACAGAGGGATTTGGTTTTGCTTTGTTAATCAATATGATTGACTCGTACACAGCTGCTGTTTTCGCTTCGATCACCCGTGACAGATACGGTTGAACTGGTTTATTCATGCGGAACTTTAAAACATGTCAGTTATTCTGAGGGAGGATTTTTTAATGCAGGTGGCTGCAACAAGGCTATCGGTTTTCTTTTTTTTTTTTTTTTTTTTTTTGTGTTTTGAAGTGGCATGTATGGTATTATCTTGGAACGACTTCTATGTGCATTATTATTGCAATTGAACGACGTTTTGTGGTCACCGGTGATTGAGGGACTCCAGACTCCGGCTTGAAAGGTAATTCGCATATCTATGATGAAATACAGCAACCAAAGATTGAGGTAGACTAGTCTTGCAGTGAAGCTGACTACATCATACCATACGCATGATTCGACATGTTTTGTGTGTCTGGTGATTTATTTATGTGAGACTAAAGAATCAGGCTTCCCATCGAAGGTGTTTTGAATACGGAGACGACTGCCCAGGATGCACGGTGCAGCAAGTGAGACTGGTACGGTGTACTTATCCAGTAGATAGTATGCCAAATCAGGATTTGAGGTAGCGGCAATGTGGGGTCATGCCGGCAATGCCAAGTGCCTAGGCTCCGCAGAAGCCGGTGGAGGAAGGAACACTTGTCCACAAGACGTGAACAACGAGGAGGGAGGAGGCGGATGAAGAGGCTCAAAAGCATGGCCGCCATGTCACTGAGAGTACCATCGGAGTCACTGGCGACGGTGGAAGGTCTGGATAGGCATACAAAAGATATCTACCGTGAGCCATGCAACAAATTACAATCCAGGCCTTGAAGGATCTCTTGACTAGGACCCGCGGCAGGGTGGGGCTCTCGGGGTGCAGTTTCTCCTCTCAAATCGGTCCCGGACCTTGCCACTGCGTACAGTGCGCGGGTTGCGTGAAACGAAGAGAGAGTCAGTCAACCGGACCACACGCAAGCAGCTACAACTGGCACTGGCGCATTGGGAAACGAACGGGTCCGTACCAGCCCTCAATGCTCATGCGATTTGGCTTCATAAACGTCTGCTTTCCCAACCGCCACGTCGGTTCCCCCTTCTCTTTCCTCCACAACCTGCTCCCTATATGAGAACGTCTTGTCATCTCTTCCAGTACCTTTTTCTTTTGTAACCTTGCATCGCCAACATATTCAAGCACACACTGCCGCATCTTCAAAATGCAGCTTTCGCCGCTCGCCTTTGCGGTCGCGGCCGCTGGATTCGTCATCATTCCCGAGCTTTCCGAGGCAGACGAGAACATTTTCAGAGCGCTCCCTATCGATGCCGAACCCGAACCATGGCTTATTCCCATTCCAGCAGAATCTCACCAAGTTTCTGTTCCGTGCAAGCAATGTGAAGACAAAACCAGCCATTTGCAATTGAACCTTGACGTTGTTGATCATACAAGGCTGTTACTAAATGGATTCGAAGTGTATCCCAATGCCGATCCCTGGCATGGTGATTTGGTCGCTGCGGTTGAGAGCACCAATGGTGAATCGACGATGCAGAGGCTGGGTTACAGCTTGGCGATTGCCCCAGAGGTTATGGACCTGGACACTTATATGCAGCTTCTCGATGTCGAACTTCACGTTATCGAAGTGGGAAACCAATTCGTTGACGGCATCCCTGTTGTTAATGTGAAGCTTTTCAAGGCGCCATCAGGTGAAATAGCCATTGCTGAAGTGGACACCACGTCGGCTGAAATGTCTGGTTGCACTTCAATGGCTTGTACCGCAAGGGAAGCCATGGCCGAGATATTCAAGGCTCTCCAGGGCTTTAACCCATTCAAGGATTGCCTTGGCCGCCTTCGTAACGACACAACCGAGGCACATCAAAATAGCGACCCTAGTCGGCCTCAGTCTGACGACGCGGCTGATGACCAACCTTCCGGCGGCAAACACAGACAGCAATGGGGACGTTTCATCACCAATATCGCTGCCCATATCTTCCTGCCTGTTCTCATGGGCATCACGGCTGGCGTTTGCGTAGCTTTGTCAGTCCCAACCCCCCCTTTTTGGAATTGATCGACCATTACTCCGTACTAATGCATCGATAGGTTTGCCATGGCTATTTGCAGCTTGTTCTTCCGACTTACATCGCTAGCCCGAAGCAAGCGAGAAGGCAAACTTGGCCTTGGCCCGTTTAGCAGAGGAAAGGCTTTGGAAAAGGATCATGAGGAGGCGATTGCGTCTGAGAAAGTGAGCTTGATGGCGGAGGAAGTTGAGGCCCCGCCGCAGTACGAAGACTCCAAGGAGTAGTATGGAAAATAAAGTAGGCCCTTCTGGACTGTTCTGTTCAGCCCATTCAGAGTGCACTCAAGCATGCACTTGGAGTGTGGAGTCGGTCGAATAAAAGGAAATACCCAAATATACGGATACACCGCACCGGATCGATATATTGGCGTTTCTGTTTTGGATACGCCCGGGGACGTGCTTCGCAGCATGGAAGTGGTTGACATTGCACCTGTTGGCATTCAGCGATGGGATACCTTGCGTTACAATCCTTTAGATGGATATCATTGGAGTTCTCTCGCTTGTTCGGGGCTGGGTTTTTACACCCTGGCTTCTACGTTCATACCCGCAATACAACGCTCCTTATACGCACATCATCTGCTCACGCTCTGGATGCCTGTAAAATGTGACGTATCACTATTTTGCCTTGATTGAGTTTCGTTCCAGCTCGGATCGTCATCAACCCCCAGCCACCACGTAAGTCATGGACGCGGGTCTCGGTGGATCGTGAACAATGGTGAGGGGATCCCCGTAGCCGCATATCCCCTGTACGGAGTACTAGTAGTTGGTGTCCAAACCTATTTCCGTCTGTGTCTTTCATTGTACGTACCGCCAGACCGAAAAGGTAAAGTGGCAGGCGACAAGGTGATGACAAGCTCAGCCTTATTTGACAGCACTGTATTCGGGTTCAGCAGACCAACGTACGTAATAAGCGGTAGAGAATACCGAGGGACGGCAGCTTTCAACTCGGAAGCTCAGTCCGCCCACGAGTGCGTCAGGTCGTACTCGCTTTCGTTGCCGGCAAGCCGCCACGGCCCACGGCAGGCCATCCACGGTCCATCACTTTGCTGACCGCGCGCGGTGGGGGGAGGTATTCGACGCTTGCCGCCCCGTACGTGCGGAGGGAGCAGCACAGCACTGCTTTGTACTTCGTACTCCGGAGTCCGTACTGGAGTGCCAGGTAAGTAAGACAAGGTGACATCTGTGACGAGGCGAAAAGGTCGGTCGGACGAACCAGGGCTCTGTATCACCACCTCGCTCCGATCTTTGCATCGCCCAGCGGCCTGGATCGAGCCCGACGTGCCCGCCGTGCAATTCGCTCGCTCGTCTTAAACTCTTTGTGCTGTGACTTGATTGCCACTGGTCTTCCTGACTGCTGGACACCGGTTGGTCGTTGAGCGTGTCTCGGGACTCGGGACTCGCGACTCAGGACTCGGGGGCGAGGGGGCATTGCGCAAGCCGAGAGACAGGAGGAGGGAGGAGGAGGAAGGAGCCCACGAACCGCAACCCACCGCGTGCACCTACCTGCCTGCAGCTTGCGGCGCGCAATTACACAACTCATGACTTGCATAACTTCCTCCCAGCCGCCAGCCGCCAGTCGCCAGCCGCCAGCCGGATGTATTTGAGACTTGCGTCTGGGAAAGTCGCCCCCCGGGCTGACCTGCCGCGCCTTCCTTGGATCATAGACCACTCCTAGTCCTCACTTGCTAGACCTTGGGAACCTTGGGACTGGTGCATTTCCAGTGACGGCTCCGACCATCGCCATTGCAAACTCTGACCCGTCATCTCCATTTTTGCATTGTTTACCTGGAGGCGCCATCCTGTGCCGACCTGGACTGCAACATCTCGCGGGCAGAGCAGCAAAACGACTGCGAGACCATCACTCAAGAGAGCACCGACGAATGCGAGGGCTGCTAGCCAACTCGCCTTGACCCTCGAATCTCTAGCCTCTCGTCTCATAGTCCCACGAACCCGCCAGCCCGCCAAGCGCCCTTTCAGAAGGCACCATGTGGAAACCCCCGTCCCCGACAGAAACCCCACGGTCGCCCTCTGTGGACGAGGCGGCATTCGGCGCACTGTCAGCCACGCGAACCAAGAATCCTGGTCGAAGGTTCGCCCAGGTCGTGAAGCTGAAGAAGGAATGTGTGGACCAGTACAAGGCGTGCCACGCCGCCGTTTGGCCCGAGGTGGCCAAGCAGATCAAGCAATGCGGGATTGAGGACTGTAAGTGGCAAACCCCCTCACCCGAGGCGATTGATTTTCCCGTCGTGACTGCCGAGTCTGGACTCCTGACGCCCTCGCAGACAGCATCTTCTACGACGATACCACCGGCCTCTTGTTCGGCTCGTACAAGTACATTGGCTACGACTACGCCGGCGACATGGAGCGCATGGCGGACAACCCCAAAGTCCGTGAGTGGTGGAAGATGACGGACAGCTTCCAGGAGAGCCTTGTGCCTGGGGCTGTCAGCTCCGAGGCGGGCGTGCCAAGCTGGTGGAAGCCAATGGAGGAGGTGTTTTACCAAGCCTAGATGACCGTTACCAGCAACGAATTGCTCTGTTTGCGCTGGCCGGTTGGATTCTCTGAGATTGTGTCGGGAAAGCTTGAATTAGGTTGCCTGCTTTTGGAGGTGTCTTTTAAGGCTATGCTCAAATGTGCCCGGCCTCGCAAAGCCTAGGTCCAGGTGAAAAATTGACCTTTGCATTCCCCTAAAACCCCATGAGGAAACTTGCTATACATGTTCAGAGCTTGTGATTTCACCCCTGTTGGACGCTTCTCTGTCCTATTCCTCGACTCCAACGATGCCGTCGGATTCTCCCGCCCACCCAGGTCAGCCGCGTTACTTACTCCCGTCTCTTGGTGTTATACGGGTGCCTTTTTGCTGCTGATTCTGTTTAGCTAGTTTTGTTCATGTATGGGGTCACCGAGGACGAATCAGGTCCTGTCCACGCGATGCCGTCTCGATAGCTAGGAAAGTTGTGCCATGATTGCGCCTTTGCGTTTCTAGCACGCGGGATAACGACTCTCCACCGGCAGAGAACTATGTCTTTGCAATGGGTCGGTGGTTGAGAGCGAACAAAGTATGTTGTTGCATGAAGCTGCCACAGGCGAGATTGTTGGTCAGCTTGCCGCAGTCGTCGGTGAAGATGGTTGCATAACCTGGGACGATCGGACCTCGTAGTTAGTAAGTAGCCATGCTTTCTCGAGTCTTCAACCAGGTCGTCCCATGCTCATGCCAAGTTCCATAGCCTGGCGTCAGCTGTCCTTGTGCAGCCCTGGGCTGCGTTGTGACTCAAGTTCGTCACTACTGCAAGTGCAAGGCTGTTGCTGTCACTTTGGCCCGTGATTTGTGAAGCGGCAACTTAAAAAGAGGCACCACCCTACAGCTCCGACTAGTGCGCATGGCCGACCACTCCCACTCATTCGTTGACCTATCCAGCATATGGAAGGGGGTAGTAGTTCTCTAAAGTCGTCGGTTCCGATCAAGACGGGTTGCTCAAGTTACGAAACATGTGCTTTTTGCCGCAAGGATAAGAAAAAGGTGCCGCTGCTCTTGTTTTGGGTCTGTAGGCGAGCTGGAGACCCACGAGGCGAGGATACGCCATTTCCGTGCGGGAATCATACCTCAACGGTCTGGGCGTTGGGATCTCGGAAGACGTTTGGAAGACAGAGCTCAAGCGGTACCGTGACTCGTATCAGCACTTGAGATCGGCATTCGGGCTTGACATCGTCGAGCATAGCCGTCTGCCATGTTGTATCGTACGACTGTGTCCCGATTCTAGAAACCACTCGGGTTCAACAAGCAGCAATCAAATAACTATCTCCATGCACCACAGCCAGGGACATATTTGGAAGAAATCTTCTCCATCTGGCTCTCTATGACGGACATACTCCTGGAGTTGATGGACTAATCGGACGAGTTGGAGCTCAACGCAAAGGACTTCTTCGGCCGAACCCCATTACACATCGCTGCAACCTACCTTCGGGTTGGACTCTACCTTTGGGTTGGACTGTACTGTTCGCTGTTTGTTGGAAGCTGGCGTGGACACCAGTCCATGTGAGAGCTCCTACGGCCTGACACCACTCCAATGCGCTGCGGCTGCTGGGCAAGAAAGAACCGTGACTAGTATACTGAATTGTCTAATGCTTGCGGGGCCATCTTCAACGGAGTCGGACAGGCTGAGTTCAGAGCTTCAGGCAGCTTGTGAATCCGCATTCAGAAACAGGCAATACCCTATTGTTCGGAAATCGCTATCGCATCTTGGCAGAGCTGGCCAGGATGCCTTCAGGTCGGCCATTGCGTCAGCATCTGTCGCACAAATGTCAGCCACAAGGGGTGCGGCGCACGTCGGCACAGGTAATCCGTACCGGCAGTGGGTATGACTTCATCGCTGAATTGGCACGACGGTGGGCTGGGTAACTCACATGAATAGCAGGGCGTGACGGCATTTTATGCTTTGACACCCATATGGTAGAGCGAAGGGGCGGCAGTTAAAAGGCAGCGATTCTGAAGGACGGCGGCAATTTGCACAGTCTGGCCGAAAAATGAGAATGACAACCAAACGTGATGTGTTCATTGCTCCTTCCCGAACTCAGGCCAACGGACCCAGCACAGCCGATTGGGCAGCCCGAGCCCCTCCCGCCTGACCAGGCACCAAGAGTCAAAAATAAGCCATGTCTTTCAATGCCTCTGTAGCATTTTCTCGACGGTGGAGAAGCTGGACAAACGCGACGGTGAGAACAATGTCTTTCATTCATGCACCAACCCCGGCAATGTAATGCTAGTCTTCCATCATGATTCATCTAGCTAACGCGATCGTGGGGAAGCACACTCAGATGGCCCCGACTGAAACCTCCGCGATGGAGCCCCGCCGGTTCTGAGCATGAGTTTTGCCGCAATTGGAGGTGCGTTGCTGGAACAAATGTCAGCCGAACAATTGAGTCTGCGTAGTACAAAGAGCTACAGCATCAAGGAGACGTAGGATATTCGTGTCGACAGTCGGTCCGTTTCAGAGAATAACGTCGCATCCCGCCATCTATGAGTAAGACCTAGCTAGGCCTACGGGCCGCGGCGGAATTTGAGTCGTCTATACGTATGGCGATTTGAGAGACGACTTGTCCCGGAATGGAAATGAGATTTTGGTGCCGTTGAGGCCCTAAGCAAGGCAGAGGACGGGACCATCCGGCCGTGGTACGCCTATTCACGCTGCCATGGTCTGACTGGATGGGAATGTGAGGGCATTTGACTTTGGAGATGGCATTAGGCTCTCTCTCTCGGAACCCATCGTGCTTCCCGCGTGAAGAGCAGAAGCAGAAGCGGAAGCAGCAGAGTGTCAGTATTTAAGGATACCCGCAGCCATCGTCTGCCTGGGTTCGTCGGGATGGTTCCCGTCGCCCCAAGACTACATACACCCTCTACTGTGTCAGAATGCACCTCACACCCCTGGTTCTCGTCAGTCTTGCAGCCATCGCTGCCGCAGCAGCAACTCCCAGCTGCTTTCCTTATGGTGGCGCCAAGTTGCCTGGAGGTTTGACGGCGCCCAACGTGCAGTTGAAGGATTGGTGGTGTCCGCAGTCCATGGCATACGGCTTTCAGGGATTCAGCTACCCTCTTGAGGATGACGACTGCAATGAGGGACGCCAGCGGCTTCAACAGGATGAATGAGGACTTTGCCAAGATGAAGGAGGACTTTGGGGCGAGCATCGTACGCATGTACTACCCTACATGCACCAAGTCGATCGTGTTCAAGAATGCGATTCGAGCTGCGGCCAAGAACAACATGGCTATCATCTTGCAGGTCTGGACAAACTTTGGCAACGGTGTCCGTCTCACACCCCCCATTCGTGACCTTTTCTTTGTGTAATATCCACACGAAGCAGTGACCCCGATGGGCTGACGTGTCAGCAGGACGTCTGGAGACGTTCCCAACAGGCTATTTACGACACCCTCGATGATCCTGAATTCGCGGCCGTAGCACCGTATGTTGTCCACAGCGCTGACTGGGGCTCTGAGCCAGTTGGAGACGGCATGGACTCTTCCAACTTCGTCAACGACCTCAAAGAATTTCGCAGGCGGATGAACGAGCATGATATCAAAGCGGGCATCAGCGAGGATTGGGACCGCCCCCGTTCCCTGCGCAACGGCGATAACCTGACGGATCTGGGTCGCGGCATCAGAGGTAGCTCGGACTATGCTCACATCCATCCCATGCCCTTCTATCACGGCAACAACCCTGAGAGCAAGGCGTGGGCATACGTCCAGCAGGCTACGCAGTGGGTTTTGGATCATGTCAAGCTGCCTACTATGATTACGGAGAGCCCTTGGGCTTGGGGCCCGACTAACCACAACCCTGGGAGGAGTGACGTAGGTGTTGCTCAGTACAGGCGTTACTGGAAAACATTCGACGATAATTGCGAGTGGTTCAAGGAAAAGAACGTTGGTTGGTTCCTGCATGCTTGGCAGGGAGAGGACAAGTTTGACATTGTCAAGCCAGGTGCCTCTGGCTACGTCATCCCTGACTGGAGACCTCGTCGGTGCTGAGTATGTACAGAGGGTTGGTCGGGAATCGAAATGGTTCGAGTTGCGTGTCACCGGCTTCGACTTCGTCGAGGAGCGAGACGCTGCACGTTGACGTTCGTACTGGACACGTTGAAGTTGTGCACGTAAAACTGCCCACACAATGGAGAAAGTTCCATGACTGATCTTGAATTATCCTTGATACGACGGAAATCTGTTCATTCTCAGCTGCGTCAATCTTCCACAGCCACGAGACGAGGCTTTTGCATGTCCTTTCTTGCATCTAGCCATGAGGGCCCCACAGCTGGTCCCGTTCATCTTGAGTTGCGTATTTTATTTTAGTATCTATATCGACTATTAAATTTGGCTGGTCCCACCATTGAGGGACACACAATGGCTGGCGTCAGTAGTTGCAGCACCGGGCAGCTCTCCAGGTGTCCTCTTTTTTTTTTGTCTCGTGGACAAGAGTCACCCGCTGTTGGTCAGACCAGCGGTATTGATCTGAAACTGAGTCTGTGCCGGAAGATGTTCGGCCACGCCCGAGTATATGCTAGCATATTGCTGTATATAACAGTACATAGCGTGTTATGCCGAATCTTTCTTTCCTCTTGGCCCGAACGTCTTTGTCTCGAGGATGTCGAAGAACAATCATCATGGGAGACTTGTCGGCGCAACAAATGTCCCACCCCGGACTCCGTGTGCCATTACCAACATTGACACCAGACGGTAACAATTGACAGCAATGTTACAGCCGTGTACACGAGTCGCTATTCGTCCGTCGCTTTTTCTTTGTGCTAGTATCGTACTACTCGTATTATTACGGTTTTGTTCAATGGGCATTAAGATTAAAGGTGCTCTGAGCATGCACTAGGTGCCTCGGGATGGTGGAATCCATCCAGGCAACTCAAGTCGATGGACGAAATTGACAGCAAAGAAGAAGACACACGAAAGTGCCCTGCGAGGACACATAGAAGATTCGTGCTGACCATCTCCGCTCGCCGTCGCATCCCTTATGGTCGGTTTTTGGAGGAGTCGTGGGCGCCAGTTGAGCTCCTGGTGATCAGATGGCCATCCTCCTATTCAACTCGAGCAATGTGGTTCTGGGCAAGCTTGGAAGAATTACGCCCTGGCATCTCGCGCCACCAAGCACGAGAACATATGTTGTCTCCTCGGTTGTCACTACAATTAAATCCGGGGTCGTGAAGCCTGTGTGATCGTGTCACATGGATTGTGACATTTTGACTGGGTGCTTCTTCTTCTGCTTCTTCCTCTCGAATGCTGCCAACCGTTGATCAAGATGAAGCAGCCAACGACATAGTATCGTTACATATGATGGCGGCGTGCTCCGACCACGCTAGGAAGTAGTCGTCCCTGGACCGGGACTATTAGGATGTCCTGCTCCCTGTGTGGGTGCATTTCCATGCAGGTACATGGCGCTAGTGTTTCCAGTTGACCACGGGGACGTTGCGCCTTGAAGTCAAGGGCAGGGATGAGACGTGGACTGGCTTTCATGAGTGCAACTAACCACGAGCCGGTGTGAAGGCACTCTTGAAGTACGGAGTAGCAAGCGAATGGAAACCCATGCATTGTTGACCGCAACCAGTGCAGAGTACGCGGCGCCATCCGGCCAAGAAGAAGATAAAACCAAGACGACACCTGAGCCGGCTGCAACTGCCAGAATTGCGGCTGCCGAGTTCAGGCCGCGGTTGTTTGGAGATTGTCCTCATCTCAGCTGGGCCCCTGTGCGGGCTCGAGCACTTTTGGCCTGCGCCATGCCAGCCGCTTGCGCCGGTTTCCGCTGTCCGTCCACGTGCGCCGTCTTCTTAGCACCGAGTCCTACTCCGTACTACGTAGGAGGTAGGAGTAGTAGTCGGCAACGTTGACTGGTTTCGGTGGGACGACTAGTTGGCTTCTGCGGTCCTGGATGATATCAATGGACGTCCTGGGTCGGGCCCACACCTGTACTGACACGCGCCAGGCGGAGACATCCCGTCGGCCGTGGACGGTTGGCTGGGTTCGGACGGGCACCGTGAATCGCGTGATGCTGGATCATGGAACAAGACCCAGGAGACCTAAAAGGCCTCGGACCAATCCATGTTTGCCCTTGCAAAAGCCGGTACCGTACGCGACCCCCGGCGCTCCAGTTCGCGTCCGCATGTTTGTTTGTTCGAGTGCAAATTTCAGGTGCCTTAAATCTCCATCAGCAGACGATTCTTTGACGTGATGCAGCGCACGAGTCGTCGAGGAACCTCGCACCGGGTTCACCGGGTTCGACGCGAACAAGCCAGCCCTGACCCCCTGCTCCATTTTGCGGTGCTCACCTAGGTTGCGTCCATCGTCGAGTTGTCGAGTGCATGGGGACGTCAATACACGTACAATAGTAATAATAATACGGACGGACTCATGGTCGCCATGCTTTCTCTTGCAATCTGTTAAACCCCACGCGACCTAAGGGCTACTTTCGTCTCTTCCTGCGCCTTTTGCGTCGCGACTTCCCCCACGGCAGGTTCAGACTTCGTCGCAGCTGCCTCAGCTGCACCTCTCCCCCTCCAGCGTCCCGCGGATAGCTGCAGCTGCTTTCACTCGTTCACTTCCATTCTCTTCACATCTGGGCTTTTGCACCTGTTTGCGTGTCCACGATAGGCAAACGCTGTCTGGCCGGCAGACGCGGCTCGAGCCCTCAACGTCAGGTTATCTATCCGTGTACCAGGTAAGAGCTGTTTTCTACTGCCATGGAGAAATCAATGTCCCAGAAATTGCTTCATGCAGCATCAACAACAAATCTGCTCCGGCCTCCACATCGGCCAGTAGTAGACTCGCTGCCGCAGCACGAGCGAATCCCCATACTCACTTTCCGTTGTTTTTGTTTTTTTGCTTCAATCCTCCCTTTTCTCTTCCTTCTTTTCTTTCTTTTCCTTGCTATTGTAGTTGTTCATTCACATCGTCGAGATCCTCGCTTACGACGTCGACAGTCTACTGACTTACTAGCTCGTTTTCCTATTGCCTGGCGCAACATCTGAAACGAGCCCCCCCCCCAGCCGTGCTTTGCGACACGCAGCCAAGTCTCGAAAACTCAGAAAGGTTCCGACGTTGGCGAATTTCTATCCCCAGAACTTTGAACTTTTCTTTTCCTTCTTCTTGGTCGACTTCCCTGGCCCCAGGCGCCCTATTTCTTCTGGTTTTTCTTTTGCGGCTATTTGGTCGCTGCCGATCCTGTCTATTTCTGAGACTCTGCGAGTCTCTTCTTGCCATCAGTTCCGATTTGGGGCATGCTGTTTCAGGAATTATTCTCTTGCCACTAAGTGGTAGAATCTGAGACTATCGGCGTCTCTCGTACGTAGCCCATAACCCCAATCACCCGTGCTGTCGTCCTCTATTCCGTCACTTGATGCTGAGAGCTACAAACGGCACTCGCTGGACTGCCAACTGGCTGCAGTGTCCTGGGGGTCTATCATCTTGTCCAAACGAAGCCACTAACGCCAGCTTAATAGGTTGTCTACACAATATTGGGGCGCCATTTGTCTTTGCTCTTTTCCATTGGAGAGCTGACTCGTGTTCCTAAATGAACACGCAGCCCTGCTTTCACTCTTTTTGTTCCAGACTTTCGTGAACTTGAACGGGTTGCAACTTTGTCTTCAAATGACGCTGCCACTCGTTTTGATGTAATATGCCACACATGCGACTTGCCGCAACTTCCATTCACGTTTCTCCATAGCACGACACGTTTTAATCTTGATGCAACACGACGACTTGCAAGTTGACCAACCCATTCCCGATACAACAGCCCGATAGCTACGCAGCATAGCATTGGGAATATTTACGCAACTTTGATCCTTTTCGGCCAATCTTTGGTTTATGAGGGGGAATGCCTGCAAATAAATCACTAAAACCAACCCGATTGATTCCGCGATTAACGGTTCGCTGCTGCTGAAGGTTGTCAAATGCTTCAGCCCTACAATGGAAGGGATATGGACCGACCATACAAAACGCCTGGGTCTGTTAAGAAGGCCCGGGAACAGGTCCAAGGCATGTTAGCAAGGGACGCAAAAGAACAGCCACGGATGCAACAGAACCCGAACCCGAACCCGAACCCCTTTGAGTCCTCGATACCGTTGCAACCACCGCTGCCCGGGTATTCTCGAACTAGGTTCGCGAAGAATAGAATGCCTCCGGGCCATGATCCAAAGTCTGGCCAGAAAATATCAAGACCGGCACAGGTGCCACAGTGGCCGCTCACCAATAGCAATACCTCGCCGTCAGCTTTCATAGACTCGAATTTGTCGCGGTCTTCCCTCCCAAAATCGCAAGATAGACCTCAAAGGCCTCCGAGACCCAGCCAGAGCAGAATCCCCTCGATACTCGACCAATCGAAACCACAACAACCGACTCCTGTTTTCATCTCTCGACCAGTCCTCCCGGGTAGCCTTCAAGACAAGAACACCAATTACAACATCTCTGCCCCGACAGCTCCATCAGAGACCTCTACGCGGCGAACTCTATCATCTGTGGGATCCATACCCGACTTTCCCATACCGATTCCCGCGAGTTCCTCGGCACCACCCAGGAAGAGTGCAAACCTGGGACCTCCGCCTTCCAGCCGAAGGGGGCAGTCATCCTTTTATTCAAGCGCGTCTTTAGTTTCTCCAATACCTGAAGAAAGTCCCCGGTCGAGATCTCATGGATCTTACGCGTCGAGTGCGGCTATGCCTGAAACATGGCCTGGATCACCTGAGATGGGTAGCCCTGGCTATAACGACGCATTCTACGAGGAATCAATAACGGAAAAAAGCAGGGAATCTGGAGATGACGAGTTTGAAGACGAGAGTCAATTAGTTCAAAATGAAGTGTATCGGCAGCATAAGCCGGCGTTGATCACTGCAAATGGGGTCAGCGATTTTGGCACAAGTGGCAGAAAAGACCCGGCACAGGCGAAGACAGCACTGGAGGATGACGGCTACATTAGTCCAGCAACAAGTCTATCCGAAACTGCTTCTACAATCAAAAAGCCACGAGCATCGTTGATCAAGATTTCTAGTAGGGAGAGTCTGGCCGCAGAAGTTTCTCCGCAGCCTTGGGGCACAGCGAGTTCATCGGATCTTGGAGAGTCTGTGCAACTTAGAGATGTCCCTCGACAACAAACTCGGCTGTCGGCCATGAGGCGGCCGCCCAGGCTGGATATCGATGCAGTCCGCGCAGCGGAGTCAAGGGGGAGTCTAACAAGTTTGCCTGATCTTATTCGCCGTGCAACCAGATTGGCAGCTATGATTGACAAGGGCAAACGACCGGCAAGTAGGCTCGACATTATGGACGGGTATCTCGCAGAAAAAGGTAGCTATACACCTCAGAAATGGGCCCAGTGTTGGATCTAGCATTGGAACATGCATCTTCGGGCGGGCAGGACAATTTTTCCAAGTTCTAACGTTGATATCAGATGATCTCTACCGGTCCGGACTGTCAGATATGCTGGCGGCCTTTCCGCCACCCGTTCATACACCCGGAAACAATCCCAGCCGCAGCTCGTGGATGAGAGGTAACTTGTGGCCAGGAGTTTCTGGGCAGGACCGGCGTATCCATTCGCGGTCCCCAAGTGGCCAAATTGAAACAAAACCTAAACGACGATGCTGTGGTCTGCCTCTGTGGCTAGTCATCCTCTTGGTCTTCTTACTTCTCTTCCTCATTGTCGCAGCCATAGTCATCCCGCTCGAATTTTTTGTCTTCAAAGACCTTGGCCAAAAAGACAATAAGGACCTTAGCATCGGCCAATGTCAAAAGAGGCTAACCTGCAAGAATGGCGGAACCAGTGTAATTTCCCAACGCAATTGTTCATGCATCTGTGCCAACGGGTTTACAGGATCCACGTGTGGTGATGGCGGTGCCACAGGGTGTACGACGACGAACCTCGTTTCGGCTGACCAAGAGTCAAGTATTAACAACGTGACAATGGGCCGAGCCATTCCACGACTGCTAGCCGATGCTAACAAGAATTTTTCCGTGCCACTGTCGGGGACCTCAATTCTGGCTAAATTCAACTCTGGAAACCTGTCTTGCATTGCTCAAAATTCTCTTGTCACCTTTAATGGTCGTTCCACCAGATCGGCTAGAGATGAGATGCTAGACAAGAGTAAGGAGCAGGCGAACTTTGCCCGGAATATTGAAGAGTTTCCGGTACTGCCAATCATCACCCTTGTACCGACTACGACGACCACGGTTACGGTAGCTCCGACTCTTGGTCAGAAGTCTACAACATCAGAGACAAGCTCAGCCTCTCCACAGAGCACGCAAGCAACAATGCCCCCAACAACGCCGGCGGAATCGTCTCTGGCATCTATCTTCTCATCCAGCTCATCGCGTATGTCCAGACCACCCGCTAGCACCACTAGCAGAGCGCCTGCATCCTTGTTCCCATTGACGGAGGAAGTGAGGGATTTCGCGCGAGTCGCAATCCTCTACATATTACAAGAGCAGTCTGTAGAAAAGGCAAGCTCCTCGCAGACTATTCTGCAACAACTGTTCAGCAGTGACATCACAGAGCAAGAGGCATCCAACGTTGACCTTGGGAATGGAAATAATATCAACCTGGCCTCGCGATCTGTCAACATTGGGAGTGGGCCAGTTGGCAGCAAAAACGTTTAACGTGATGGTTTCGCGACCAGGTCTCAACGGCCGAATCAGTGCGGATGCAGAATCGCATGGAAGTGAGCGGAGGCCTTGCGTGAAACCAGTCGAGACTCTTTCAAGTTTCTCTTAGTTGCTCCCACTCCTCGGAGTGCACGATATAAAGGGGAGAGTATAGCGATGGCGTTTTGATAGATGAAGAAATGTTTTTATCATCGACATGGAGGAGGAATATCAAGAAATCCAATAGGGTAATGATGTAATGTCGTGTTGAGTCTCGACAGTGGTAGAAGTGAAATTTGCTACTGGTTTCCACTTGTCCCTGGTCTAGTGAGTGCATCATTTCTCGACTGACAATTGGCTCGACTGTACTGGCCGTGGTGTATGGCAAAATATGTAGGACTGCTCTCAAATATGGCGAGCGGTGACACATTGCCAGGCTTTCCCGGCGTCATCAACTACACCTTGCAGCATTGGAATCACTTCTCCTCTTCACATTCTAAAGACACCAAATTTGCCATCTCCCGCCTTGACTTCGTTCCGCCCGCCCATGGCAGCCTGCAAGCCCAGGCCAAGGTAGCGTCGAGTATGCTGAGGGGGGATGATGCCATCGTCCTGTTGTCCAGTCGACATGTTAGTTTGTGGCAAGGACGGGAAAAGAGGTCGTGGGTTCAAAATAGACGGGGCGGCCGGCAACTTACCCAGAGCCTTGCAGATGAGAAGGTGGCCTCGGTCTCGCGATCAATGCGAGCCCTCAGCTCAGGATCGGCTTTCTGACCGACCGTCTCCATGACGGCAGCAAGCTGCTCGCCACCCATGACGCCCACACGCGCGTTGGGCCACATCCAGAGGAAGCGGGGACCGTAGGCACGTCCACACATGCCGTAGTTGCCGGCGCCGTAGGAGCCGCCGACGACAACGGTGAACTTGGGCACGTCGGCGCAAGCGACGGCGGTGACGAGCTTGGCGCCGTGCTTGGCGATGCCGTCTCGCTCAGAGGCCGTGCCGACCATGAAGCCCGAGATGTTTTGCAGAAAAACGAGGGGGACGGCGCGCTGGGCGCAGAGCTCGATGAAGTGTGCGCCCTTGACGGCCGACGAGGCGAACAGGATGCCGTCGTTGGCGACGATGCCGACCTTGTGGCCGTAGACGGAGGCGAAGCCGGTGACGAGGGTGGTGCCAAAGTCGCGCTTGAACTCGGAGAACTCGGAGCCGTCCACGACACGGGCGATGACTTCACGGATGGGGATGGGCTTGCGGAGATTGGTGGTTGCGATGCCCATGAGCTCTTCCGGGTCGTGGAGGGGCTCGGAGAAGGCACTCGCGGGAGGCTGAGTGACGGCGGATCTGGCCGGCCAGTTGAGGTTGCTGACGGACCGCCGGGCGAGGGCGATGGCGTGGGCGTCGTCGACGGCCAGGTAGTCGGTAACGCCGGACACTGAGGAATGCATCTTGCCGCCGCCGAGCTCCTCGGCGCTGACGACCTCGCCGGTGGCAGCTTTGACGAGGGGAGGGCCGGCGAGGAAGATGTGGCCCTGTTCGCCGACGATGATGGACTCGTCGGACATTGCGGGGACGTAGGCGCCCCCTGCGGTGCAAGGGCCCATGACGACGGCGATTTGAGGGATCCCCTGGGACGACATGCGTGCCTGGTTGTAAAAGATGCGGCCAAAGTGCTCGCGGTCGGGGAAGACGTCGGACTGGTGCGGGAGGTTGGCGCCGCCCGAGTCGACCAGGTAGATGCAGCTATTCGCACACTTAGCCGCGATGAATGAAGCCTCGTCATGTAACAGACGTACGTCTTGTTGTGTCGCTGGACAGGGCGGCTGGTTGGCTTGAGAGCACGAGGGAGAGCGGCTTGGCACCGCGGCGTCCTTTTCTACTTACGGCAACTTGTTTTCCTGCGCGACAGCCTGCGCACGGAGATGCTTCTTGACGGTGATGGGGTAGTACGTGCCGCCCTTGACTGTGCTGTCGTTTGTGACAATGACGCAGGTGACGCCCTCGACGACGCCGACGCCTGTGATGATTCCGCCGGCGGGAACCTCGGCCTCGGGATACAGCTCGTAGCCCGCCATGGGAGACAATTCCAGGAACGTCGTGCCGGGATCGATCAGGGACGTGACGCGGTCTCTCGGCAGCATTTTCTTGCGGGCAATGTGCTTTTCGCGGGCCTTTTCAGGACCGCCGCGCTGCACCTTGCGCGTGAGCTCGGCCATTCTGGCCGTGACTTTGGCCATTTGCTTCTCATTTTCCTTGTACTCCTCCGACGAAGGGTCGACATTGGTTTGGAGGCGCGATATGGCGGCCGCTTGGTGAGGCGTCGTGAGGTTCGCGACGGCGCGGGACTGCAGTTGCTGTCTGTGATTGTGATGGTGGTGATGATGGGCGCGAAGGCGGGTCAGCCGTAGGGCCTGATGCGACGACGACCGGCTGAGAGACATTGCGAAATTGACGTCCCGCAGGGTATCGTTCGGCACTTTCGTTGGCGCTGGGCAAGACGGCGGGTTTGCGGCAAACGGGGACGAGAGAGGGGAGGAGGAGAGAAGGAGGAGAAGAAGAAGAATGAGGCACCAGGTACTCCGTACGAGAGCCGAGACATGGCGAGGACTTGAGCAAGCTTGAGGACGGAAAATAAATCTGGGGGTTGGCAGCCCGCAGCAAGCCGAAGCAAGCCGCGGCGCGGGTTTGGCAATGCGCCTCGCAACTTGGATCCCACATCCGTCCTATTTGAACCTGGGCTCGTTGTTCTTCATTCGAGCCAGTGCACTCGCATCTGCTCTGCCACCGGCCCGTCGTTTCAGCTCCTCGACAACATCTCACACACCATGACAGCGAGCTTCGCGTCGCTCACCAGAGCTGTCTCCCGACGCGCCGGCCGGCGACTACGGCCCTCGGCACCGGTCACCCTTCTTCCTGCCGGCCAGACGAGACTACACTCGTCCAAGCATCCCCAGGGCTTTGAGCCCCCCACGACGGCGGAACTGGACGAGCTGCGCGAGCGTGTGCAAGACTTCACCCGGCGCGAAATCACGGCCGAGATTGCCGCGCAGACGGACAGGCGCAATGCCTTCCCCGACGAGATGTGGCCGAAGCTCGGCGAGGCCGGCTTCCTGGGCATCACGGCCGACGAGGACGTCGGCGGGCTGGGCATGGGCTATCAGGCTCACGCCGTCGTCATGGAGGAGATATCCCGCGCGTCCGGGTCCATTGGACTGAGCTACGCGGCGCACTCGCAGCTCTGCGTGAACCAGCTGCAGCTCAACGGCAGCCCGGACCAGAAGAGGAAGTACCTCCCGGGCCTCATCGCCGGCACCAAGGTCGGCGCCCTGGCCATGTCCGAGTCCGGTTCCGGCAGCGACGTCGTGAGCATGCGCACGACGGCCAGCAAGGTCGACGGCGGCCATGTCCTCAACGGCTCCAAGATGTGGATAACCAACGGCCCCGACGCGGACTTGATTGTCGTCTACGCCAAGACGGAACCCGACAAGGGCTCCAAGGGCATCACGGCCTTCCTGGTCGAGACCGACGCGGACGGCTTCAGCTGCGCCCGGAAGCTGGACAAGATGGGCATGCGCGGCAGCAACACGGGCGAGCTCATGTTCGACAACGTCCTCGTGCCCGAGGAGAACGTCTTGGGCGACGTCAACGGCGGCGTGCGCGTCCTCATGGAGGGCCTCGACCTGGAGCGCCTGGTCCTCTCGGCCGGGCCCCTGGGCATCATGCAGGCCGCGCTGGACGTGGCCTTGCCCTTCTCCCACCAGCGCAAGCAGTTTGGCTCCCCCGTTGCGCACAACCAGCTGGTGCAGGGCAAGCTTGCCGACATGTACACCAAGCTGCAGGCGTCGCGGGCGTATACCTACGGCACGGCCAGGCAAGTCGATGAGCAGGGCATCATCCGCACCCAGGACTGCGCCGGCGCCATTTTGTACGCCGCTGAGCGTGCTACCGAGTGTGCCCTTGACTGCATTCAATTACTCGGCGGCATGGGCTATGTTGAGGAGATGCCTGCCTCGCGATTGTTGAGAGAGTAAGCTTGGCCTCGTGTCTTCACCTACTACCCTGTTGGTGCTGTACTTTGCGAAACTTTTCAGCCCTCTGAGAACCCGGGGAGAAGAGGGGGGTATTGAATCACTTTGACTGACGTTTTTGATTGACAGCGCGAAATTGTACGAGATTGGGGCTGGAACTTCTGAAATTAGACGCATGGTCATCGGACGTGCCTTCAACAAGGAGTATGCCAATGCGTAGAAGCAGCGAAACTGGCAATGCCTCTGCCCAAAAATTCGGATTGTATCTCGCTAGGCGCAGACCGTGGTGACAGTCGCGTGGACATGTTGGAAGCGCATGTCACGACAGCCCAAAGTTTCACTTGGACGGTCCCTGCTTTGCCACTGCTATAACATGATAGACGGGCAGGTGGCTCAGGGTTACTGTATTTTAAAGTTCCATGCATTGAATCCGTCAGCAGATGTAAAGCCATCAGGATCCTGGTAATGACACAGCTTCCATCGTGCTGTGGACATGGTTGCTAAGCGATGCCGCAGATGTCCATTGATGGTCCCTCCTAGATAGGTCCTCAAAATATTTAGACTGCATTATTTACGAGGCTAGGGGAGACCAAATCTATCAGACGAATGATCCAAGGCAAAGTACTCCGAAGATTCTATTCGATCCCACGAGACATGTGTGCGGGACCGGTGGGAGACGAATGGGATACGGTGCCATGCATCGTGCCCAGAGGAAAAACACACCAACTAATTCAAGTCACGATAGTTGAAGGGTGGGCATTTCTGTCAAAGCGGTAACCAGTCCGCTGTTGCCGGATGTGCCGTGTCCGCTTACCTAGGTTGTGCCCTGGTCGCCGATTCGAAATACTAGTGCTGGGCTAGTAATCCATGATTTCAATTCGCTTTTGTAGTTGAGACCACGAGAGGGTCACTGAAGACAAACCGAGCGACTGACAAAACACAGCGATATTTGGTTCCAATTGGGCGGGCTGTTGGAGAAAGCGATGAGGGTTTCGACGACTTGTCTTTGCTTTGGACCAATTGAGTCCAAAGCTGCAGCACCAAGTCAACCCAAGTGTCCAAGTTTGCATTGTGAGATCCGAGGAGCTCGTACCTCGTTTCCACCCATGACAAGGTTCCTGTGAGGGCGTCTCGTTTGCAACCGGACACACCGGTGGTCGCTGTCGCGCAATCGGCGAGAGTGTTACCTCGTCTGATGGGCGGGTACATCAATTCGCATGCTATCCCCGGTGTCGGGCGAGTACTCGGTACCCCGTAGCAACGTTGGATGAAAATTGCGGTATTCCGCGTGACCACCGGCCCTTGCCTCTCTGTGCATGATTGCCATGCATTAGATGCTTGTTTTTGGCTGTGTCTGAAGCCCTGCTGGGCTGAGTTGGCAAGGAAAAAGCAACGAGGTGCAACACCCAAAAGTACATACGTACCAGCAAAGCATTCTTCGTGACGGGTAGGTAAGAGATTCGAAGGTAGCGGGCGACAAGGTACAATGGTACGATTGATGATTGAAAAAGGGACAAGGAGCTTGGCTAGCCTATTTTGCAGATATTTCTCGACACGCAAAGAAAAAAACGCGAACAAAAAGATGGACAAGGGAAACCACAGCAGGCTTGTTGTTGTTGACCCAGTGCCCCGACTCGGCGGGTCGCTCTTGCCTGGGAAATCTCCTACCCCGCTGAGCCACTTGCCGGCAAAGTCTGCGTGTCCACATGTCGTGTTTAGACGTGGGCGGCAGGCAGCATGAGACGTCTGGAGCATCTCATGCGACTAGCCCCAGGTGGTTTCTGGGGCTTGGTCCAGAGAGTCCGGCAAGGCAGTGCAAAGGCTCTATCTAGAACTTTGCTTGGGAGCATGACTCCGCGTCTCCGTGCTGCAGCAAGCAATCGATGCATGACGGTCCTTGCGTCGGCACGTCGACCGTGTTCCAGAGTCTCGAGGGTGCATAAATATCAATCTGGTGCAGTCGCTGCGACTTCAAGGTCTGTTGATTGGGCGGCGATGAAGATCGGCCATTTCTTATTATATACGTTACATACTCCATGCAAGCACGCCTGTGGCCTCGTGTAGATTCTCTTGCCTGGACCGTGAACGTCCACTGCCCCCCACCTCTTCACCCCCTTGCGGCGTCGTCCCCGCTCAGCCGCTGTCGGCCCCAGCGCCAAGGGGAGGAGGGGCGTGTGCCGCTGCTGGAGCTTGGGGCGTGCGCATCAACCACGGAGTCTGGAGCTCTCGACGTCCATCGCAGTGCGCACACTCTCGCCACCTAGGCCAGACGGGGATGAAATATAAATCGTCAAACTCAATCGCTGCTCACTCTCTCCACATTCTTCGGCCCTGTTTCTCGTAACCACCGCCTTTATTGTCTCTTGGGCACATCAATTGCCGCGCAATCGCGTTGATACCAACGGCCACACCTGCGCCTCAACGCCGCCGCCTTCGGACAGGTCTTCGAATCCCATCCACGCCGTGATAAATAAGCCACGCTTCTTTTTCTTCACACAAAGCCACGTATAATCGCAGAAATGGCTTCTAGACAGACCATCTTTGCTCCCATGCTGCGGCACGTCTCACGACGTGCTGCCAATCCTCCTGTGCGACCATCGTTTGCCGCTGCTCGCCATCTGCACAAGGTGCCCGCTCGAAGCAACAAGCCTGGCAGTTACTCTCGCACTGATTCTGACATCGAAGTGGAGCATCCAGAGGAGCATGAACTGCCTTCAAGTAAACCAGTTTCGGGCACGGGCGGACAGTTCGTAAAGCCGACTCTCCCCAGCTTCTCTCTTGATGGCCGTGTCGGTGTCGTCACTGGAGGCGCTCGAGGTCTGGGTTTGGTCATGGCCCAGGGCATGGTCTTTTCCGGTGCCGATGTTGCCCTCGTTGATATGAACAGCACGTCGCAACCCCCCCTCCTTGTCGATTGTCGAGTCGCTCAAGTTGCCAAACTAACATGACTTATAGAGGAGGAGGCTCAGAAGCAGACCCAATTGCTCATGGACGCCTTTCACCGTGAAAACCCCAATGCCGAGCGGTAAGCCTTTATCTGCTGGATGCACACGCAGACAACGCCATTTTCTCAAAATTCTAATTCTTGTCAAGGATTCCCAACGTCACCGCTCACTTCGCCGACGTATCCGACCCCGAATCCGTCGAGAGCTGTATTGCCGAGGTCGCCGAGCAGCACGGCAAAATCGACCACCTCGTCACTTCAGCCGGCTTCACTGAAAACTTCGAAGCCGTCAACTACCCCATTGACCGTATGCGTAAGCTGTGGGCTGTCAACGTCGACGGAACCTACCTTTTCGCCACCTCAGTTGCCCGTCATCTCATGGCGCGCAAAGCCCCAGGCAGCATGGTCATGATTGGTAGCATGTCTGGCTCCATAGTCAATGTTCCTCAGCCTCAGGCGTAAGTGACTCCTTGGCGATTCTGTGTCGCTCACACTGAATTTCGACCGCCCTGACGGACCTGATGCCCGGCGTGAGGGGGTCGCAGGGCGTGTGGGACTCCCATCCTGTAATCAAGTAACCAGTTGCTTGGAAAGGAACCGATGGCTGACTTGTACGCGCCTACTTTTAGTCCTTACAACGCTTCCAAAGCTGGTGTGCGCCATTTGGCGGCTTCGCTGGCCGTTGAATGGGCTCATGCTGGTATCCGCGTCAACTGTATCTCTCCCGGATACATGCTGACTGCACTGTGAGCGATGAAGCACCACCGAGTTAGTTCAACTGTCAAGATACTAACATTTTGGCCCTACAGCACTGAGAAGATTCTCAACGAGAATCCCGATCTGAAGCAGAAGTGGACCTCACTTATCCCCCAAGGCAAGATGGGCCAGCCTCAGGACCTGATGGGTCCTGTGTCCTTCCTGCTCTCCGATGCCAGCAGTTACGTCACTGGTGCCGACATTCGCGTTGATGGCGGATATACTGTGACCTAAGGCAGGGATTTTGTGCAATAACAACCGGGAAATAACATCTACAAGCGGGGCAAAGATATGCCGAATCCGCGTCAGTTCTTGTACGCAATAGCCTGACTACGCTCGATTTTCTAAGTGTGCATCCGGCGTTTTGGGGATTCATGGCAGGCGTTACTATCCACCACAATTTTTTTCTTTTTAATTTTTAAATAAGGCATTTATAAAGATAAAAGTCATAGCGCTCGCAAAATAGCGCGGCCACACGAAAACACGTCAATTGACATACTTCAAGTCATAATGTAATGTCCAGTCAACGCTGACCAAATCAACCACCGCCCACTCTGAAGATCATGGGCTTGGCGATGCGTCATAATAAGAACAAGGTCATCCAAATCTCAAACCTTCTAGGAAGAACTCCTGCTAGTGATCATGTTTATGAGTAGAGGCTAGGTAGCGCAACGTTACAGGAATTTGCAGGCTTGATCCGGGGTTGTCCTTCCTAAAGTCAGTCACTAGATGCCGGAATTGCAAGTAGAATCGGTTAGCCAAGTAGTCGGCGACGCCATCGGACACAGTTTCGTCCGCCTCCCCAACCGATGAGGTGACCAGGATTCGAAAGCACCTCCGTAGTGGGCTGGTTCGAGAAAGAGTGCCAACTTACACTCCCCCTTGGAGGCAGGAAGAGGGCCCAGCCATTCTCGCCGATCTGAGTTGCAAGAGAAGGAAGGTCGCATCTGGAATGCACGCTGTCTGTTTCTAAATCGAGGACGCGAGCTCATCCGTTGGCTGTAACTGTCAGCAGTACGTGCCACAGTAGATGCTGCTGTATGAGTTGAAGTCATCTATTCCGCTGCTGCCATCAAGAAGCTCCGTGGAGGCTAATAGGGTCAACTGATCCCTGCAAAACGTTTAGAGTTTGTGCTTTCGGTACGAGGCGGGCGGCACTGCTGTTCCAGCAAGAGGTTTCGTTGTCCCCTTTATCAATCTGTCTGCTGGGCATAGATGTATAGAAAGGAGCTTTGAATATTCTCTCGTGTTTCCAATTTCAAGTCGGATAAAAAAAGACATGATTGGCCACTGGCTACATAGAACTTGCTGCTTGTCGAGATATATCGGTGTCCGTCATGCTTAACATTGATTTGACATCTTCTCGCACTAACGAGGCCCTCCGTTTTGTCTGCCTTCGTCTTCGCGAACGTCCAGGTCAACCAGCATAACATAGACCTCAGGTTAGTTACCACATACTTCAGGGAGAACGGGCTACTTGACAAGAAGACGCCCCTCTTACATCTACTCTCCATGGCTGGCGCCACGGCATTGTATCGCTGCAAACTGTTGGATATAACCGTGGTACCGTGCAGCTTCAAATGTACAGGTTCTCTTCGGTGCAACTCTCACACGGCTGATGGGTATCGAGGTGCGAGTTCAAGACTTGTATTCTTTTGTGCAGGACAGTGTATCGAGAGGAACTCGGCATCCTTCAAGAGAAAGAGATGGTGATTCCCATCGCTGGGACGAGATGTGACAGGCTTCGTGGTTCAAGCCAAGCTCCGCGTGCTCTGCACTCGCTTTGGGCTGTGATGTCTTGCTCTCGCCTCGATGCATCGGAATTCCTTGCTTGATTCATCCCGCGTACCTGTGTAACATCAGACACTGATTTCCAGGTTGGGAAAGAGCCGTTGCTGCCGAGATCGGCTGGCTGGCTGGCTGCTCGTCCTCGTCGGTGCCCAACGCATGCCACGCGGAAAGGAGCAGCTCAACCAGTCCGCTTAATGCCACATGACGGGTCGACCAGACGGACAGCTTCAACTCACAAACCACGTCCTTGACTTTGAAACGACGATCTTGTGCTCCGTGCCCAAAGAATCTCGCAAAATTATTCATGCAGGCGACCACTTCGCCGCCCCATATCTCGGCCTGTCCCCAGCGCCGCTGTGACCACATTCCGAACCGAACAGATATATCGACATGACCCGGCCGCAGTGCAGATGGGAGATAATTTTTTGTACTGAAAGCGTGCCGCCGCCTACCGCTTCCTTCGCCGTCCCTGCGATTCATTGGTACCAAAGGGATGGACATGAAACTCGAGGTAATGCACGAGAGACGCAGCCATGACGTTCAACATCCACTTCATTTTGAAGGCCCAAGATTGCACCGACATCGACAGGGCGTAGCGTGACTGACAGGTTTGTTCGGCTCTACCGGCTGGCCGGGATTAAACAAGCTCAAGCAGCCCATCGCCCGCTCGACCCCAGTTTGCTCTTCTTGGCAACTGTCAACGACGCCTCAGCTTGGAGTGATGGCACCAGCAACAACAGCACAATGTGGGAACCGAAACCGAAACCGTTGGGCCTGGGAGCTGACTTGGCTTGGCACGGCTGACCGTGCTCCAAAGACACGAGAGGCGAAGATCAACGAGCCAGGCTCATGTTCCAATTACATTTACTGGAGTGCCGCGTACTCGACGACAACTTGACCGAGCAAGTAAATTGTGCGGCGAACCTCCTATGAGGCAACACGGTTGGTTGTTTGGGGTGCTCCATAGCTGCAACATTGAGCCAGTGTAGGAGGGATTATCATTTACGTGGCATCATCGCGGTGTAAGTGGTGGAAAGATGACAGCTATTACTCCGTAACAACGCAATCAATCCGGGGACAGTGGACTGCAACAGGAAGATGGCGGTTGAAACCACCAATTTAATTGTGTACTGTCCACCATGCCAAGTCAACAGCGGGCAATTCAACATGCCAGTTCTGACTCACCCCTGGACCAAATGCGAATTACGGAGTATCGAGCGGAGCACCCCCGTATGCCGTACTCCGTACCCCGTACAGTCAGAGACAACAAAAGGCAGTCTGTGTCCAGAGAGGCTTGAATGTCCCGGATCTGTGCAGGGTCAGGGCCTTGGCGCGTCCCTCAACGGGGCAGAAAAAGAGAAGAGCGGAGTCCAGAGGACTGAGCGGCTCCTCGAAGTCAGTGACGGGCCAGGGTTGGGACGCAGTGCGCGGTGCGACCATTACGCGCTTCATGCCGAGTTCGAGGCTGGGCCAATATAACAAAAGCCCATCTGCATCCAGGTGCGCGGAGCGCAAACCGACTTCAGAACTGGAGCTCGGTCCCCGGATGCTTCGTCACGCGGCCAACGCCACGGTCCTGGTGACCTCTCGCTAGCCCCCGGGATTTGTTGAATGTCGACAAATGACATACGGCCAGACAGGGAATGTTGGGATCGCTGGCTCCAACTCTCTCGAGGCAGTATCAATAACTTTGGGTGCCGAGGCAAGACTACTACTACTCCCTAGCCAGCATGCGTTGATCTTGAAAGAGCCCCCCCCTGGCCCCGTCCTCGATTGTATGGCGCTGGAATACCTACGTGTACTGAGTAACTACAAATGCTCTCCCTGGTTTTGACACGGGGTCTGAATGCCACGAGGCATCTCTCTATTTGATGAGCACAATTGGACAAAAGCCAACCGGCACTTGACATTTATAAATGCTCGAGACGAACCTTTATATCCCGATTTTGCCGTTTGTCATGCGGCATTACTATCGAACACATTGTCCAGCCACTGGGGGCCGTCGACGGTGTCTCGTTTCTCAGCTTGGGCCTTGCCACCCCCAGGTCCTTGGCTTCCCGCTGACACGGTCGAAATGGAGCTCTGGGACATGAGACCCAGACGTGCCTCTTTTTCGTGTGAACCCCCGGTTCTTCAACGCCCTTGGCCAGAGGATGGTTTGGCTGGTTAGCATCAAGGTACGGAGTACTCGACTCGTCACTTGTCACGCGGTGCGGCTCAGTCCAGACTAGACCAGCGCAAAGTACTACATACTGATACTCCGTAGTTGGGGTCTCGCAAAGATTGAATACTACTGTGACATGGAGGCACGGAGTAGCCAGCGACCATGCAAGTACCTAGGAATAGTGCAGTTTGGAACGGTCTCTAGCTCCGAGGTGCATCTCCTCCGCGTCTCTCACGCTCCTTTTGGCCGAAGTCTAGAGTTTGCAGTTTGCCACAGACAGCAAGCAGCATGCAACAAAGAGGGAACATAGAGGATGATGGGTTGGCAAGCTTGTTTGCATATGCCAGCAACGTCTGGGCTGGGACTGGCCGACCTGTTTCAATCCACGCTGTCACGAGACGGCTTCATTTGAGTAACTAATAATAGCACTTGAGCGCTCGAGAGCTCGAGCACTTGTGTGCCCGGTCTGGTGCATTGTCAGGCACTCAGGTTCCCGCCCAGGCCCCGTGTCATTTGATGGAGAAAGATTGTGAAGAGTCAAGACACAAAAGAGCGCCGACCGATGGATGACTGATGGTCTGGCCACCAATTTCTCCGCATCTCGACTTTGGCCTGCCCAGATTCACAACGCGGCTTTGTCAAGCTGCCTGTGTCTGGATCTGGATCTGGATCTGAATCTGAATCTGAATCTGAATCTGAATCTGGATCTGACTTCTGCGCGGCGACACATTTGGCCGCGACTAAGTTACTACAGTGCCTGTCAAATCCGGATATCGCAGAACTGCTCCAGGTTGGAGCTGTCGATCTCGTAACGAAGCACCGGAGTGAAGGAGGGAGGGCTTAGGCCATTTGAGCTCAGCACTGGTGCCAAGTTGAACTAACATCACCCGTCTCGAACCATACGCTGCGCCAGCATACGTCGTCCGGACTACTTGGCGCCTTCTTTGCATGCCTGGCTGGACCCAGGTAGCACAAAGCCGGGGAACCGAGTCGGGGTGCAGTGCGCATTGCGCATAGTGCATGGTGCGGTGTGCGGTGTGCGGTGTGCGGTGCGCGGTGTGCGGTGTGCGTGCCTTACCGCCTGGCGGAGTGCCGACTCTCTCTCTCAACTCTGCACTCTGGACTGCAAACAGACTTTGACGCTTCCATCAAGGCTGGAACCCAACCCCATTTCCTGCTCTGCAGCTCTGCGCAGCTCTGCGCAGCTCTGCACAACCGCTGTCGGCGTGAGCTGGGCTGGTGTTATTATTCAAGAACTCGGAGACTTGGGAGTCTCGGGTTCTGGTGGTCCCGACACCGCAGCGCCTCAGCTCGAGAGAACCAACACATCCAGGCAAAGTTCAAAGTTCCACTCACAAGGTACGGACGGGCTAGGGGGTGGATGAGCACTTTTAGACTCCAGGGACCCGACTTTCTGCTGCTTCTAATAAAAAGTCGGCAGATTGAAACCCCACTGGTGGCGCCTAGCCAGACCTCCGCGTCCCCTCCGTGCCAGACTTCTGGAGCCTGGCAACCTCGTCTGGCCTGGACTGGGCTGCACCTTGCTCTCCCTGCCGCACACAGCCTGCAGTTCTGGAGTTGATGTTTGATGGTCGACGGGTCGCTCGCTGCTATCGTCACCTGCGCCGGGTTGTCTGGTGCCTCCCGGCGTCGATTGATTGATCGAGCTCTCCAACCCTTCAACCTCCACGGGCAGCCATAAACATAACACAAAGTACTAATAATAATACCAGAGGCCCGCTCAGACTCCTTGTTCGCCCACCAGTCTGCTCGTCGGTTCGCTCGTCGGCCTGCCCGTCGCTTATCTTATTACTCAGGACTCATTATCAAGGCCAGGAACGCATGAAAATTCCGACACTCTTTTCCTCAAGCCATATTATCGCCATTGCTGTCACCCGACAGATCACGGCGGCCTCTCTCTCCTTTGAGGCGCCTTTTCATTCCTAGTTTGGATTTCTCTCGGTCGACACACTCTCCGGTTGTTGCTGTCGGCAGTGTCAAACGGACCGCCATCCAGCATCCGGCGTCTTGATCTCACATCCTGTTCCAATTTTCCGCCTCTCACCTTCGCCTGCTCCAACTCGACTTGCGAAGCCCCAGTTCCTTCTCTCTTCAATATTTCCCCGAGTCCGTAGCCGGCCATCATGGTCAAACATTACAGCCAAGTATAGACCCATCCAGTGCCGTCGTTCGCCTGGTTTGGACCCTGTTCATTTATGAGTCTGGGCACAATCGGGCTCGACTCATCTCCTCCTCGGCGCCAAACTGTCGAGTTCATACCCGAATAAAAATGGAGCCCAGTATACCTATGATACTGCCCAAGGGCATCGTCATCAACACAACAGACGTCTACGAAGAAGTCGCCAGCTATCCAATTGTCCCTGCCGATAAGATATGGGAGTACTGGCATGGTACGTTTTGTCCCCCAACAATAGATTCTGCCGCATTGCGGCCTGTTGCCAAGATAATATCTGACGCGACTTCCGCCATTAGTGTATACAACAACGAATAAGAAACTCAAAGACCCAACAGCCCGCCGCTTAGAGAACTTTTGGTGGCAAGTATGGGGCAGTAATCGAAGGTATCTGAGTGGCCGGGCATTGGCCAAGATTTACGAAGATATTTCTCTTGGCCCTACCATCGTCCCGCTGCACGGCCCGCCGAATCGTTGGGAAGGCCCGGGTGTAAGTTGACCTCACCGAGCACTGCGGCTTCAAAATACCTGCTGATATCCTGCCACAGGTCCCTCCTTTGACTAAGCAACTCATCGTCGCTCATCTTAACCAAGGTCTTGACGAAACGCAACAACGATCAGAGCCACCTCGGATAAAGTCTAACGATACATCTATCAAGAGCCTATCATCAAGTGCCTCAAAACCTCCGCCATCACACCCTATTTTGAAGAAGCCCAACCATCCCTTGCCTTCTGGGCCAAAGCAAACAACTAGATTTGCGTTTCCGCTTGAGTCAGACGATGAAGCCGGCAGGGAGAGCGACATTCCCTCATCCGGAAGTACTGCAACAACGGGTTTGGACATGATGATGTCGACAAAAGCGCCATCCACAGTGAGGGTTTTATCGGCGCTGGAATCTACGTTGCCGGCGGGAAATCAGGCCTTTAATGCAATGGAAACCACGCAGACAGCTAGAGGTTCAACACAACTTAGGACTGTTTCGCCCATACCTGAACGACCGCAGGACAATGTTGAATGCGAATCTGCGGAACTGGAGGACAGCGCTTCAATGCCTTCAGATCGCCCGGTGGCTCGTAGCGTCAAGGCAGCCGGCAAACAACCAATGGCGCCCCGGATGATCACCAAAAACTTGTCGAATCTGTCTCAGGAGCCATCTCGACCGCCCGTCTCGACGCCTCTAGCGAATTCTAAACCTCGAGCGACACCCGACTTGCGCTCGTCAGTGTCCAACAGGTCGCTCTCATCCACGAGAACTGATACCGATAGCTCAACGACCGGATCAATGACAGACTCGGTATCGATGGCCGGCCGGTCCCTGTCGCAAAACGGATATGCACGGAAAAGTTCGTCAACGCAGGGTCTTTTTACTGGAGCGCTGGTCACTACCACCAACGTAGCCGCCAAGGGGCAGATTATTGACCAGGCGGGATCACTTCCGCCGTCAGGTGTCGTTGATCGATACATGGATGACGATGGCCTGCCGTCGCGGCCGTCTGCCACTTTCTTATCAGAATCGCGAATGCAGCCCACTCAACCGAGTCCCGCAGCCAGCGTCCCCATGGGTCGGACCAGAAGCCAGCTCACCCTTCTACTGGAACGAGAAAAGACAAAGAGACACTAATGTAATCTACAATGACCACATCTGACGCTCAACGTCGACTGACGAAAGCGTAATTTCCAATTATGCCAATAGGCCGAGGACACCGTGCCTCGCAACGGCATTTGTCGCCGCTTAATGCCATTACGATTCCAATAGTGTTTCCATTCCTCTTCTTTCTTTCTTTCCTTCATAAAAAATATCTTTCAGACGTTCAAAGTTTTAGCTTTTTGGCCTTAAATCACCGGCGCGCCCAATCGAAAGGGAGCAAGTACTAGGCTTGCTCGTTCACGCACCAGCACATATCGCAGTTGGCACTCTTTTTTAATAGTCTTGATTGCACAAGAGGGGAGCAAAAGGTCATTAGCTCCACGGACAAGAGGTACTTGTCCGAACGGCGTTTTAAAAACCGAAAAAAACACGACACGCTAAGAACGGGGAGCTTGCTTGATATTTTCTTTTCTGGTTCCTTGGGAGATGGCATACTTGGTTTCGGTTTCGGGCTCAGTTTTGGGAAAGCGTGTTTGAGTGTCATGTGTGTCCATTGCTTCTTTTTTTCTTTTTTCTTGACAACATGGTTGGGTGCAGCGGAGTACATTCAGTTACAAGACATCAACGCATGGTTGGCTACATGTCACTATGAGATGGGAGGACTGGTCTGATATACTTGTCGTGCTTTGCCGACAATAATTCAATATGGCTTGCCCGAGCAATTATCCTTGGTATATCCTGAGTCTAGATGCGCGCGCGTTCCTGTCGCTCAAGCGCCATGAGTCTATTTATTTATTTTTCTTCGAACCCAATCCCAGGTTCAGGTAGAATCATCCTTGAGCAAGTTTCAATTCAGCACCGCAAGTAATACACATTAGTGAAGCCGCTGTTGCTCGACGTTTTCTTACGCGGCCTGTCCGTATCCAAGAAAGACAAAAAATTAAAAACTTGGCGAGTCAATCGCTCCTACCACCCGCCCTCAAAGCCTTGCCGCGCCTCCTCCACCCTCATCGCCACAACACAATGAATGAATTGGGAATATCAAGGGGAATCTGTTGACGAACCATGGCATAGACAAATCTTGCTCCTTTTTGACGCCGTGAGACCCGATAATGACTGACAAAGAAAGTATACATGAAGCAACATATGTAGAATAGAGTAAGACACAGAATAGGCAGTTTCAACTGGCCAGGGGTACATCAGAAAGCATCACGGAACACAAGGCAAGGGAACGTAACGGGACAACTAGCTGCGTTCTGTTTCATGGGACGTTGCATGGCCAAAAGGAAAGAGCATAAAAGCAACCAGGGCGGGTGGCCGGACATGAAGAGACGAGAAAGCACCACGAAGTCTAGTCGTGGATACCAAACATCTTCCGCAGGGCGCCGAATTTTTTCTTCTTGTGTGTTTGACGTTGTGCGGGCTCACCATCCATGAATGCGTCAGGGATCTCGAGGACTGGCTCGCAGTTGTTCACCTCTCGGTGGCCCAGGCCGACCATGCCCTGCGATGTGCTCCTACGCCGCAGGAAGGAGCTCCTCCTCGGCTTTGGTGGTCCTTCAGAAGTCGACGGGCGGAGAGCTGGCTCTTTTATTCTGCCATTCTCGGCGTCGGCGCTGTTTCCGTCAGGGAACGGCCAGCTTGGCCCCCGTCTGCGAAGCGAGTTGCTACGCAGGGCCACCAATTCTTCGGTTGTACGCTCCAGACTAGTGTCTTTACGAGCAGCGCTTTCGCCAAGACCCTTCGATATCTTGTCCGAGGGTTCTTTCCTGCGACGAAGTATCGACATGAAACTACCACGTCTAGTAGCTGGCCTGAGCATGGCACTCTGTGGCACTGGGCTCAGTGTGCCGCTGCCGGACCGACTTTGATGGAGAGAGGAGTGTCCCTTGACAAAAGTGCTGCGTTCTGGTTGCACAATGGCGTCATGTTCGCCAGGAAGATCTGGAGATGACAAATCGCGTCGTGGTGGCATCACGTTTGAGCCATTGCCGTTGCGAAGAGACTTTGGAAAGTCCTTGCTCTTCGCCAGTGGAATTGCCTCATCCTCGTCACTTGAATCAGCAAACCGGCTTCTGAAGCATGATGAAACGCCCCCTTCATCCTCGTCACTAGAGTCGGCAAAGCGGCTTCCGCTTGTCGATTTGCTTCCAGGGCCCGACGACTTCTTAAAAGTGCTCATCTTCAGACGAGAGCTGGAAGGCTGAGGTCGGTCTCGGAGGGACTGGCGCATACGACCAGCGCCACCACTCATGGATGTCGGAGTGCCCGGAGGTAAGGAGGAAAACGAGTTACGTCTCAAAGCCGGGGGCGATAAGGATCGTAAACTGAAGCGCCTGGTAGGACGGCCCGGAGAGGGCGGCTCACGCATGCCCGCACGCATCGACTTTCGGAAATGGTGTCCGTCTCTGGATCCAGATCGCTTACGTTTGAAGCTACTCTGACTGTCGCCCGAGCCGCGACGTCGCAGAGTGGGCTTGCTGACGGATGTAGACCTCAGGTCATCTAAAGACATGTTCCGTTTGCGCTCTTTCAGAGAAGTTGTTGTAGCAGGCTGGTGATATGAGGAGGGCCGTCCAGAGCTGGAGAGCGTTGGCCGCTGACTATCACCGTAACTCTGTGAATTTCTCAATGATTTTCGCATTTCCACACTGGGAACAATAGATGACGCTGCTGCTGAGTTTGACCTCGCGACATTTGCATCTGCGACTGTTTGTCTAGACACGGCAGCTTTAGTGGGGGGAGGACCATTTCTCATCGACTTTCTCATACCGCCTGGCCGCTCGGGACTTGTATCGTTGACGGGACCAGGCATATCAGCGCGCAGGGACTGGCGCATTGAAGTACGGAGTTTTGGAGTCGCACCCTTCGTAGTGTCCGGTCGAGTTGCAACGACTGATGACCGCTTGGCAGCACTCATGTCCCTTTCGTCATCCCCATCGCCCATAACATCTGACCACTTGGTGCCTGGTTTGATTTGGTAGCATCTCTCGTCACTCATTGCTGGGGCTGGGGCAGGGGCCGAGACCTTCTCGACCTGCTCCGTAGGTTCCAGGTCGGGCTCCTTCTTGACAGTGCTGCCCGCTTCATCGGTTTCTGAGAGTGCCTCGATTTCCAGTTGTCGACGTCTTTCAGTTGACAGGCTCTTCCAGTACGCCTTGGCATTCTCCCAGTCTTCTGACGATTCCTGTACAGGGGCGGAAAAATCTCGTTCGCCCTCACGGACGCCTTTGGCTGGAGTCACGACAGGATTGTCTTGGGCTGTCTCGGTAATTGCCTTGCCGGACGTCTGGCGGTCGACAACAGCATCTAGGGACAGGAAACCATCGCCATTAACACCTCCGAGGTCTTCGTAGGCGTCACTGAATCTGTCACTTTCGGTTTCCTCATCCTCCTCCACAATGTCAGCCATACCAGCGGCAACAGCAACGGGTGCTACTGATTGAGTAGGTGTCGACATGCCAGAACTGTCGGATTCGTCGTCATCGCTGTTGTCTGTGGAAGTGTGATGGCTAGCAGGAAAACTCCCTGGTGGCGTAGCTTCCTCAGATGATTGTGCGCGAGGACTTGGGTGGGAGACTGAAATAGCCGGAATACCATCGTTCGTTTCAGGCTGCATAGTAATTGGTTTCGTCGGGTTAGCTGGCATTTCGGACACAACAGGCTCGGATAGCTTCGATGGATTTGACTCGGGGGCATCCTCAGTCTCCGTGGATACATCGGTATCCAAATCATCATCAGAACTCTCCACAAGGCCAGCTTGTTCCCCCGCAAGACCGGGCTGACCCGCCGGGAGTGGTTCTCTGAATTTGGAGATATTCGCAGCATTTCTGGAAGCCGGGTCTTGTGTGATAACAGACCCGATCAAGACATCTGACGAGGGACCGACGCCAGGAGCAGCAGAGCCATTTTCAGTAGGGAACACGCGCTCTGAAGGACGAACCAGGGGTCGCTCCTCTTTTTCTCTGATTTTCTTCTCTCTTACGCTACCAAACAGTGGCAGAGCTGGTCGAGGGGTCATGGTTTCGCCCTCCGCAATGTTTAGGCTCTCCTTCTTTGTAAACTTGGACACGACGCTGTGCCACGGCTTTTTAGCCTGAGGGCTCGGGATCATTGGTGAATCGGTTTGCAGAGAGGCAACGCCTTCGCCGACAACGACCGTATTTTTGTCGTCCCAACTCACTCGTGCGCTTTTCTTCCGGATGAGTCCAGGATCCTCGCCCTCTTGGGGACTTAAATGCCTGCTACCCGACGCTTCGGACGAAGCATCATCGGATGGCGACACCCCTCTAGCTTGACTTGATAACTTCATGGCCGACTTGCGGGGAGACACTGATCGAGGTGGTGGTTCGTGCTTAACAACCAATTGGTCCACCGATGACGAGGCAAAGCGTGCGGATCGCACCGGGCTTTCAGAATGAACACGAGCTGGGCGAATTTGTTTGTTGGATTTCCTGTCTCTTAATTCTGGCTTTGGTTGTGTCTTTGGCTCAACTGTTGGAATCACCGTACCACCTGCTGCTACTGCGTCTGCCTGTCGTTCGTTTTCCTGTTTGCCAGTATCCTTCCGTACGAGGTCCTCATTCACGACGGAGCTTTTATTGACGGGAGCAGGTCTTGAATCGATGGGATCTGCTTCGTCGAGTGGTGACTCTCTGGTCGCACCAGCAACTGCTGGCTGCATCGCCAGCTGCGTTTTCTTCTTCTTCTTCTTCTTCACCGCGGGGTCCTGCGGCTGTTGAATTGCGCGTTCAGGAACAGTGACTGAAGCTAGCTCGGATTTCTGCTCGAGTCGTTGAGGCTGGCTTTCTGGCTGCAGGGTTTCCTCCACAGCAGGCGTCTGAGTCCGTCCCCCCACAGTGCCTTGAGCAAGATGGGATCCGGCTTTACTCACATCTTGTCTCTTCTTTTTCCTTTTCGGCATCTCCGGCGCCTCCGGTACACTTTGGGAACGAGCTTCAGCTTCGCTTTGGGGGATCATCCGTCGCGAGTTGGGATCGTAGACGAGGGTGTCGGAGACGGAGGGTGTCGGAGACAAGGTTCTGGAACGGGGATAGGAGAAGTTGATAGATGGACTGGGGCTGCCAGGCCGCGGCTCGAGGACATGGGCGTCAGGCTGTGCGGAAGAGTCGGAGTGTCGAGCACTGGCAGATTCTCGAGTTGTTGCGCCGGCAAACCATGTCGCCTGACCATCCTTCATTTTCTGGCTCGCTGTTCTAAATGGCTGTGTCTGTAGGACAGGTCCTCTTGTACCCTTTGTGTGTCCGTTAGTGTGCTGGCTGGCCATGACTTGGTCAACACTGGGCAATGCTGGGACAGGTGGCACGTCCCGCTCCCTTGGAGCTGGACTGCGACCTGGTGAAGGTGTACGAAAGGTGCGCTCCATCATGGAACCCACACTGGGGGTTCTAGTGAGCTCGCGACGTCCCCTCACACTGCCGGTGAGGGAAGTGAGGGAAGGGCTTCTCCTGTGTGCTCTTTTTGACTGTACCTCGGCGACATTCGTCGGGGTCATCGGTCGCGCCTTGAGAGCGGCGGCGGCGGCGGCCGAAGACAAGGACGAGTTGGAGTCGCGTCGACTCATGAACACCGCTGCTGCTGCGGTGGCGGCATTGGGATTGGCCGTTTCCCTGGTAAGGGGCTATTGCGAGTTGTTTGTTAGCACCATTGTTCGACTGCATGCAGAGGATGAGCGTGTGCACAATGAGATACGTGTCTGTATCTGTGGGTCGTTCTGGTCTCTTTCTCCCTTTTCTTGTTTTCCTTTTCCTGTTCTTTTGATGCGACAAAGCATCGCAACAACGGCTAGGACTGGACTGAAAGAGATAGTAGCACGAGGTTGTCCCACAAAAGCGCATGCTCGACCGCGCCGGCAATGCTGGGGGACCATGGCGCGGCTAGAGACAGACGGCTTCGAGTGACTGGCGCGGTGTTGGATTTCTCTACGATACAATTGCCAAAATTGAAGCCAAGGGATATGCACATGTTGTGTAGAGAAAGAGGCAAAATTGCAACATACTTGGGCTGGAGGTTGCCGCCTCCGTGGGCCCCCAAACATGGTGGGCTAGATAGAGAAAGGCTCGCAACCGGACGGGGGATGAGGAGCTTTCTCAACAGCAGCAGTGAGGCATGAGAGTCGATGGGCACGAGGTGATGAGCGGGAGCAGGAGCAGGGGCAGGAGAAGCGAAGGTGTGGAAAGGAAAGCAAAGACGCAAGAAGACGGTGCCGCCAAAGAGACAAGGAACAGATGGGGCGTGACGTGTGAGCGCGTGAGACGATGGAAGTGGTAAGGAAGAGGAATAGAAAGAAGAGAAGAAGAAGGGAAAGCTGCTGAAGAGAGGCTCGGCGACGGGGAGGGGGGCTGAGGGCGATTCAGATGCCTAGTGCGAAGCGAAGGACTGGAGCAGTTGGAACGTCCGTCGTCGTCGTCGTAGTCGTCGCCGTCGTCGTGTGTCGGTCGATGGGTCGGTCGATGGTGAGGTGTGCGAGGGACTCTGAGGTGTGGAGGTAGAAGATTCAGTTGCGAAGGAAACGCAAAAAGGTTAATCAAAGCGGGCATGGCGGAGCTCGGTAGTTGGACGGACCGTCCTGCGCGGAAGGGCGAGAAGAATGGTAATGGCCATGGCCATGGATGGACACGCACAGCACAGCACAGCACAGCACAGCACAGCACAGCACAGCAAGGACATGGTAATGGACAAAAGTACAAGAGTGGAAACCATGGGGAGTCAATTGCTCGGGGCGCTCACCATTTTTGCTCGGGGCGCTCAATACCCCACCACGCCCTGTTTTTGGTCTAGCGGCCCCGCTGCCATGCGCCACGGTACATTCTTAGTACAAATATATGGCAGCAAAATGCCCTCAATTAATCGAAAAGGTGCTTGTGTAATTTATACGAATTTCTCAACAGCGCCGCGCCAGCTGGCTCTAAATCGCTTAAAAACGCGATTTTCTAGTGTTTTCGCTCAATGTGTTCACTATTAGGCCGGATTTTCTAGTTATTCCGGCCGCTTAATTACCTATCCCAGTCACGTCTATCGGCTGCAATAGCGGCAACAGCATTGAAGGAATAAATTCCTCAATCTCAAGGGCACCCTGTCTTCCAATTAGTCTTCTTTCCCTGTTATTTATGTTGCGATTCGATCGTTGTAATAACGCCGGCGGCTGCTGCCGGGAGCGTTGATTCCTTGCACGGCATTGTAGAGGTCATCAAAGCTGCCATAGCCCGGCGAGGGCGGCAAATTTAAGGGCGGCAAATTTAAGGGCGGCAAATTTAAGGGCGGCAAATTTAAGGGCGGCAAATTTAAGGGCGGCAAATTTAAGGGCGGCAAATTTAAGGGCGGCAAATTTAAGTAAGGGCGGGGCAAATTTAAGGGCGGCAAATTTAAGGGCGGCAAATTTAAGGGCGGCAAATTTAAGGGCGGTAAATTTAAGGGCGGTAAATTTGAGGGCAGATTTAAGGGGTTGTGAGGGCCTTCGTCCGGCATCGCGATGTTGTTGAAGGAAAAAGCTGCTGCCTGTTGAAAAATTCGTACGGCTGCAGCTTTATTCTGGATTTTCAATGAAGCTTTTTAGAGTTGAGTAAAGCTGCCATACCTTTGTACTAAGAATGTACTGTAGGGCATGGCAGCGGGGCTTGCCGCATAAAAAGTGGGTCATGATGGGTAGTGATGGGGAGGCGGCTTTGCCGAATCGAGGCGTCCAATGGAGACAGATGGAGCATTATGGACCTATCAGGACGCCAGGAATGGACCGCGCACGCCGAGCCAACCGTCAACTGGTCCGGCCGACGGCCATTTCAGCACCCGCGCGAGCATGGCGATGACGACACCGCCAGACCGTCCAAGAACTAGTCAAGTACCTCAGGCCTCAAGGCCTAGGGCTCCAACCCACAAAGGTTGTGCGGAGATTGACTGACTGACCCCAACGGATACGCCGGGCACCAGGAACAGCCAGCCAGCCCGTTGCGGTTTCATAAGTACATTGCACCCGAGCCAGTTGACTAGACATGTCTTTATTGCTCATTTCATCGTCCTGGGTCTCCCGAGTGTCCGCCATGTTCCGATAATATTCGCTGGCCCCATGCGCATGCCCTCGATCCACTCCAGGCCCTATCGAGATTCGTAACCCTTTTTATAGCCATCGTCCCCAGCCAACGGCCGTGCCATTCTACTACTTCCACCCGAGAACTCGGATGGTAGTACGTACATATATGTACACACAGGGCACACGTCACGCCGCACATGTATCTCCGTAACACAAACTCAAAATCATGCATGTGCCTGCTTTTGGGCTCTTTTCCCGCAACAACAGAACAATGTGCAGGGCATTGAGACATCAAGACGCCATGGGCTCCTTGTGTCTCACTCTCTTCCCTGCTCAGCCTGCACCCCCTCAGCCCCCCTGCGCAGAGGGGGCAGAAAGGTGGGGGAAAAGGGGGGGAGGGGTGGACTATGAGTCTACTCCGTACGACTACTAGTAGTGGCAATAAGGTGCAATGTGAAGTTCCAAGTCACTTGAGACGTTTTATTCGCATTTTCTCCGTCCTTCACCATCGATGCCAACAAATCAACCAACTAGCCATGGCCTTCGACATGTTGCGCACCCGATACCTGATTCATAGATGGAGTAGCACTGTAATATTTATTGCCCCAGGTCCCAGGTCCCAGGTCCCAGGTCCCCGACATCTGGATCTTTGTTTACTCATTATTTAACAGGTGACGTAACACGTTCCCCAACCTACCAAATCGGGACTTGCACCTTAACCTCACAAACAAGTCACCGTCCGTCTCCTGGTACTCCCCGCACAAGCCCTCATGTCTCGTCTTGCCAGACGTCTATCACGTGTTTCTTCCGTTCACAAAGCTTCATGCATTGTCTCGCCAACAGGTTCAATTGCCTTGAAACAATAGACATGTATCTCTACACAAGGTGCTTCTCCAAAGCATTCATCGTATTCATGTCATCAGAGGTTTCCAATTAACAAAAAACCACCAGACTACCAACACGAGCCCTTTCCCCACCGATCAGGCTCGTTTGATCAAAACACAGCTCGAGGCTCAAGGGTTCCAGCTCAGAGTGCCTTGTCTAGTAAATATGTCGAGTAGGTGAATGTGACACATTCGTTTCCAGTGCTAGAACAAAAAAGCCAGCGCCTTCACATTCATTCATGCACATCCAACCATACATGTTCCAGCCACCACTCGACCAAAAAAACTATCACTACGACACGGCTTCCTCTTGCCCGTCAGTCCCGCCTCCATCTCCTTCTTGATGCTCAGGACATGGTTGCGAGTGGACACAGCAGTCGGTGAGCCCTTCATCATATTCCTCTTCGGATTGAGTCGAATGGCTGTGTCCAAGGTGCATCCGGCTTGCTTGGTGATCATCAGTATAGCCCGATCGCATGTGATCAGTATGGTGCTGTCCGCTGTTGCTGCCCTTATGAAGGGACCTGTTGGGCTTCTTGCTCTTCCTACTTTTAGCTTTTGCCTTCTCCAAAAGCCGCTTCCGGTCAGCTTCTTCGCGGCGATGACGGCGGTCTTTTATCTCAAAAGCCCGGATGAGAACTTTGGGGGGTTGGCCGAAGATCCTCTCATACTCGCAAAATTCGCAAATCCACATGTCTTCAGGTTTTGGCGGATTTTCTTCGAATTTTTCCGCCGCAATCTGTCGTCGATGACGTGCCGCCATCTTCAATTCCCGATCCAGCTGAGGACGAGTCCTCCTGAATGACTGGGAGGCCTGGCGGCTCGTTGCACCTTGTGAAACATCGTTGCTTGTACTGTTGTTCGGGCTTCCATTAGACTGCATGCCGGGGTCTTGCTCTACCGTGTCGTCTCGAGAAGCGTTGCCTGCAGTGGCCTGAGTATTAGCGCTTTCTGTCTCTCTCTTTTCTTTTGCTGTACAGAATACGAGAGGCTAACCTGGCCACTGAACGGTCCCTGGAACTTGAGAATCACACGTGAAGGTGAACTGTGCAGAGGTTGGGGTGGACTTGGGTGTGGAAGAGTGCTGCTGCAAAAGGCTAACGTTCTCTTGTCCCTGGGGAAGCTTCCCTGCGTTTGCGATAGCACTAGATATGATACCGCCACTGTCGCTGACTGTGATAAACTTATTGTTAGAATGCAACTCAAGAAGGAGAGACAAGTATTGTGATGGCTAGGTGAATGAGGAACGTGCAATGCGAAGTGGAGGTGAGCAGTGTGAGCTCTCATTCAATTGCTCCAGCTCGCTCGGCTTGTGTCAGCTGTGAAAGACCGACTCGACCTGGACGTTTGCCAAAAAACGCTGGAAAACATATGGACTGATACCTTGAAAAACAAGGGCTGACTTACCTGTCGGCCAATGACTTGTCCCAGCCTTCGCGCCTCTACTGATCCAGTTGGTGTTGGCATCTGGCAATGCCCGAAGAGGGGTCCTACCGTTCCCAGGACGTCCCAGTCTTCCCCTACCAGGCCCAGAGAAGCCTTGATTACTGCTGGCAGCATACGATGTCGATACCTGGTAGCCATGAGAGCCGATGTAGCTTCTCTCAGCGCCGTGGTCGTCATCAACAGGAGATGAGACGGCGGCAGAAAGGCCCAGACCATTCAACTCACTGCCGAGCCCATGAGTTCCATTGATTGATGACTCTGCAAGCGACGGTATCTTTCTTTTCTTTTTATTATTTGTGTTTTCAAATGAATCATATCCGTCCAGGGATGGAGTAGCAGAAGGTGGTGGCTGTGGCTCAACCTGTCGTGACTGTTCTTGTCGGACCGCTTGCCGGCTAGACAAGTTCAAAATCTCAGGAGGCGATCTTGCAACGACTGTGCTTCGGGCTCCATCATGAAGATCCTCCGCAGCGCCTGGCTCTGCGCCTGACTGTGCTCCGTATCGTTGCGATGTAACGGCACAGCTTGAATTGTCCAACCTTGCGGGCTGTGTTGGCTTTGGGAGAAGACTGGCGAGGCGACTGTTCTCTTCCTTGGCCGTACATGGAGGATAATGAAAGAGCGGGGCGTTTTCTCGCGTCGAAAGAGGGTACTTTATCGAACCTGCAGCTTCTGGTGACAATCGTTCTCGGAGTCGACGTTTCGGCAGCGGCCGAATGGGCCGGTCTGGGAATAGTGACGAGACTGTATCGGGTGACATCATCTGGCTACGCTTTGTCCGGCGCCAGCGAGGTCGAAATGTTAGCCAGCATATCACCACAGACACAAAGATGCCGGTCAGGGAAAAGTCTTGCTTGAAATGAATGAAATTAAATGCAAACCGAAACCAGGACGAAATCGATAAAGCCATTTCCTAGGGTTGCCCCGCACTTGAAGGGGGGGGGTGAAGTCGATGAAGAGGCAGAAGATATGCAAATGGGTTCATGATGGGATGTGAGAGGTGTTTTCAGGCCCTGTGGTGAACATCACAAGGGAAAGCGTACCCAACCACCATGACCGTCCCAAGATCCCACACTTTGCAGGAGCAGACCCCGATCTATGCCACCTTGGACCGAATGTCGAGCTGGCTGGCAGCTGCGTCCAAGTATTAAGCAGCTTGTTGGAGTATGTACCAGTTACCGTTCGCCCACGACTGAAGCGTCAATGCTGCAAATATTCGGTACGAATGTGAGGCCGTTGCGGTCAAGTGCACCGTGGGTATCGATCGGGCTCCAAAAGCGGCGTCTGGTTGCGAGTCAGAATTGGCCAGTCGCCCTCCTGGTGCCCACGATATGAGAGATGACACAGGGGACAGGTTGAGTAGAGTAATGTCTCTGCAGAGTCCATACCGACACGTAAGGCCTGGAGGGAACGGGTACGTGGTGGCCCCCGGGCCGGGATGCGATCTTACCAGTCTCTACAGCGCAGCAGGAGGAGAAGCAAAATGAGGGACACCTCGGCTCTGACCAAAGCGGTCGTCTGAGTGACGGACAGCAAAGGATGAGCTGTGAGACGTGGAAGGATGCAAGATGGGAGAGCAACGAGCAAAGAAACGCAATGCTCTCGGCGGTGCAGACAAGAAGGAAACCGCAAAGCTGGGTTGGAATTGCCGGCCCCAGACGTAAGCACTTCGGATTGCAAATGAACAGCATTCGATACAGCCGCAGCGTGATTAGGAGGTGTGGCCCCGTAGTTCAGGACCGCATACGGAGTACCAAGGGGAGGGTCAGCCAAAGTAGACGATTAGGTAAGCACCCAAGCCTTGGTTGCACTGCGTCGCCGACCCAGCAGCATATTACAAAGAAGCATTTCGCGAGGATGGGAAAAGATGCTCTTCTGTCGGTACGGTACGGGGCATTTTTTTCCTTTGTCTTTCCTTCGTCTGCCGTTATTTTCCCGTCGACGTACAGCAACGATCGGGTTCCGAGTCGTGGATGAGCCGCACCAGACATCCGGGGCTCGTCATTGGGCGGCTGCTCCTCATGCGAATTAGCCGAGCCTTTGCCCCCTCAGTGAGGGCAGGTCGTGGGCAGTCACCCGGTACAGTCCCAGTATCCCGAATCGCACAGTGGGCCTTGGTACGGAGTAACTAAACGGCGCAGGCGGCAACAAGACAGACAGGAGGGGCAGCCCGCAGCCCGCAGCCCGCAGCCCGCAGAGTGCGAGAGCCACAGCGCCGGGCCTCCTTCCTTCGGCCGCCTGCCGTCCGCGGCGCACTGCTCTCTGTCTGTCCTTCCTGCCGTCTTCGTGCTCGAGGTCTTCTGGCACCTCGCTCCCCTCCCTCACCAATCTCGTCGTTTGCCATGCCATGACCACGTCGCTTCGTTCTCTGGCCGACTACGTCATGACAACTCGCCAATCCCTTCTGACTCCTCGTTGTTGTTTCTCCAAGCTCGCCTCGTCTTCGTGACCAGCTCGCACTCGTCCCGTCGACGGTGTCTGCTCTGCCCTTGTCGACCGGCGGCGACCCAATCATCAGCTTGACCGATTACTCGAACCGCAAACTTCTCCTCAAGATCACCTCGATAGCGCTGCTCGTAACATCCCCAAACTCTATTCTTCATACTCTCCACCTCCTACAACACGCCGCGAGCAGTGCTCTCTTCTGCCTTTCTCGTCCCTTGCTCCCCGCCGTCTTCGATGGCACCACCGTCGCCTCGGCGATCCTCGAGAGCCCGCGCGACCAATCCCCAGTCCCAACAGTCCTCCTCATCCTCGGGAACAGCTGGGCGCTTTGAAAGAAACACCAGATCGGTCAATAAACCCTCGTCGGAGAAGTCCACTCCCAGCGCCTCGCTCTCCTCAGAGCCGCTTGACGACTTTGACGACACCCTCCTAGGAAGGAGACGCAAACGCGGCCAGAACGACGACACCGATCGAAACTCCAGAAGTGAAAACACAGACATGGCCAATGGTAGTGACCAGGACGACGAGGACGAGGCAGTCCGCTGTCTTTGTGCCTCCGAGGAATACCCCGGCCTTCCCCCTGTCGACGGCCCTGACGCCGAGATTTTTGCAGCCATTGATCTCACCGACGAAGTTACTGGCTTTTTCGTCCAATGCGACATTTGCAAGGTCTGGCAACACGGCGCTTGTGTTGGTATATTCAGCGCCGAAAGTTCTCCCGATGAATATTTTTGTGAGCAGTGCCGCAAGGATCTTCACAAGATCCATACAGCTGCGAATGGGTGAGTCTCTCCATGTTCCTAGTTTCGCAAGATTGCTCTTCCATCCCAATCGTCGGTGCAAGGCCAATTGAACACCGTGAGCCTTGGTGGTTGGTTTGGAATGGTTGTTGTCGCCAGTCAGTCGAGCCGAGTGTGCAAGGGTCTTCACGCGCACCAACACCGCACATCACAAATCACGTTTGAATTTCAAAAGCCCAAACACTCATCACGACGGCTCTCTAGACAAAAATACTCAAAATATCTCCCGTTAAATCGTGCTTCCCGCGCCACCTCGCGAGCAACATCTATTACCAAAGACGACAAGAATGGATCCTCAAAAAACTCCCGACCAAGCACTGCTACACAGTCCTCAAAACGACGATCTACGATGAATAGCCGCGATGCAGCCTATGATGACGAACAACTACGTCGGGCGATAGAGGCGAGCAAAGAAGACAACGCACTCGAGACAGTGGAAGGTGCTGCAAAGCGTGCAAAGCGCGGTCGTAGTGACAGTGAAGAGTTTGTCTGCCTCTGATAATGTTTTCAATAATAAACTGCTGACACCCACTGCAGCAATAACAATGCCGGCATCAAGCGGCAACGCACTAGTTCTCGGTCGCCCTCACCGCCTACCGAAAAACGAGAGCCTGTAGAGAAACAAATATCGGACGACGAAACGGATACTTGCAACGGAGCCAAAGTGTCGAAGACGAACCAAAACCAGAGAGAAAAATTGGAGAAAGAAGAGAAAGAACGTCAACGACAGGAGGCCGCGACAAAACGAAAAGGGCGAGCAGAGCGCCGGAGGGCAGAGGGTAAATTTGTCCTCGGCTCTATGCGTTGATAGCAAGGTTACTGACCTTGTCGTACCTTAGACTCGGAACTTTCTGAAGAGATGCCCTTGGCAGCTGTCAAGTCGGCACAGCAGAAACCGGCGGAATCACGAAGCAAGGAAGCGTCCCCTGCCATCGCGCAACCTCCAGGGACCCCTCCGACGACGCATCCGACAGCCAGCAGTTCTCATAAAAGAGGAGCTCGGGGCAGCAGAAAGGGGAAAGGTCGGAACCAGTATTCCAGAGATCGCGAGCAAGACGACGAGTCCCCTGCGCGGTCCATGTCTCGGGATATACAGAAAGGCGATGAAGCCACAACAACCGGTCACTCCAAGTCATCAGTCAACGAACACAAGACGTCAAAAGCAAAGGCATCCATGACAAACAAAATGAGCATGCTCGATATGAAGCGTCGCGTTGCAGCTATCATGGAGTTCATTTCCAGGACGCAAGTTGACCTAGCCGCGGAAGCTTCCTTCAGCCAGAGCAGCAGTGGCCGAGAGACGCCACAGGAAAAGCCTGCATCGAGCCAACCAAACGTCAACACCGACAATGGCGACACTCCAGAACCTTCCTACCTGAGTCGCTTCAAAGACTTGAGCTGCATGGAAATGATGGACGCGCTGACACGTGATATGGTCAAATGGCAGAACCAGTATTCATGACGGCAATGGCCACGGCTGGCTTCTTTTGTAATTTTGTAGCAGGCGGCGGGAAGTCGGTGTTGCTTTTCTTTTCATTCCCCTTGCTTCCCTGCCCGCGTCTGAAATTGTCCCTGGAGGGTGGCAAAAGACTGTATGATAGTGGCATGACATTTCTGAACGGCGGCGTTGGTGGGGTGGTTTGACTTTGCATCGTGGGCGTCCTGGTGGACTTGGCCCATTCATCTTCATGACGGGAAAGAGAACGGACACGGCAATCGTGTGGTGTTCTCTCTGGAGGATCAGCATGTGACAGCCCCTTGTCTCATGATACTTTTTGATACTACAAAAAATTGCTGAGCAATTTTCATCTTGTTTCCAATATATATATATATATACCCCCTTTTTTTAATGCATGAAAGTTTCACGTGCTTATATGGCAACACTTCGGGTCAGGTCTGGTTTGGTACGGGATTTGACTGCGCGGGGGTCGGGCTCTGCTTTCGTTCTTGGTCGCTCCGTTTCTGTTCCCGACATGTTCCAGGCCGCGGCCGATGCTTGGCATGTCTTGCCTACTGAGACGTGTATAATGGTATACAAGGAAGAAGTCTTGCCTACTGAGACGTGTATAATGGTATACAAGGAAGTAGTCTTGCAGAACATCAGTCTCCCATTCTCTCCCGTTTCCGCGCCTCCTTGTGCGCCTTCTTGGCCTGGTGCAGGCTCAGCGCCGGCCGGGCCACCATGGCGTCGTGGGCGCGGATGTGCTCGACGCCCAGCTCGTCCAGCACATACCTGCCCAGCTTGCCGTCGCGCCACTGCGACAGCACCCTCGCCGCGGCCTCGTGCCAGTTGGGCGCGCCGCCCGCCTTGAGCTTGCCGTCTCGCCGCGCAACGGCGGCCAGGAACTCGGTCACGTCGTTGGTCGGGTGGCAGTAGCGCCGGTACAGCCCGGGGTCCCACCTGTTCATGCGGAAGAGCAGGTAGTCGGCGAGCAGGTCGTCGGGGATGAGGCCCTTCTTGAGGCCGTGAGCGAGGGCGACCTTGACCATGGTCTCGCCGTCGTCGACGTAGGGCTGGAAGATGCCGGGCGTGTCGAGCACGAGCACGCCTCCGGCGACGCCGCCGCGCTCCGCGGGCTCGACGACGCGCACGGCCGTGCCGATCCTGCGCGTCACGCCGGCCTGGTCGCCCGTCCTGGCGGCCTTGGTCTTCTTGCCTGGCGTGCCGGCGTTTCGGAGCGCGTTGAGCAGCGTGCTCTTGCCGACGTTGGGCATGCCCACGACCAGGGTGCGCAGGCCCGTCAGGGAGTCCTGGGACTCGGCGGCGTGCTTGAGTCGCTGCAGCAGCGCCTCTGTGGCGGCGGGCTTGCTCTTGTCCCAGAAGATGGCCCTGTCGCCGTGTAGTCGTTGCAGGGTGCTGCGCGCGCCGGGTGTGTCGGCGCCCAGGTCGGACTTGGTGTACACGAGCAGGCGGTCTCGGCCGGCGATGGTGCGCTCCAGTGTCGGGTTGCGCGTGGACAGGGGCAGTCGGAAGTCGCGGCATTCGAGGACGAGGGATATGCTGGAGAGGAGGGACTTGATCTTGTTCGCGCCCGCGTGGTGGTGGCCCAGGAAGTAGGTCTTTGGGACGGATGACGGTATGTCAAACGTGTCGCGGGGCACGAAGCGTGCCATTGTGAAGAGGACGTCACCTTCTGCCGGGGCTGGTGTGCATTTTGTGCGGGATTGGCGCGCTGACTGGCGAGCTTTCCGGGCGTGGTATGTTGCTTTGGAAATCTGGCGTCACGGCGTCATCAGAGCTTGACATTGACGTTGGAATTGATGATTTGTGTTTTGCTCAACTTTCTTTCCCGATCCCGACAGGGGTCCTTGCGCACCAAGGCTGGCACGTGTTGATAAGATAAGAGGCTCCGACGAGCGCCGACGTCATTGCTCGGAGTTACGTAGATGGCTGATGCTTGGCTGTTCTTGGCTTTATCAGATGGTTGGGGATCCACAGCTTCGCCGTTACACGGCTCATCTTGACGGGCATCGCATCCGGCGTAACGCCTACCGTGGCCGCCCTGCGTTCCCCCTCTGCATCATTACTCTGATGAAGACGAGGAGAAAATGCTGGGCGACTCCGCGATTGAGACCTGACAACATGAACATCCCCAATGCGGTACCACCCAACCTGGCAGATCGGACGAAAATAACAACCCGGCCGTCACACCGTCTAAACACCGCAAGTTTAGTCATGAGTAACCCGACAGGCAAGTTAGTTTGTGGGGGTCATGCAGAGGGACCTCCATGATTGCAGTAGTAATTGTAACTATAACAGAGGTCAGCTGAACCGGGGAGTAGTAAGTTGTAACCCTCACAGGGGCGGCTTACGTAGATGAGAGATTTTGTCAGAAAAACAGCTAGTACTTTGCTGCCACATGATGCTGTTTGTAGAAAATCATCTTTTATGAGCTGTAAAACCCGCCTTGCTCTCTCACTCCTGGCTAAACTGTCAGGGTCTGAATTGCATGTATATGCTTTCGGCTCCCCGTCCTCCGGAGGAGTTCCCGACTTGTCGTGGCTCCGATCAAAAACAGCCAGCTGCAGCTGCATCTACACCCCTGAAGTGCCATCGGAATAGAACTTGTCGATAGCGAAGACAGGCTGGCCGGCAAATCCTGGTCAGTATTCGACTGCGATTTCCCCCCTTTCTGAACCACGCTTCCTTGTCGTAGGAAGCCGAAACAACAACAACAACAACATTCCCACCCCAGCTCCTGCGTGAAAATGGCTCTTGAACTTGCTGGCAAAAGTGCCATTGTTACCGGTGGCGGCTCAGGTATGCAAGGGCGCTGGCTGTACATGAAATAGTACACTCTGGAAGACGGCGTCTAAACAGACCCAACAGGTATATGTTTGTGCTTTGTCAAGCTTCTCCTTGGCAAAGGCTGTTCTGTTGTCGTCGCCGACATCAGCCTCCGCCCCGAAGCCGCAGAGCTTCTCGACGAGTACAGCCAAGGCGACCCGCGCGTGGGCGATGGCTCAAGACCGTTCGTCTTGTTTCACAAGACGGACGTTACCTCGTGGGCGCAGCTCACCTCGTTGTGGAAGACGGCCATTGAAGCCCACGGCAAGGTGGACATTGTCGTGCCTGACGCGGGCATCTTCGAGCCGGCATGGAGCAGTTTCTGGAAGGCTCCAAGGACCGAGACCAACCCTGACACACCGTCTCGAGATGCTGGCGACGCAGAGCTCGGCCACTACGCTACCACTGACTTGAACCTCACCTCACCACTTCGACTGAGCCAGATGGCCATCGGGCACTGGACCACGAACCGTCAAAAGGGCTGTCTGGTGCTTGTGGGGAGCATTGCTGGCTACTTGGACACGCCGATTCGTCCCTTGTACCACACCACGAAACACGGCATCCACGGATTCGTGTCGTGCATGGCCCCCCTTCGTGATGCGTTGGGCATCCGCGTTGGCGCCGTGGCTCCCGGACCAGTCAAGGTACGTGGGCGGTGACGTATCCTCCATTTCATCATTCCAACGGACCACTGATTGATTTGGCTCCTCAAGACCTCAATATGGGATCAGGGATTCACCATGACAGAGGAGATGACCGACAACATGGCATGGGTTGATATGCGTGACGTCGCCCAGGCCATGTACCAACTGGTCGTGGATGAAAAGATGGGTGACGGCACCATCTTGGAAGTCCTGGCGTCGGGAACCCGGGTTCTCCCCAGGTTTGCTGGTGCTTCCGACGAGTTGGTCAACTCGACCGTGGGCGGATATCTGAAGGCCGAGGAGGTCTTCCTGACTGACCTGGAGGCGAACGGCCTGCGAGTCTAATGGTGCTTCGTCCAAACTGCAACCCCGTTAGCATTTGTATCTCGGGAAACGTAACAGCACGCTGTGCGACTAATTTCGCCGTCCAACTAGGTCGCAAAATAAGTTTCAGCGTAAGTGTTATATTTCGCTGATATAATTGTGAGCTCTGAACGGATTCTGTTTGTGACATGGCGTAAATGGTCTTGAAAATGGTAGGGTTCTTGATCATCTAGAATCTCGTTCCAGGTACGCTAGACTTTAACAAGATGGGAAAAGTTGTCCATTGCCATTCTTTCAGCTAGCATCCCAAATCGTTCCTTCTCCCCCACAAAATATACACGCAAACAACACCGTGATGTTTCCATGTGCCCAACCACTGTGTCCCAAAACATTCTTTGATTTCCCTTTGCTTCGTCTGGTCCACACGACCAAGGACCACAACTGCGTCATCGCAAGGCCGACTCGATTGTGAGGAAAGGGAAGAGCGGAAGTCGGAAAAAAAATAAAGAATGTAATGAGAGAATTCGCAAGCCGCATAACCAGTCAGATGAAGATGCTCCGTAAGAGCTGGGTATCTAGATCAACCAACCACCTCCGAAGGTCTTTCCCCAAACCTTAGTCTACTCCCGTGTCAGCACACCTTGTTTTTCCCTGGTTTCCCCTTCATCGCAGTACTGTGTATTCACTCGACTCTGACAGGCTGTGGTGGAATCTTGGCGAAACGAAATATGGAATGATGAAATGCAAAGAAAGTTTGGTTCAAAAGATTGGTCGGTAAGTCGCCGTCGGATGCCTCGTCGCTCGTCCAGATATCGGGGTTATGTAAAAGGCGTCGTTCCCGATGTGTCGAGTCTAGAGATGAGGATACAGTTGAGAGATGGATTTCGTATCTGAACACTTTTCGTTGCATCGGTATGGTTCATTGGCAGATGGAATGCTCATCATTTGATGTTTTTGAATAGATCATTGCCCAGGCTTCCTTCCTCTTTTTCGAGATCCTTAAGCTCCGGGATCACGGGTGGGGGAGGCCGGGTTGGTTTTTGCGGAGAGGGGGTTTCATCAAACAGGATGCTTGATCGCTTGGATTCGCCACCTTTGAAGAGCCCGAACCAGCTGCTCCGCCTCAGCTTTCGTCCGCCCACGATGCTGCTCGCGCCGCCGCGGCTAGGGGGTCTGCTGCCAGCGGCCAGGCTACCGTTGTCCATGGAAGCCAAATTGCCCTCTACATAGCTGGTATTGAGCATATTCCTACTGAATAGTTTGCGAAGGCTGTTCTGTCTGGCAGAGCCAGCAGGGCTCAATGGCGCCTCGTCCGCGGGTCGTTTGATTCCAGCAATATTACCATTCCTTGGTGGTGTAGACTTGTCGGTCTCATTCCCACTGACCACAGCGACGGCGGGGCCAGCTTTCTTTGTCGGGGGAGGCGTCTGAGGCGGCGTGGGCACCTTCGGAGATCGTGGAGGAGGAGGGATATTGGTGCCGTCGGTGATGTTCCCAAAATTCAGGTCGAGCGCGGGAAGCTCGAACCGACGCCCAGCCGAGCCATTGACGAGAGTAGGCATGACGACAGGATTTCGAGGACTGCTCGGCAGTCACAGGCAGCTTGACGGGCAGGCCAGGACCAGTGAGGTGTGAGCAAGATGACGGAGTGAAGCTCCGACCTGGCTTTCGGTATCAACACAGGAGAACCCAGGCCACTCGAGGAAAGGAGAGGACGACGACTGACGACGAGGTAACTACGCTACACTTGAGTGACTCGAGCTACCTGGTACAGCGGACTACTCGGTATACATACGCGTTGGAGACCAGACCAGGGCAGTCCGCGGGTGAGAAAACTGGAGCTCTCGTGCCTCAGAGCCGGGGGTTGGATGAATTGGGTGGCGTTGGAGCTCAGCTGTAGAACTGGACGGAGCACGGGTAGCGAGTACCTCGTACGGAGTACCAGTATCCCGCGTAGGACCAGGACGGGTCGGCGGGCGATGCAACGAAGAGGAAGAAGAAGCTGATGCCGAGCGAGCTCTGGGGCAGAGTTCGGGAAGGAGCAGTCCGAAAAGAAGGACAGAGTTGGCAGGCAGGATTCACTGTCAAGGGCAGGGAGAGGTAGAGAGAGGTACGGAGTACGTGGGAGGAGAATGCGAATCTGTGCCTCTGAATGTTTCGTCTTGTCGGCGAGGAACTGACGGGGGTGTTGGCCATGGTGACGGCTTTGGGCTTTGGGCTTTGGGACATGCGGCCTGCTTGAGCGTTGTTACCGGCGACGCACACTGACTGACACAAGCACACAAGCACACAGTGCCCATTCCCAGTGGACTGTGCTTGAAGGGGCCTGGAAACGGTCCAAAACGGCCTAGCGTGCCCAGAGAACGCCGTTGGCCCCCATGATGAACACCTTGACCCTTGACTAAGGGAGGACTAGCGGACAACTGACTGATGAGACGCGAGCGCGATGCACAGAATCACGTACTAGTTGGTCTCTCGTCACAGTGCGCAGGGGATGGTGGTTGGCGGTGGGTGGTTGGAATCGGTGTGCATGATGGCAATGCGGTGCGCTGATCCAGAACGTTTGGAAGTCTGCATTCTCAATGTTGATCCAAGTACGGAGTACCTGGGTGCCCACTCCGTACTTGAGTAGTCTGGAGTATCCAGGTACTTAAGTGGCGACCCACGAGCCCGAGGTTGCTCCGTATAGGCAGGTACCCGGGTACATGCAACCTTCCAAAGTAAGTTTGGTACTTGCGGAGCATGTACATCAGTGATGATGTACGAAGGAACGTGAGATTTGCAGGCTTGCATGCACGGCAGGCCCTGGAGAGTGCTCCTCCCCTCTCACACCTAAAAACGTCTTGCATGGCCTAGGTCAATTGCCTACCGTACTCCGTACCGGCGAGCCACTTTCGCCGTGGACATTGAACGCCGTCGCCAATCGACCGACGGCACTACCCGAAGATGGGAATGTTGGGGGCTCGGGACTCGGGAGGGTTAGCGCTCGCCGCCGGGCCATTCCATTCATCAATGAAGAGGGCCTTGACCGCAGGCGCGATTGGCGGCCTTGACGCGACGGTTGTCATTGAGGGCCGCCACTACGGAGTACACATGACACCTTTCCATGCCGTTGACGCCGGCAAGTATGAAGCGATGGATATGCGAAACGAAGTACAGGAGCAAAAAGTCGATGCACAGTCCAAGATGCCAACCGGCAGTCTTTTTCTTTTTTTTTTTTTTTCGTAAGCGACTTGGGAGTGGTGCCGACTGGAAGCTCGCCCAGCCAGGGCCATCGATCGCCATGTGGGTCCCTGCCGCTGCCCGCCTTTCATCCGAGAACCACCTTCGACAAAATCTCCGCGTCCTTGCCATGATCCCAAGTGCAGAACTCGGGCACAATCTCGCAGTCGCGCACGTCAATCATGGCAAGTCGCAAGTGTCTGCAACCGCCCTTGCTGCTGTCCGCGTCCAAGCTTTCACGGCCAACCGCAAGCCTCCAAGCCAGCTGCTTGAATCGACTGCCTCCCTCAGCCCTCCGGCGCAAGTCGGGCCCATATGGCTACACCCAATCCAAGGCCCTCGTGTATTCCAAACACGGTGAGCCCGCGGACGTCTTGAAGTAGGTTGAGGTGCTTGCCTGCAAACCAAGAGCGGGCATCAATGTAAACTAACAACTCGCTCGCAGGCTTCACACCCATTCCATCTCCCCTTCCATTCCAAGCTCATCCGTCCTCGTTCGAGCGCTCGCCGCATCAATCAACCCCGCTGATATCAACACCATCCAAGGCACATACGGCTCCAAGCAGCCCATGACGTCTCTCATCGGCACACCCGAGCCGTCCGCTGTCCCCGGCAACGAGGGCGTTTTCGAGGTGGTGTCGGTTGGCGATCCGTCGTCACCCCTACACAAGGGCGACTGGGTTATTCCCTCCGCCCAGCAAATTGGCACGTGGAGGACCCACGCCGTCTTCGAAGCTGATCATGTTCTGAAAGTCGACAAGGAGAACTTGACGCCTACGCAGGTCGCCACCGTGAGCGTCAACCCATGCACGGCGTATCGCATTTTGCGACACTACGGTCCCAGTGCTGGGCTCAAGACTGGCCTGCCCATGAGGCCGCTCGAGGTTGGCAGTGGCCAGTGGTTCATCCAGAATGGAGCCAACTCGGGAGTCGGACGGGCAGCGATTCAGTTCGGCAAGCTCTGGGGCCTACGCAGCATCAACGTTATCCGCGACAGAGACTCCGTCGAGGAGACTGAAACCTTGAAGCAGGAACTTCTTGGCCTGGGCGCGGACGTCGTGGTGCCAGAATCGCAGTTCCTGTCCAGAGAATGGAAGGACCAGCTTGCGGACATTACTCGAGGCGGCCGCGAGGAAATTGGGCTCGCGCTGAATTGCGTTGGCGGCAAATCTGCCACCTCGCTGGCACGATCCCTGGGCGAGGGGGCCACGTTGGTGTCGTACGGCGGCATGTCCAAGCAGCCCGTTGCGTTGCCACTTGGCCTGCTCATCTTCAGGGACATTCGCTTTGTTGGCTTCTGGCTGTCCAAGTGGAACAGCAAGGACGCTACGGGGCGAAAACACATGATCAACGATATTCTGAACCTGATTCGCCTGGGCCATTTCAAGGACGTGCCCGTGGATGAAGTCCAGTGGGATTGGGATACAGACGAGGCACCGCTCAAGGAGGCAGTACAAGGGGGTTTGAAGGGATTCAGGAAAGGAAAAGGCGTATTTCTGTTCGGTGACACTTGAGGGTCATGTACAGTATTTCAACGATTGGCGAGGGCTGGGCGTCACGCTGGCTCTGCAATGCACCGTCATGTGCTTCGCTACAATTACGGTGACGTTGACCTCCAGATGCACCGGAGCTGACGAAACGGACTGGTCCAGTTTGTCGTATGGCACGCACACATGCAGCTGGATGGGTATCAAGAGCAATATATACCACGAGGATTTTCGACCAAAGGGCTGCTGAAAAGCATGGTCCTACCGGCATGTAAGTAAACAGCAGTTGCGTGCACTAGCAGCCTCTAGATATCTTGTCTTTCTGACAGTTGTTGACGATCCAGGGATGCTGTTGGACTTGCTCGAGCGTCAATCTCTTTTCTGGGTCAACAACAAGCAACCAACGCTCAATGTTAGCATCTCCGCGCACAGCTTGTCCAAGAACGCAAAAACCAGACGAACGGCCTTGACAAGACTGGCAGCCTCGGCGCTCACAAATGGCGGAACTTTCATGTCCGCCCAGCAATTCTCCTACAAGTCATGGCGGGCGTGTCCTCAAAAGGAGCCTCGCCCACGAGTAATTCATACGCCAATACGCCTAGGGCCTATAGGCCGACCTCTTCGTCGTACGACTTCTCCGGGCTATTTGGTATTACCATCTCAGGAGGCAAGCAGTCCAGCGTGCCGCAGTACGTTCTCCGACGGCCACGGGGCGAATGCACGCTCCAGCCGAAATCTGAGATCTTCATTTCGCCGTATGTGCCTACTGGGATATTCTCAGGCTTAATGTTGCGGCGGATGATGTGCTTGCGGTGAAAGTAGCGCAGGGCGCTTGCCATCTGCGCAATGTACCGCGCGGCCTTGGGCTTCGGGAACTGATGCGCCTTGCGTAGGTGCTTGTACAACTCGCCGCGGCCGGCCCCTCGCCTGATGCTTCTGGACGACGGCGACTGCGACTGGGCGAGGTTTGGAGCGCCGCTCCTGGCTTCTGTCAGGGGAGAGGGACTTGATTGAGGTTTGCTCGCGATGAATCACAGAGGAGGATGGCCGCGCTTGGTTTCACCTGTTCAGGGCTTCAGGTCTGCCAGGGCCAGGGCTGTTCGGAACCTCGTCTCATTTTGGACAGACCTGCCTTTGGCTTTCGTTCACTGCTGTTGCCGTCGTCCAGAGCCAGGAGCCGCAGGCGAGCCTTGAGGCCGTGATTTGCCATTACTGCATGTGTTCACTTGGGGGAGGGCCAAAGATATAGCTATGGAAAAGGGACAAGAACGTGTCGCCCAAACGTCTCAGAAAAAGCAATGGCTAGAGGACGTTGATGACTTTTGATTCCGCGAGAATTGTGTGTCTCGGAGGAGGGAGTGAACGCGCCGTGGTCCGTGTGGGCAATTGTGAAAGGGCGTTGCGGGGCAACCACCGCGCCTCGTCGCCTCCTCCGGCCGGCTCTTTCAGCTTGGATGGAACATGCCGCCTGTCATTGTTGCTGTCGGTCGTTGGTTTGCACGTGTTGGAGCGCGAAAATGATTCGGCGCAAGGACTCGTAATTCCGCACGGGTGTGCACAACGCAGCACACAATACAGTATGTACGTCAAGTACGGAGCATAGGAGTTCAGCAAGATGTGTTTACTGGATGTTTGCTGCCGGGGTGACTTGGACCCTGCTCTGTGGTCCGTCGGCCAGGGGTCTCCGTTGTCCTTGGGCATCACGTCTTGCCATGTTTTCATTGCATCTCCCACTGGCCACGTCACCGTGAACATGTCCCTCTCTGGGCACCATTCTTATTACACTGCCCAGGATGGGAGTTCGGCGACCCAAAACATACATGTGAGCCGTCCAGTCACCGCAGCAAGTGTATACAACGGACGTTTTGCGGCAAAAGGGGGCGCAGAGAAAAGCCACAAGCAATCAGGAACAGCCCGACCAAGAGCCGTTCTGATGAGGCGCTGGAGCTCGTCAATTTTCTGGGAACTTGAAGAATATAGCTGGGAAGACGACCTTTGTCTGTGGACCACGTTTCACATTGCTATTCGCCTGCCCCTCTTGTCTCAGCATTTGCTCTCTGGCAGCTTTTAGCGACGATGCCAGAGGGTGTTCTTGGATGGCGATGGACGTGAAACCCTCTATTGCTTCCTCACAGCTTCTCACGCTTTCGGCAATTTTCCCCTGCAAATAGGAGCAGCGAGCGAGATCTATAAGTGCTCCAAGTCGGTCAGGGTGGTAGTTTCCACGTCTCGACTCCATGCTCTTCTGCTTTTCCGTGACTCGACGCAGCATCTCTTCTGCTTCGCTCAGCCTGCCTTGCTGCATAAGTATGCAGGCCAAAACCTGACGGCCGAAAAGGGCGCCGATGTGGTTCTCCCCTAGATTTCTCTCGGCAATGGGCAAGCCGAGTGACATCAGCCTCTCTGCCTCATCAAAGTCGCCGACGCCGCACTTCACGATTGAGTAATTGGCCGTTGCTAGAAGCGTTTGTGCATGTTCTTTTCCAAGCTTGGTCTTGCGGGTTTCAAGGACATGGCTCATCAGCTCGTCGGCCATGTTGAAATAGTCTCCGCCAAGCAGAACTAGGATCCTGCATAGATTTTCTTTGGCAGCCAGTGTCTGTGCATGCTCGGCCCCATGTGTCTTGGTCATTCCTTCAATCGCCTCGGTATGAAGTACACGAGACTCCTCAATGCTGTCGGGGGTCCAGAACTTGGCGACCGTTCGGCCAAGATTGTCGATGGCCTCGAGCGTATCGGGATGCTCTGCTGTTAATTGCACCCTCATGCCGGCGACAGCGCTTCTTTGCAAGTCGAGAGCTGTAGTGTACTGCCCTCGTTGCCAGAGAGTTCCTCCCAGTTTGCTCATCACCCTCAACGTCTCAGGGTGGTCCTTGCCCAGGAAGTCTGAACAGGTTTTGAGTAATGCTTCTTGCAAGTCTGCTGCTTCGACCGACCGATCCATGCACAAAAGCACATCGGAGAGGAAAAGAGTCGCCCTCCTTGATCTGGGGTTGTGGGCGCCCAGGACGGAATCGCAAATTGTCTTGACCTCTTGGAGCAATGACCTCGCTTTATCCCATTTGGCACATGTGGCATAAACAAAGGCAAACTTGGCCTTCATTCGCAACAAATCGACATTTACTGTAGGTGCGGCGGTCAACCAAACTGTAGGTGCGGCGGTCAACCAAGAAGTCCAAGATGGTTCTTTCTTCGATATCCTGTCTCGCAGGTCGTCGCGACAAAGCTCGACCTGCTCAACATGGGCAAGCAAGCTGATGTGGTATTTTTCGACCTCTTCTCCGACTCCTAGTGGTGGCAGAAGAATAGAGGAAGCGAGAACGATGCCAGCAATGTCGGCCCAGAGGACCTGATCTACAAGCTTCATTCTGGGCCGTTCTCTCGCATAAATGTGGATGATTGGATGCATGACATATGTATCATTGTGAGAGTTTCGCTCTATCAGAGATAGATCAGTCAGCTCTCTCAAGGCGTAAAGGATGCGATCCTCACACTCTTCGAGGCGTCCTGATTTCCGACCATGGCGCAGGAGACGCGGGATTGGAGGGGGCCCTCTGTTTTTCTTCAAAAAAGCGACGACGAGCACACCCATTCCTCTAAACCACTGTTTCCAAGTCGTCGTCGCCTTGAATTCATTCTCAGGCTCTTTCTCCTCCTGGTCTGCTTCAATCTTGAAGTTTCGCAAGGCCTTGGAAAATATCTCTGGCGCGAGGTTTTCTCTGTGGAAAAAAGCAAAGACTTGGAGTAACTGGATGGCATCTGAGGATGCTTCCGTGTTCTTCCTCTCTAGCTGCTCGTAATTGAGCTCCCAAGTTGCATATGCGTCTATTTCGCTCTTGCTCGGTCCTTTGGAGCCATGGGTAAGTCGAAGTCTATCGAAACTACGCTGATAGAACTTGAGATAGTCCTTCATCTTGCACAAACCGCTGCGAATGGCAGCACCTGCTTGCACGATTGCCAAGGCGAGAAGTCCTAAAGCTTTCGTGACCGTCAGTGCGTCATGCTCAGAATCACGAGCCTGCACCATGGTGCAGGCAGGCCGGAAGACCGCAGCAGTAGGCTCTTCGCCTCCTTGGCACCCATGACGCTGATATTGTAAAATTCTGGTCCGGTATTCCCGTGTATTTTCAGCGCCGGATTTCGGGTCGCTATGAGAATGTGTCCATGTCTAGACTTGGGAAAATAATTCTCCAAGGGTATTCTAGAGTCATTGGCATTATCGATAATAAGAAGCCATTTCTTGTCTGCTTTCGAGAGCCAATGCAGAGCAGCGTTCGCGTGTCGAGGTAGAAGGGCTAGAGCTGCTATGTGTTTAAGGCCATCTTTGACTCTCTCTTCAGAGCCGGCGTCGATCCAAAATACTCCCCAGAACCTTTGTTTTGAAGCTCAATTGGTCAGACTCAGGGCATTGCAGTTCAAAGAAGGCTAGTTGTACACATACCTGTCGCGATTTTCTTCGGCAAACTTGCAGCAGAATTGAGTCTTCCCTGCACCACCCAATCCGTAGATGACAAAGCGGCGCTGTGTCTCAGCTTTGGCAGCTCCTGACTGAATAAAGGTACCGGACAGATCATCAAGCAAATTTTGTCGGCCAGTGAAGAGGCTGGTGACTGATTGTGGCGTCTCGAAATACTCGTTCCTGGATGGCTCGTCCGAATATCCGTCACTTTTCGTACTCGGCTGGGCCAAGTCTCTCATCACTTTTCTTGAGTCAGCGTTATACTGTCACCGAACGATTCTTTTCAAGGACTAACTGGCAGGACCACTCTGACTGGGTTCGGACACAGCCGCAGACAGGCACATCTTGGGTCCAATTTGTGCCAACACTGCTTTGGCATACGCTCCAGCCATGGCTGCTGCGTATGGTTGCCATTCGTTGTTCTTTCGCTCATCTCCATAATCACATACGCCGCGGATGACGCCCACAGGTATGCGATTCATCGTCCCAGCAGCCTCCATCTCAATGCCGACGACTCTATACCGATCCCTTAGTTCATTGCGCTTCGCTGCGTTCTTCATTAGCTTCTCTCCGGAGGCTATTGGTCCATACCAGACCCGAGTACGTCTCGAGTCCGGCCGCAGTTCTCGCTCAATGAGGCTGTACAATCCTTGCTCGTTCATGTCATAGAAGACGTCCTTATCCTGACCAGGGTCGATGAAGTTTCCAGTCGCATGCTCTCTATGCTTTATATCATGGTAAAAGGGAAGAAAAAAGGCTGTGTCATTTGGCGCGTGGATTTTAATGCTCCCGATGGCCGATCTGACGACAGTCTCAGTTACAGCAAGGACATGTCCAGATCGTAAGGGTTGAAATCCTTTGGCGGCGTCTTCTTTCCCCAGGTCGTATGCGAATAAACCTGCGCTGTCACTTCCGGGAAGGGCGACTAATACGTCGCCCAGGCGGATATCGCGTTGTTCAGGTCCAGGTCCAGAGAGAAGGGGTAATCCAGCGGCGACACCAACAAGTAAGCCAAACCAAAGGTTAGGGAAAAACTTCTTGACTTGAGCGGCCAAGGCAGCGGCTGACCCTGTACCATATTCCTGACCAGCTGGTAAAGTTGCGATGACGACATTGTGTCCGCAGACATCACCGGCGTGAAACACGTAATCATCCCCGCGACCGAGAGAAAAGCGGCCACGGTGTGAGTTATCGAGCAAATGCAGGGCGGATACAGCCTCGATCTCACGAGGTGCAATCCACGCAATAGTGTAGATTGCTGGATCTAATTGCGCCATTGGGTAGGGTAGAAAGTAGAAACCATGATCTATGGTCAAGGGATCTAGCCAAGATTTTGTCTTTCACTTCGTCATTCAGGCCAGCTCTGACTGCGGGTGTCCTCTTGCGAGATGGAGGCCTTCTCTGCTGTCTCTAGGTGATTGTGGGAACTAGTACATTCCGATTCGACTCAATTCGTTTCGTTTCGTTTCGTTTGGCCATCCGTTTTCCTTGGGAGATGGTAACCGAAAATCAGAATTGATGGAGCATTTCTTGCTTGCTTGAGGCTTAGTACTCGTCCACATTCCACGTTGGTGCAGGCTGAGGATGCGCTCGAAGACATGCAGATGATTATTTGCAAGTGTGTCTTCTGGGGAAGGACCTTGAAGTCTCGTCACTTTCAGGGCGTCCCCGGACAAGTGCGAAGACTGGATGGAGTACGCTCCCGCTTTCAATGCCATGTCGTGTGCCAAGTCATCTGGGTTTCAGCTCCAGAAGGACCAGGTGGTTTGTTTGTACGTGGGTGATATGCAAGTATTGTCAAATAGGATGTCAGGTGGCATACCACCCAAAATAATGTGTCTGGTGTGGGTGGCGACGCCCGTTTTTTGGTGCGACAAGATGTATGTCAGCCGTGAGTGACCTGACAAGTAAGTTTGTGGGGGTTGTGATGTTATCGGCAGGGCTATCCGTGCTAACAAGAGCTCTCTTTATTTTTATTAGGTATTGTTAACAGCATGTGTACACTAGCAGGGAACGGTACAGTCGAGTACAGTAGAGTAAAGTAGAGTACAGTAGAGTACAGTCGAGTACAGTCGAGTACAGTCGAGTACAGTCGAGTACAGAGTACAGTCGAGTGAGTACGGAGTACAGTTATTGCAGAACAACCCTGTGAGGTGAGCGCTGTGAGGTGAGCGACCGGGGTAGGCAGGTGTGGATGAGGCTCGCGGCACATGCTGACAAAGGTAGCAAACATCAAAACAAATCATGTCGAGAGCTGAACAAACGTGGTTTGCTGAACGAACAAGGCTGCAGATCACCACGAATCATCCAAGCCCCCATCCCCCCTGCTCGCTCTCAGCCGCCCGTTCCACATTCCGCGATGAAACCAAGAAGAGATGATGGATGGCGCTCCGCTGGCCTGCACGTTGAGGCTCGGCCCGAGGCAGTAGCTCCACGGGTACCCAGTTGGGCAGCCTCGGATTTGGGTTAGGGGCAGATCTAAGTAGTAAAAAAGAACTAAACGAGTGACTAAAGAAAAGTAGGTTACCTAGAATTACATCTTGGTAGTTTTTAGGTTTTTTAAGTACTCCGTACTCAAATAGCAATTATATGCTGGAACGTCTGCCATGAAAAGAGGGTGGTGGACAGCGGCTGGCATCGGCATATATTGTGCAGTGTCCCAGTCAATCACCCTATTACCGGCAATAGTTATCAGTCCCGATACTGACTGATAGGCATCTAAAGGAAACCCCGGGCTGGGGAACCCATAGAACTTGTACCTGGCACTCACGCAGAGACACGTGTTCCGTTCACAATTATACTCCAAGCTTCAAGGTCGCCGTGCCTGGTAGAGCCTTCCAAGCAACCCCTAATTGGAACCATGCTCTCCAAACTGGCACGTCGGCAGAGAAGGCTGAGAGGATCTCCCCACCCGGACTTGTCTCGCAATGAACGGCGAACAGCTTTGTCTACTTCGACCTGAAGTCATTCTTGGTAGCTTACCGAACAAGCTTGGTTCATCACAAATGTCAACAAAACCCTCGACTACCTATGGTGTCTTTTTCAACTCCTCCCCTGACTCAGGAACCGGTGCCGTGCACAAATCGAACAAGAATGTTGCGAGGCTGTCAAGGAACCGCTGGCGTCTCTCTTCTGGTAGCTTGGCCGAGTCCCAAGCGCCCAGAGTGTCGCCTTGCACGAACTTGAACTTGTACGACCGCAGCTAGCACCTGCGATGGCCCAATCGGGCTAGTCTACTCCGTATAACAAGTATTATATCTAACTTATTTATAGATTCCCTTAATTACTTATATATTCAAGTAGATAGCTTACAGATGACTCAACACAAATATAGATACCCAAGGGCACCTACAGGTAGATCGGTGGATGTTTGATGTCCTGGAAATAAATGAGACACTCCGAGTGCTAAATCGACAAGTGTCGTCTGGAAAAGGCTGGACAGTGCTGTTGTGACTTGTCACACAAAAAAATAGCGCATGTACTTGAGTACAATGGCCGCTTGTTACTCGGTGGGGTCGGAATGTTTTTGAACAGGGCTCAAGCTGGAAAACATCACGGTGATACTGAGTAAACTTTTTTCTTCTTCTCCTTCTTCTTCTTGCTCTTCAAACAAACAACCTCCCTTGGTGACTGATGAGCCGTCCATTCCCTGTGCCAGAGCCACGGCTTGCTGACGTGACGGCCGAGCTTCTCATCGATATTGGTCATCAAGAGCAATCAACCGCATCTCTCTGCGGCCAATGGGCGATGCATATTACGAGCAATGGACTCGTCTCTCAATATGGCGTTGTGTTGGTATCCGTCATGGTACTATGGCTGGCGTGGAAGTGGCGTGTCCAGCAAGAGGTACGAGGAGATTGAAGCATCCAGATGTCAATGCTGCACGTGCTGGGAAGGACCGACCACTAGCACTTGCCACTGAGTCGCCGACACTGACACGGTCCGTTTCTGTGCGACACATTCTAGACTGAGCGGCGATTTGCGTCTCAGCACGGATGCCAACCGTTGCGGCCATGGTCAGCCAAGTGGCCCTTGGGGCTAGACTTGCTGCTACAAGCATTTCGACATGCGAGACGGGGCCGGATATTGCGATATTTTCTCATGGTGGTAGAGGAATCAGGAACCACTTTCCAGCAGAATTTGCTGGGCCGGCGCGGCGTCAACACGGTTGATCCGAGGAACATTGAGGCCATCCTGTCCACCAATTTCAACGGTACCAAGTTCCAACTCTATCCGTCACGGACTAGACATCAAACACGTTGGAGCTATTACTGATGCCACAACCACAGATTATAGCTTGGGCTTGCGTGCCCCGACTTTTCAACCCGTGCTTGGCAGCGGCATATTCACACAAGATGGCGCCGCTTGGAGACGTTCTCGTCAGCTGCTGCGGCCACAGTTTGCCTCAAACCGAGTGCACAATTTCGACCAGGTGAAAAAATGTGTCCAGCATCTTATCGAGTCGATACCCGACGACGGAATGGTCGACCTCCAGCCTCTGTTTTTCAAGCTAACATTCGACACAACAATGTTTTTGCTCTTTGGCAATTCTGTCAACAGCTCCGACTGGGGTGAGGTGGCTGGTCAGGAGTCCGAATTCGCGCATGCGTTCAATTCATCTCAAGAATACCTGTCTCACCGCGGACGCCTCGGCCCATTCTACTGGCTGCTTAACAGCAAGGCTTTTCGGGATGCGTGCAAGTCGTGCCATGATTTTATGGATAGTCGCATCGCCAAAGCGTTGGAGGCTTTTGCGCAGACCGACAACCACGGAGGAAGAAAGAAGCGCCGCGATGCCGATAGTTATGTTTTTGTTGAAGCTCTCATACAGCAAACAAGAGATGCACAGGTTCTCCGGGACCAGTGCTTGAATGTGTTGCTTGCCGGACGCGACACAACGGCGTGCTGCCTTCATTGGACATTGTAGGGCGAGTCCCATAGACCATCTATTCCTCGGTCGCTGAGACGTGTTGAATACTGACTGACGTAGTCGTCTTCTTGCTCATCACGAGCACGTCCTCGATAAACTGCGCAGAGAAATCGACCAGATATCAGGCTTAGGACCAAGCGCACCTCCGCCCACAAGGGAAGACCTGAGACGCATGTCATATCTCCAACTGGTCATTAAAGAAGGCATACTACAGTTCTTTTGTTCCTATCCAAGCCTCAAATACTAACATGTAGCCTATTGGGGAAATAGTCTTGCGTCTTTATCCGTCCGTGCCCGTCAACTCGAGAGAGGCCATACGGCTTACAACGTTGCCTGTAGGTGGCGGGCCCGACGGCAAATCCCCAGTCCTCGTCAGGCCAGGCGAGGGAGTTGGCTACTGCGTATATGCCATGCACCGCCGCAAGGACATCTACGGCCATGACGCCGACGAGTTCCGCCCAGAGCGCTGGGAAGGTGAATGTTTAAGGGATATTGGATGGGCATATCTTCCATTCAACGGGGGGCCGAGGTTGTGCTTGGGTCGTAAGGAAAGCCCCCTCCAGAGCCGTCTTGTTTCTCGTCCCATGACTGACTGACGAGCCTCATGCTGCAGAAGAGTTTGCTTTACTTGAAGTCGCCTACACGGTGGCGCGACTTGTGCAGGTCTTCCCCAAAATCAAGCTGCCTCCTGGGGAGCCGGCGGTAAAAGTTGGTCAAGAAAAACAAATTCTCACCTTGGTCGTCGCTAGTGCCGAGGGATGCCGAGTATCGTTAAAGAATTGAGCAACGTACTATACCCCGAACCTCTCGACGCATCCCAGCTTTTTTTTTTTTCTTGAATCATCTGGAGAGTGCTCAACCACTTTTCTTTCTTCCCAATCTAGGTCGGGGTTTATGCAATCTCTATATTTCGCAGTGTATGAGATGACTTGCCACATTTTCCAACACAGCACTCTACAAGTCAATCCATCGATATTGCTCCCACCCATGTGACTGTCACTTCTTTTTCTGCTCCAGGTATACCTCTTCTCGCATCTCTCTTGCTACGTTCATGAATTGACTAGCCCCAATAGCCGTCAGGACATGCCACCATCCATGGAACTCGAGAAACCAAGCCCAAGGCAGCCCAACTCGCTGCCTCATAGCTCGAAGCGTAGCGCAGTACTCCAGGTCGATATTCCATAGGACATACCCAATTAGGCAAATGACTATAGCTTTCCACGTTCGAATATTCCAATCACGACTTTTGCCTGTCGAAAACGGCGCTGACTGCGGCCAATGATATAGATACTGAGTGCGTAAGATGACCAACAATATCCCAGTTGCAAAAGCGACGACTTGGTAGATGATTTTGGGCGACTGCACGTAGTACACTGCAAAGGTGATGAAGACGAAAGCAAGGCCAACGGAGATTAAGCGGGATCTCGTAGGTTGCTGTCGCAGCGTGAGGGTGGCTTGGAGCATCGACCAGGTCAGGCCCAGCATTGAGAACTCATCGGCGAATTCCAGTTTTTGGCGGAGGCTCGCGTGGAATAAGAAGGACCCAAAGCCCAGGCTCAGGAGCGATATACTCATGAAATCCAGCTTGGGCGATGACAATCCACGGCTTCCAGGGCCATACATGTATCGGAAGGCAAGGTAGACTGGTGAACAAGGTCTTTTTCAGCGTCGACATTTCTCCGTCGTATTCTGTGCGTGACCGGGGCAGCCTCGCTCGCTCCAGCTGGCTCAACAGTCCGCCGTTGAAGATGGGGGGGGGAGTTTGCAAATTCGGCCAAGAACCGGGTCAAAAGGTAGTCCTCTTCGCAGAAACTGCCCGCAAGTCAGCACTCGGGCCAGCGATCGAGGGTTCCGCGAGCGTGTAACTACTACTTTGCGCGGCTGTTGGGCGGACCCCAGACGCCCGTCAGTGAGTAGGCGTCGCCGTCGTAACGGATGTTGTGGTGGCCCATGTCCAGGATTCGACGTTGCGCCGAGTTGCAAGTCGGGCGTCGATGCCGATGCTGGGAAAGACGAAATCTTGGAGGAACACGGCCAGGCGGATCAGGCAGACAGTGTGCCGCCTGGCTTCAACACCCAGGGGGCGGGCGCTTCTCGCTTCTCCCTCGTCGCCATCCAATCATCGGTGCAGGCAGCCAAACAGCCGCGTATTGTGCTTGAGCGAGAGCCACAGCCCGAGTCTGGTACGTGCAGCGTGGGGGAGGAGGGCCCCGTTGCGGCCGTTTGAGATGTCAAATTGAAGCTCCCTCGGGTGGGTAGGACAACCTTGAGTAGGCTTGTCTTGGTGTTGCAGCCGTTGCCGCTCGAGTTGGCAGAGCTGTGAACTGCCCAAGGCGCGTGAACTTTGCCGGCGCCGCATTCAGAGACATTGCGGTTGTGCAGAATCGGCTCGCCGGTTCAGCGACGTGATCCTTCGTCAGTCTTTTCCAAACCTGGTTGGGCTGGCCACGTCAAAGTGGATCGCCACCATCCCGGCATATATCGCTATACAAGAGCACCTCGGTAACATGCATAGAAGCATCCCCAGTTGTCCACCACCCACCCTCGGGCGTCGGCTGTAATCTCCAACCACACACCCCTCCTCTTTCTGCACTCCATCGGAGGACGACGTACGGAGTACAGTGATGCATATCGCAATGGTCCGTCCGGCTTCCCGCTTGGTTTTGTCACCAATGAACCCAAGGGCGTGTGAGGGAGCTACGTCGGCACCCTGGTAGCATCTGCTGATCCGCCTGTTCACCCTGAACAAAGAATCGAAGGCGTGGGTTCAACCAACACACGCCATGCTGGGCACATATTGCCCAGAAACCCCTGGGTCCAGAGCGTTGACCATGCGTGGCACTTAGTATCGAGTATAACTAGCATGAATAGGTGGGGGACGGTGGTCGAGGCAAAACCCAGCTCGTCGCTGAAGTCGTTGAATTCCTCATCCCATCATTCGTGGGAGCCTCAAAACGCCATCCAAATAACACGCCATCCGCCACCATCAAACGAGCCGGCTTGGATTAGATGGCGACTCCATACCCAAGAAGACTCTGGCTCCCACCAGCATTCAAAAATGCAGAATCCATCTACTTCATGTCGGCCACACACCGGGGAGACATGTACCACCTGCGAGCAGCGATGATGTTGCAAAACAGAGGTTACTCGCTTGTTCTCTATGACGCAGACGTTTCTGCCGGGAGCAAGACCAAGGATACTCAAGACTACCTGAGCCGGTCCGTCATAGAGAATAAAAAGAACTTCTTCTTCGTTATGTGGGACTATGCGGAAATCAGTAATGGTTTTTCCTGTCCAACCGACTTTTCGAAGTGTTGCTTAAATGGACAGCCATACGATGGCAAAGGCGTCAGATTTCTTTCCGTGACGCCGTACGGCGAATCCTTCTCGACTAAACTCATCCAAGAAGCCAGCAGACCTAACGGCCAGCTGCCCAAAAGTGTCCTCCAAGGCATGTTTCTGCTCAAACCTGAGTCTATGGCCTATCTCCGGGGCGAGTTCAGTAACTTGTTCAACACGGAATGGAAAATCGGTCCCGATGACGCTACGAAATCCACTATCCTCGTCGTGGATCGAGACACGGGATGCCAGCCTGAAGGCGTCTATCCAGAGCTTGACACGGGAAATGGCATTTTCCTGGTTCGTGACATTGTGAAGGAGATGGCGGCCAAACACACAGGCCAGAGCACGCTGAAAGTCATCTCGTGCGGATACAACGACGAAAGCTCAGTAACCGGCATCGGGCAGTACTGGACCAAGCTCCCACCGGTGGACCTGATACCAAACCTCGACAAGAGCCAGCCCGTCACCAAGAGGGACGTCCAGGCGTACTTTCTGTACTGGGCCTCCCAGGAGAACAAGACTGAGCGGTACTTCCAAATGGTCGTGGGTCTCCGGAGCGGTGTCATGGATCTCTTCACTTTCATGGGCATCCCGACCGTGTCCATCGGACTGCGCAACATGGTGGGAGAATCAAGGCACAGGAGACTGTCAGGGACGAATTTCAAGCGTGTGAACGTCCAGTACGACGGGCCGCGTCATCCAACCACCGCCTACATCCAGGACAGGTACGACTCCAAGGAAGTTTTGCTCAACTCCCCGTTCTGGCTTGGGGACGCCCCCGGAAGCCCCTTCCCAGAGCGGGGCTTCCTCGGCGACGACGAAAGAATCCAGCAGAAGGTGTCGCCCCTGCAGCCCTTTGGCGACTTTGACGCGTTTGTCCTCAAGGTCGGTGTGAGGCTTGCTTGCCAGACGTACTTGAACTGGGGCCCCACGGTCAAGACGGCCAGGAAGTATATCCCTCAAGTCGTGACCACGAGTGATGCCAGATTTTGCTACCTGGCCGAGGAGAGTGGCACAACTGTGAAGCAACGGCTACTGAGGCGGAGGTCAGCCGACGAAAGGGCCATCGACAGCATGAGGGCTCAGCTCAGCAACCCGAAGACAACACTTCAACTGTCGGATGCCCTGTTTGATGAATTCTACCAGGCGCAATTTATAGAGGACTGGCGTCGTATCCGACGATATAGGTATTAGTTTTGCATTCTTGAGTTGGCCTTTAAGTTCTTGATCGCTGGCCATGCTAGCACGTCGTCGTTTTCAAATACTTTGTCTTGTGGAAATTCAGGAGCCTACACAGTGACACCGTGAGCATGAAGTCTTTGCCCATGAAAACGCGTGTTTGGGGCCTTGGACAACCAACGCCCTCGTAGAAGCCAGCACCTACCATTTGGTTCACTCGAATTATGTATATCATTCAAGAGCACGGCAGCGCCGCGCAAAAATAGCATCACGGCACTCGTGACCGTTTACCACGACGCCAGCACTGCAACCAAGGTGCCACATGTTACGCAACTAATCGGACTAGCTGCTCTGCTGCTGTGCGTCAAAGCCTGACTTTTGATCACCGGCTACATAAATAGAGTCCGGGAAGAGCGGCACCTCCCGCGCCCCCGCAGGCCGCCGGCTAGAAAGCCCTTTGGATCCTTTATAGTTCTCTACAACGTTATCCACTCGTCATTACTCGCTTATTCCAACAGTTAGTGTTATGGACTAGTCCGATTGGGCCGTGGCGGGTGCCAGCTGCAGTCATCCCGATGGTGTGCCGGACCCCTTGACCGTTGAGCCAAAAGGGTACGTGATGAACAAGCTACGCTAGGCTTACTCGTCTGGCACTATAGAGGGTAGTTGAGCTTTAGTCTAGCGAAAGCAACCTGTTCCTCGATTCGGGATTTGGCATTCCTGCTTCGTAGATGTTTTGGTCTCAATCATAAAAGGTCAGCAGGAGAAGCTGGCGAATACAATCCGAGACCTGGATAGTGCGGTCGACGGTTTACGACGACACGATGAAAAGAAACTCCAAAACGTTCCTCGGCAGTGATGATGACGGGATGATTTTGCCAAGAGATAAAGTTCAGTGGTCAAACCATGTCCCTGCATTCATCATCCGCTCCCCGTGTGCCGGACCATGGCCGGCACTGACCTGATCCTGGCTCCTTGTCGCCAAGGGGCATTTCCACCTCGTCACAGTGACTCATGAGCCAGTCACGACATCGTTGCACGTCGTCGTCCTCCCCTTGCAGAGCCACACTCGGACCAGGGCGCTTCCAGAACGGCCTCTCAAACCATGCCGGCCAGAAACCGCCGAATTCCCAGTCGATGATGGCTTTGATCTTGAGCGTTTCAGGGTCCACTATGACGTTGTGCTGCCCGAGGTCGTTGTGACAAAACACGTATTCTCCCTTCTCCTTGGTCGGCCGCCAGCAGCTGTTGACCTTCCATTGGTTGCTGGTGACGCGCTGGGGAGGGCACAAGAGTGATTCGCCAGGCACTCCCGGAATATCCGATCGCAGGGCCTGTAGGGTGGCCACATGCTGCTGTAGCTCCTTCATCACCACCTCCTTCTGTTCCTGCTGCAGCTCCGTCATACTGACGCCCTCTACGTACTGTGATTGGAAGTAGAAGGCCCCGTCATCTTCGAAGGTGCATTCCGCAGGTGGCAGCGGGATATTTGTCTCGTTGCGCAGGAATCGGAGAACTGCAGCGTCGGTTTTCCATCGTTGGGGATACGTTGTCGGAGGAACGATGAGGACTTTGTCGGAGACTGACTGCCACTCATGCCGTCGAAGCGTCCGCTTCATGAACCAGCTGCCCACGTGGAAATATTTCTTGTCGGAGAGAACAATCGAGCAGCCAGCCTCTCGATGGTCATTCAGTTCTTGGTTTGTAACCATCTTTGGAGTCCCGTGAACGTGTAGTCGGGAGACTGGACAGATTCCACGGGCGTCTCCAGGGCTGGCTCTGTAAACGGCGATGATGTCGGTGAAAATGGGGAGAACAAGTGTCCCGGGGTCATGGCGAAATATACGACATGAAGTACGGGGATGGATGATGGATGCGGGACGGGGGTGGCTGCAGTGGGGGGGTGTGGGGCGGGTTTGGGCCCGGGGCGAAGGACCTTGATTGTAATTTGCCAGAGTCCACGTGATGTGCAACTTCTCCGCTGTGGACGTGGACGAGAAGCCTCACTCACGGCTTGTTGCTGCACTTCATCAGGCGCATCAAACATTCAACTACCCCAATAAGCTAAGCCAAGCTCACCGGTCCTCCGAAGCAAAGCTACCCGCTTTGGCTCCCTTGACCTCGGACATGGGGAATCCAATAGGCCGAATTTGTCCTCCCATTGTTCTGCTTCTTCCTACACGTCATGTCAGTATGTATTCTACGAATGAACGGAAGGCTTCGTACGCAGCACAGGTCAAACAGTCATTCTGACTCTGGCTCCCTGATAAAACGGTGCCGCAGCCAGGGCATTTCCAAGTACCATTTGGCATTTCCAAGTACCATTTGGCATTTCCGCAGCCAAGTATTGTTGCTGTTTTGTGAAATGAGGCGTCCTGGACTCCTGGCAATCGTGGAAGGAAGGACTGGCGGGAAAAGTGTTTTTTTTTCTTCTGTGCTCGAATAGATGCCCTGGCAGGATGTATAGGCGGAGGATGATGATCGAAACGAAAAAGGAGCGAGCCTGGGCCAAGGTTCAAGTATCAAGTTGCATGCTCAATGTTGGTCTTTCGGAAGCCACGTACAGCAATCATTTGGCCAACGACAACGCGTACACGTACCCATTCTGGTTGGCCAACCGCCGGCGGCCAGAGTGTAGCCGAGCGACGTTGCAGTCGATTTTTGGGTGAGGGCTGTCGCCTGGGGTTAGAAACCACGGGGTAGCACGTGAGCGACTTGACAACATCACGCATGTAGTTACATTGTGTCTGATACGATAAGATTGGAACGGTCGGCCAACGGTTTGGCGCCTGCCTACTTAAAGTAGATGAGAGGCTTGATGTCTCTGGACGTGGTGCACACACGGGGCGGGTTCAATCGAGAGTGGCACGCTGTTGAGTGTTGAGCGTTGGAAGCCTCATGTTGACCGCTCCCCCCCCCCTTCACAGCCAAGTCTGGTCACTTTAGCTGAACAAGGATCGCAAACTGTGGTCAAGTTCAAACCCGCACTCTGGCCTCGTATTGTGTATTGTACCCTGCCATCAGGTAGGCGAGCAATGGCCGGGTCATCTACACTCTCTGCCAACTTCCGCTGGCGATGCTGCCCCGTCACTTGGACACATTTTACCCCCCCGAGACAGATAATTGTGTCGCCGAGCAAGATACCACCGCATAACGGCGCACAAAGATTGATATTCATTGGGTGAGAAGACTCAGTCAGCTATGATGAGTCGCTTGCAGCTGAGGAGACGTTGCTCTGTACAATCGCCGCCCGCGTATTTTGTGGTCAGCTCGGACACGTCCACTGTCTCGCGAGCCGCAAACCCGACATCAACCAGTCACTACTGCTGTGTGCCACCAGTCAGTCTGGCATCGCGAGTCGTTTGCGACGGACAGTGAGTGGCGGAGAGATGGTTTCACAGCATCCTAGGGGACCCTGGGACAGCGATATTCGGCAGACAGTTTACTTGTACGCTCAGACAGATGATGTCGGCTCAGCTACATAGGAGCATGGTGAGTGGCAAAGGCGATGCGTGGTTGGAAATAATCGAAACTTTTCTAGAAAATGCCGCCAACTCTAGATTAGAAGCACTGAAAGACAGTCTTGATCGGAGCGCAGAGTGCTCATCGCAGATTCTGTGTCATGGTCTGGGCTAAATAAAGCCCAACCTAGCGAGCGGGACATGGCCTATAGTGCCAGATGAGCAAGAAAAGGGCAGCTTGTTCATCCATCCACGTACTGGGACCCTTTTGGCTCAACGGTCAGACGGGTCCGGCACACCGTCGGATTCGGGGTGACTGCGGCTGGCACCCGCCGTGGCTCCTTGAGCTAGTCCATCGCAGTCCTTAGCAAAAAGAATCTTACACGCTAGGTTTAGCTGCAAACAGTGCCATGTAGCTCTTTGTAACTCACAAGATTGCTAGTACTTCTTTTGTTTTACTACTTCTCAATACACCCAAGTAACCTTTTAATGCAAGGTTTCTGATTGGCTAAACCCGAAATGCGATACCGCCTGACTGGGGGGTGGGACGGGACCGCGTCCCCACCGTTATCCGCCCCTCCGCCCCCACTCCTTCCCGCACGTTTAATTTCGTATCAATGGTTTCCAATTCGACGCTTCCTTATCGATGACGTTGAAGCCCGTTGTTGGTTCCAGGACTGACTGCAACGTCCGTAGCAACTCTGCTGTACGCTTTTGACGCTTCCATGGGCGTGCGGGCGGGCGACTCTAGTGAACTTACAAACGGGCGACGTATTTGACTTGAAATAACGTTAGAAAGCAATCCACTATATGACACGGCGTCAACCTCGCCGATCGACTTCAAAGCAAGTGCATCGCCGTGAATAAAACAGTCGACTTTCCGTCTTGTCCGCAAGCGTGCGCAGTCACGACGCAGCCTGCGCCTCCACGTCGGCGTTTCTAAGCACCACGTCAAACGAGTCGCTCAAAGTCATGTCGTGCGGGTGGACTCTGTACATGGCCTCCGTCTGCAGCGTCAGGATGGTGGTCTCGCCTTCTCGCGGGCTTGAGCGCGTGAACTTGTTCACTTGAGCCAGGGACAGCAGGAAGCTCATGTCCTGGACGGTGCTGATGCCGATGAGCTTGGTCACGCTCCGTGGCAGGAGTCTCAGCACGAGGTAGTCGATGCCCGCCCTCCTGTCCATTTGGGGCAGCACGTTGAAGCGCAGGTTGCCCAGCATCCGGGGGCCGGGCCCGTCGTAGTTGGCCAGGAGTCGGTGGTCATTCGGGTCTGCGGGACCGAGGGCGACGCGCACGTCCAGCTCCAGCAGTTCGTAGTCGCTGTCCTGGTTGTTCTCGACGTGGATGCTGAAGACGACGTCTTGTTGGCGGTTGTCGCCCGACGTCTCAACCTGGTTGTCCTCGTTTGCCAGAGAGTAGACCATGCAGTTATACTTGGGTGGATTGGCCGGGTCGAAGGTGCCGCCTGGGTCTTCCAGGGCCGGCGTGGTCGGGGACGGAGACGAGGGCTGCCTGGGGCTGTATGGGGGAATGGCGCGTACTTGGGGGCTGAGATTAGCTTGCTGGACGTGCGGCTCAACTTTGTAATCCTTGTGGCGAAGGAGCTGGGAAGCAAGCGGGTTGGGTTTCACTCTTGTCGTGGTTGCCGTGGTCGCCGTGGTGCCGTCGTCACTGCCCCTTTCTTCGGCCTCGCCCGGCTTGACCAGCGGCGTGATGCTCGAGGGAGCGGTCGACGTCAATGTGAAAGGCTGCTTGGGAGATGTGGAGGTCGCCCCTACTGCCAGGGGGGCCGTAGCGGCGGGCGTGGACTGGTTCCCTTCCAGATTGATGGTGAGGCTGTAGACTGGATCAGTCAGCTGCATGGCCAGCAAGGCCGAGTTGGCTGTGTCGTCATCAAAAGGCCTGCTCTGGCCCTCGGACACCTCGTCGTCCGACCAGGCGCGGAGCAAGGCCAGTTGCTGCTGAGCAAAGTACGGGAGACGAAGGAGGCGCACATCATCGGCACCAGAGGCGGCATCCGTGCTCCAGGTGAACCAATTGTTCAAATCTGTCGGCTTCATCACAATCCCTGGCTGTAGCGCGTCCTTGTCCCTTTTGTCTGATGAGACGGATGTGGTGTACTGCTTCCGCACATCGATGTCAACTTCAAGCGTGGTGAGCTTCCAGCCGACGGCAAATCTCTGCTGATGAGGTGGCTGGGTAAATACCAATGATTCAAACTCGGGCAGGCCTGGCTGACGATCCACGAGGCCCATCATGACGCCGTCGGTCACAATTTCGTGTCTCAGCAGCGGCGCTTGCCCGATGGTCGACGCCGACTTGACCTCCACCCTGAGATCGGGGAACATGGAGACAAGATCAGATCGCAGATAGAAGCCATAGCGGGGGATCTGCGGTGTATACTCTGGCTGGTGCTCGGGGTGATGGGTCAAGTAGGCGTTTATCGCGGCTTTAATGGCCGCTCTGTCCCTGTCCTCGCCCGAGTGGTTGGCCAGACTGAGAGCGCCGTCGACCATGGCGTCCAGCCATCCGGGATCAATGAAGAAGAACCGAAGGCTCTCTGCTGGAAGGTGTGTGGGATCACTGATCAGGTAGTGCGCAGGCACTCCGGAGAGGAACATGCGGTCGAGTACAAAGGCCAGCACGATCATCCAGTCCGTTGAAACTGGTGTGTTGGTCTCGTCATATACGCTTCCATCCGTGGCTTTTGCAAGATCCAGAGCGATCTGTGTCGCTTGCTCGAGGTAATCGTCTTTGATCTTGCCAGCGTTGTAGTGCAAAGACGGCATCTGGTTCGCGGCCAGCCGTGGTCGATACCAACGTTTCTGGGGAGGACCAGCTCGGAAAGACTGTGATGACGTGTCCCCTGAAGCTTTGGCGTGCAAGTTGCTCAACTTGTCTACGGCATCTTGAAGGCCACGCAGCACGTCTGAGCGGCTGCGGTAGCTCTCTGGTCCGCCCGCTGAGCGAACAGCCGATATCTTCAACGCCTTCATAGTCCGAGCATGGATCGTCGCTCGCAGCCGGAACAGGGCGGCGGCAAAGGCTTGGTTGCCCAAGGCCAGCGTCCGGCCCAAGGTCCATGCAGTAGAGTAGCTGATGTCCATGATGCCGACCTCGCGGTCCAGGATTTGCAGGTCTTGGCCAGAGTTGGAGCACGCCTTGGCCACGGTGTCCGACGGCTGCACCACCGTCGGCGTCAAGGGGCCTCGGTACAGGGCGACTGTCTGCTCTCCAGTCTGCGTACGGTATCTGACCAGCGAGTAGCCGTCTCGCAGACGAGCAGCTATTCGTGCTTTCACGTCCCCGCCGTTGCTGAGGGGGTCGGTGATGCTGGCAGCAGGTCGCAGGACGCTGAGGGTCTTGCCAATGTTGTCAAAGGCCTCGTGGACGTTGAGCATTCCCGGGGGCATGACCGTGTAAGTCCAGCTGTAGAGAGAGCACAGCGCTACATAGCCCTCTGCGGGAAAGGCCTTCATGTCTTCGACCCCCTCGATAGAAACTAGGTGAACAAAGACCGACACGGGGGCGGTGTTATCCAGCGGCCCCGACCGGCTGCCGACAACGATGGAGAAGATGCCCACCTCCTCGACACCTGCGACCGCCATGCCCGTCGTGTTGATCTCGCGGACGTGAGCCAGGTACTTGTAGCGGGTCGTTTCGGGGCTGCCAGAATCCTGTCTTTTGTTCTGTTGGTCAAAGCATGAGAACAAGTTCCTGAACAGCTCCGGCTTGGTAAAGATGAAATCCCCGCGTGCGGCGTCCACATCCGGCCCCGTGGCATCCGGTATGGGATTGGCCACGTTGGGTATGGCCCGGAGCTCCTGGACTGTCATGTTTACGGCCAGTGTGTCTGTGTGCTTGAACGTCGTGCCGACCAAGGCCCCCGGTGCCAGTCTCAGCTCGTCGTTGGTGAAAGTGAACAGCGCCAGCCACGGCACCTTGCTGCGTTCGTCCTGGTTCCCATCCTGCTCCGAGGCCGGGCTTCCCAGTCTCTCCCACGGCAGATGCGGGTCGCTGAGGACGACGTGAGGCAGAATGCGCTGGTCGTCTGGGTATCCGTTGGGGGGATATACGGAATATACAGAGCCGGCTGGGAGGGAGAACTGCGGCGCGTCGACCAGAAAATCCTGCTTGGAAACGAGTCGCAGCGGCTTGTCGCTCATTGCCGGCGCCGGCGCCTCGACGACTTGCGTGGCCACGATCTGATGACTCTCTCCGGCCTCGAGGCCAGGAGCCCAGTAAGCGTTGAGTTTCTCTTCTCCGGGCTTCAGGTCCGTTCCTGCAGGCGCTGGTGGCGCCGCCCCGGGTGTCACGTCACGCTGAGCCGCCCTGTGCAACGCTGCACTTTGCCGGGCATGGCGAAGAGTGAGATATCGCGGGGAGTTGATGGCTTTGCTCGGGCCTCGAGTGAAGATGGCCATGGCTGTGTGTCAGGTCTTTGGACTGACTGCTAACTCGGAACGTACCCAGGAAGTCGTCACCATAACGTGGAAAGACATGACCAACAAAGGCTCTCGTCGTAGTGTTCCTGATAAGCGAATATTGAATTGTCCTCGACGAGATGCAGCTTGCGTGTAAAGAGGGAGGGCAACACAAGCAGACTACGTTGACGCCTGTCCAAGGACACGCATGCAATATGCCGTGTATGCGTCCTTGCTGCATGTCCACGGCATCAATAGCACAGCAGCGCGAGATGGTACTTTTGTCAGAGGCAAGGCAACCGCAGTGTACATGTAACCTCGGGCTGTTCCGCCTCTCATGTCGGTTGATAACGACTTCAACGACAGACGTTGGCATTGCGGGGTCGGGCACCGTCGTGGTCATCAAGCATTGACTGACTCCCAAGGACGGCTCAGCAGATGAGGGAGGTGGGCACTGCATGAAGATGTAACACGATGATCATGCACTTGATTTGCGTTGACGTCTGGGCAAACGGGCTGCAGCGGCACATGAGTCCTTTCACTGCCAGACATTTCGCATCAAAGGCATCACTACCTCGTACAACACTCTTCTCGTAAAGCGCCAAAACGCACATCAGCCTGTGTATCGGGCATGTGTACGTCTAGCCAAACTTTGCAACCTAAGATGCCTTGACCTGTTTGAGATGGAATCATGTTGAAGCTTATGGGTAAGAGACGACAACCCCATCTGGAGCCAGTCAACGAATACGTCACCTTCTTATGATGGCAGATTTCTACTCAACAGTGTCCTTTCCGGCCGGACCTCCATCCCGTCGACTCAAGTAGCCCGGCCTCTATGCGCTGTGCACCGTCTCATCCGGAAGGGCATGCAGTGGATGCATAGCCCACCAGCCGTTTAGAAGAAATCCAACCGCAGATATCCGCATCTATGACGCGGGATGTACACACGCTTGAGTGAGTGGGCGAGGGCGAGGAGCTTGTCGAGCCCAGCTCTGGTTTCACACCGTCGCCGTCGGCGAGCCGAGACGAGACGCCAGCCATCTGTGCAAGTCGAAGCATTTCTACAACATGAAACGGCAGAGATCCGGTGGGATTGATGGACCGTTTACTGAGAGAGCTTGACAGAGTTGTCAGGTGACGTGATGAACAGATGGGCCGTTGACCGGCCGTGAACAAGTATTTATAGCCCAGTTGATGGCTTCTACCTCTTGCCCTTCTGCATCCCGGGCTGATCTTTTCCCGTCCAGAGCAGGACAGTAACTCTTGAGCTCGTTGCGCTGCCCCAAGGAAGCCCTTGACCTACCTGGCTGTTCCAAAACAACACACCACCGTCATCATCATGCCTGGGTTTGCCTCCATCCTCAACACGGGCCAGAGTGTCCCCAATGACAAGGCCGTCCAGGTCTACTTCACCACGAGCAATTCCAACGTCGGCATGGCGCTGCATGACAAGACGACAGACAGCAACAACCCAGACGTCGTTCAATCCAGCAAAGCCGACCCGCCGGGTAATCTCGTCTTCAGCACCCAGCTTACCAGCACCACGTTGATGTATTTCAACGCCGTGTTTGGCTTCACGAAGCAGCTGGACGCCAAGTCTCCCCAGATCGACGTCTCCCTCGTCTGCCCCGTCTACCAAGCCGTAGCAGCCACCGAGAGCACCAACACGACCATTGCGAGCTGCTCTTCTCAGGACAAAACCTGGGTCTATTATTTGAGGTAAGGAAGACACGAACACGTCGGCACCAGACACGAGGGGGGAGAAGACGAATGAAAGATCCGAGTAGTATGTGGATGTGGCCAGTCACTAATGGATTGATTGCTTGTTTGCGGTTTTTCCCCCCTTAGCGGAGCGGACCAGGACTCGCTCAGAATCGTTCAGTCGGAAGTCGGAAAGCAAGTCACGAGCATCAAACTGGAAGCAACGGATGTGCGGCTGGGAAGTTCGCTCGCCGCCTACTACGATGTCGAGCAGCGGCTGCCGTTCGTCATCTACCAGCACGAGGTCGACGGGGGGGACGACGTCAGGCAGTTGTACGAGTACAGCGTAGACAATGAATCTTGTAAGGGACCGGACCCGAAACCACGTCCATCGTCTGGAAGCAACATGTGGTGCTTGCTGCTGACGCACTCCATAGCCAGCAGGATCCAAAACACGGACGACGCTGCGAAACTGACGAGCATCGCGGCGGTACATGTCCGTCGGGTCACGTACCTGTACTACATGGACAACGACAACGAGCTCCGGGTCATCACCAAGGTCAGGGGCAACTGGGGCTCCTCTGCCGGAGTGAGCGGCGCCGGCAAGGTCAACAGCTCGAGCCAGATCACCGCCGTCTCGTCTGGTGAAGCCAGCCACGTATTCTACACTGACGACAGTGATTCGCCGGTGCACCTCATGTTGCCTTTTTAGCAGAGGACAGGCAATTTCAAAAATTACCCGGTGGTCCGTTGGCTTGACACAGAACCGATGTGCATGGTAAATTGTGAGAGGAATACTGAAAATCATCGGCCCCTATTTCGTAATCAAAGGAGCCGCGACGTACAGTCTATCAAATTGAGCATTCACCCACTGGGGTATCTTGGCCCACTGGCTCAATCCTGCATCCCATCCCAGGGCCACCGTCCAGCCACTGACGAATTCTTCCTGGACTTGTCCTGTACCTTGGTCCCAGTCCGGAACCGCCCATTTCTCCCGCACCAGCTCCCACTGCTCTGTAGTCTGCAGCGGCTCTGCGGGGTCCCAGTTCTCGTTGGAGCCTTCGTCCTCGGGAAATGGTTCCTGGGCAGTAAGCTCTTCAAGCTCAGCGTCGAGCATGTTAAAGACTGGATAGGGGTCGTTGGACATGTGCGGTGGCGGAGCCGTTAGTCGGACGCCAGCCAAGAGGTCAATGGTTCCGGCGGAAGAGGAGAGCAGACTGTCGATGTTGTTGCCGCTCTTCAAGGGGTCCGTGCTGGAATCATCTGTGTATTTCTTTTAGTTGATGATGGGCGGATTTCGTCTTTGCCAAGTGGAAAGTTCTTACATTCACCCCACAGCCCTGCTGGAAGAGACTTGATGATCTTCTCCATTGTCCAGCCCTCAATAACCCTTCCGTCCTCCCTCGTAATGGAAATTTGCAGGCTCGACGCCAACTGAGAATCTCCCTGCAGCTTCATGGGCCTTGCGTAAAGAGCCTCGTCTTGTGCGATGTGACCGATGCTCTGGTCTCCGTCCATCTGGTCGGCGCTCTTGATGGCCACTTTGCAGCCGATGGCGCATACGAAGCTGCCGCCGCGCACGACCCAGGTTTGATTGTGCTGACGGTCCGGCTTTTCATCCTTGTTCATCAAGCCAGACTCGGCCAGGAAAGTGTGTGCCTCGTCTTGGGGAACGTCGACGAACTTCTTCTCGGCCTCGCCGGCGGCGTCACTCTCCGGCTCTGCGACGCTGGGCTCAGCCATGGCGGTCTGGTCCTGCTGGGTCCCCGGACCGCCTTCACTGGCTTGCAGGACGAGTTCGTAAAACTCGAGCAGCGATAGGGGCTCGACATGGTTCTGCGCCTCGCCGAAATTGATGTTGAACGAGACAACTTTGAGGTTGACGTGAACTCGGCCGGCAAGGGGCGGCCCCCACATAGTGAGATCGGCTCCGACATCAATGGAGATGTGTATGTGGATGAACCAAATGTTGATGCTGAACTTGACGCCGATGTCAACACCAGCCTCGGCGAGGAAGTGGAAGGGCTGATAGTTGATCAGGAAGTTCGCAAAGGCGTCGAACCACGCCTCGAGCGGTCCCGCGCTGAGGGCGGCATGCAGCCTGCCCCCTCCCATGCAGGCTTTGGGCGTGATGGCGAAGTAGGCCTCGCCGCAGACGCTCAGCCCGTGGCCCAGGCTCCAGGTGATTCCCAGCCTCGGGGGGTTAGGGTATCCCTCGGGTATCTGGAAGGCCGGGTGGTATCCTCCCAGGCTGAAGACGAAGTCTCCCGTCTTGCTGTGGTCGGCGTGTGGTGCATCAAACCAATAGTAGAGGGCGAACCCTCCTGTCAGATGACAGCTCGGGTGTAGGATGTACGAGTTGGGGCTGAGCTGTGCCTCTGCTTTCATCACTCCATAGGCAAAGTCTACGACAACGGCGATGCCGAGCTCCGCGTGGGCGTACTTGAAGGGGGATTTTGGGTTCGGAATGTCGACATTGGCAACGGCAAAGATTCCCAGCTTGATAGTCTCTCCAAACTGCACCACCGCCACGGCATCCAGGGCAATCAGCTGGAACGCGTCTATCTTCATGCCTACTGCGGCCCAGTACGTGCCAGGCAGAGGGTTGAACCACCCCCCCTGGCCGGGGTCTGTCAGTCTTTGCAGCGCGCTCATGGCGCTATCCGTCGAGCCATCGAGCGAGCTCGTCTCGATAAGCGGGAAGTTGACAATCTGATCGGGCGTGGGGACCTTGACATTGGAATTGTAACCAAATCCGCCCGTGACGCCGGATATTTCCCCAAACTCGAGCTCAACAAGCGGCCCGTTCAGCCGGGCGAAGACAAATACCGATATGAAAGAGTCCTTCGGGTCTTTTGCTCCGCCGGGGCTTGCTTGCCCATAAAACCCTGCCGCCTCTACCTGATACGGCTTCCACCCAATAATCAGCCCACCGGCATAGTAGTCGAGATTCGGATCGCTACCGTGGCGAATGCTTCCGCAGATGGTGAGAGGAGGTCGTTCAAAGGCAACGGACAATCCTTGCAGAGTGATAGACATGTCGGACAGCTCAGGATTCTTGAGTACGGCGAGGTCAAGGCCGAGGCTGAACCCGATGAGGGACAGGCCAACCGGGCCGAGCTCCATCGTGGCTGTGAGCATGATTTGTAACTTCTTGTTGGCGTACTTGAGGCCCAAGTTACTGATTGATAGTGGTCCGGACTTCTTTTTGAAAGGTGCAGAGGAGCTGCCGCCGTCCGAGTCGGAATCCGTTCCATCCTCGCCTACACCCTCGACTGCTGGCTTCGTCGCACTAGAAGCTTGGCTCTGAGACTTTGGTTGAGACTGTGCTTGGGAATTTGGTTGAGACTTTGGTTGTGTCCTCTTGAAGTTGTAGTCCAAAACCAGTTTGCGGGCATTGTTGGAGTCTTTGAGTACGACACAGAAGTGCGCTCCCGAGGTAATAATTACATCGGTGTCCTTGGGGGATTTGGACTTGTTCGAGTAAACTAGTGGGCAATCGCCAAGAGATGCGTTGAGATCATCGACTTCAGACACGGTCAGCCCTGGCTGGGCCTGCTTGCTCTTGGGAATGCCGGCAGCGTCTTGTACCCAGAGTAGGTACATTTCATCAAAGGGTTGAGTCAAGTCCCCGATCAGCGGGATCGACACTGACGGCAGCGCCATCATCCCAGCCTTGACAAGTCGCTTGGATGGGGTCGAGGCAGGCCATTCGTTTGAGTGGAACTGAGCAAAGACGATCTCCACCGGGCTAAAGACTATGTTGGTGAGCAGATGGAACCCGGCTTTGCTCTTGCACACTTCTAGATGAAATTCGCTGCCGGACGCCTTGTCGCCATTGAAGACAGTGTCGGCCAGGAAAGGCGGCAAAGAGAGATCATCATCGCCTAGCATGCTCGCCAGGATTTCACCGATTGTTGTCTTGTCCTTGGCGGCTTTCAAGTCAGCTGTGAAATTCCACCCATTTTTGTTGTCAAAATGAAAGGCGACATCCAGCTCAAGATCCGCGACAAGTAGGGCACCAGAAAAATCAAAAGAACTACCGACAGAGCGTCCTTCAGCGCCCCCCCTTTCGTATTTGTACAACAAATGCATTTTAGATATCTTCAGTGAATCAAGCAAGGGCAAAACATGATCGGCCGAAGCCTCATCAAAGAACTCGCAGAGAGTCGAGGCATACAAGCCATCGAGTGACGCCTCTAGCTGCCAGCCTTGGGATGAATCGTACGTGACGGTACCGGCAAGGTAGGCAAGCCCCTCATGTTTGGAGCTCTGACTGGGAACCAGAATTGTAGTAAAAGCCAGGCAAATTTTGAAATTTCTCGCTCCCCAGCTGAACGATGCGTCGAGATCGATCTGGCCCAAATCAATGCTGGGCACGTTGCCAGGCACATCGCCTCCCTCGTGGTCCTTTGACTCGATTGTTGTCCGTATGGTAAAGGTATCTTTTGAGAGGAATATGCAAGCACTGGAGATTTCCGTTGGCACGGTAGTAGGTATGTCTGGAATGTTGTCAACGCCAGGGATCAGGGTTACCAGGTCGAGCACCTTCACAGGGTTGGTGGTGAGTGGCTGCAGATCGGAGAAGCTCTCGTATTGAGGAGTGATGAAGCTCTCGGTCGAGGTTACGTACCCTTGGTCAGGAGATAGTCAGCATTCCAGATCAAACGGAAGAGGCAAAGCCTGGCAGATTGCTCACAGTTCCAGAAGTCCCCCACGATGGACCCCAGCTGGCCTACATCAGCATCCCAGCTGTACGAGACCAGGAATGGGGCCCTCTGTGGCTTGTTGGCGTTGCCAAAATTGCCAGATACTTCGACGTCCACCTTGACACTCGAAAGCTTCGGGGAGCCTTGCCCGGCCGAAGCAAGGACGATCCTGAGCCGACGGAGATGAATGTAACCGCTGAAAATATCGTCCTTGTCAAGCAGTGTCTGAAACCCGTCCACTCCGCTACCCTGCGGTAGTAAGTCCAAGAGCCAAGCAATCATGTCTGTGAAAACATTTTCGTTTGAAGGATCCTTCACGCTGATTGTGAGATTAAGTTGAGTTTCACATACTTCTAGCGCCAGAATTATGTCGGTGCCAGTCCTACCCGCGGGTGTGATTGAGCCGCTCATCTCAAAGACGACGGTACCGATTGAGACGGCTTCTTCTTCTGTCGAAGCGTCGCCTAAAATCGTCTCTTTCTTGCAGATGAGCTCGACGCTTGTGAATGCGAGGCCGTGCAACTCTTCTGCCAAGACCTTTTGGAACCCTTCTGTGTTTTTGATTTCGAACTGGAGCCTGATGGCTGTGCTGAGATATCTACCAGGAGTGAACCAGATGGCATTTCTTTTCTCATTGGCTTCTTTTGGGTCTAATGTTGCTTCTAATCCGGGTACAAGATCTGGAAATTGTTCAATGCCATTCTTGATATTGGCAAAAGAGAAGACGTCCTTGATTGTTGTGTTGACGCCTTTGGACTGGCGGGGATCTAGCCCGAAGTACAGCGTAGAACCATCACTTTTGATTCCAGGGGAAGGGATTCCGCTCGCATTGGTGCCGAAGGAGAAAATGAGGGCATCAGGCCCGGAGCTAAACGTCAGGTCGTACGGCGCGGTCAAGTGAAATTCAAAGGACTGTATATTCATGCTGATACTGTCATCGACTGTGATGGACAGGGCGCAATTAGCGTCCCAGTTGGTCATCCACGTCTTCCAGGCGTCACTGGCATCCAGCTCTGCCACTTTATCTGACGGCTGCTGGCTGAGCGTGATGCCCTTGTCGGGTAGCTGATCGAGAAAGCTGTTCAAGTTGGCCTCGTCCTTGGAAAGAACCTTTGTGTTTGGATCCGGTGTCCTCCCCGAATCATGGGAGAAAATGAAGTACTTGCTAGTGTCACTCGAGGGACTCGGGGCGGCGAGCAAGCCGCCGCCAGCTCTGGGAGCGGGAGCCATTGGCCGCCGTTAATGCGGGAAAGAGACGAATAAAGGTGTATACGAAGCTGTTACCAAAATTCGCACCGCCTACGGTACCACGATGTGGCTTGTATGCTGTGAGTGAAGGCTAGACTAGTTCATTGTGTCATGAAACTGGCGGGAGCTGTCTACCTACCTGATGACGAGGGCGAAAAGAGGCAATCCATGGCTCTCGTCGTTATTGGACGAGTCCGTTGTGATAGCAGTTTGAATGTTTGAATTGGTAGGCCTTGATAACGGCTGGGTCGATCAAGTTTCGTCCAAGACAACTCACCGACCTGCAGCATCGGAAGCGGGGAAGAAAACGATGATCGGCCGGGCCGGGCCGGGTTTGTCTCAAGAGGGAGGAGGCTCAGGGGGGTGGGGTGGGCAAAGATGGCGGCAACGGGTGGGAATCGCTATGCCTGTACATATGCAAATAAGCCGGTTATCAGGGATAACAGGATAACTATATGCACATAAAGCGTTTATCTCCTCTGTGGCACGGGCCGTGGCCTGTATGCATGTACATGATGTAACCAAATTGTCTCCATCACCAGTGACACCAGCCGATGTGAATATCACCCAAAAGTACCATACCGAAGCAAGTCATACAAACAGCTTGAGACATTTTTGCGACTGTAATCCCGCTTCACTACGTCTTTGTTCTCGGTTCCAGCCCCTCTGCGGCGCTGGGCAGCTTCCTTTTCGGAAATATGGCGCGTCCAGCCAGCAAAAGAAAGCGCCTTCGTCGACGGGAGAACGGCGCATATCATAGTTGGAAGTTGGTGAACGCCAACAAAGAGGGGAGAACATGTGGCGACAAATTCGGAAAACACCTGTTCGCGTCTTCATTTTTTTTATTTTTTTTTCTTTGCTGACTTTTTTCAGGATCCCAGTTAACCCCCCGTTTCTCTGACCATTCAAGATTTGACCAGTCGTTGACTGATTACCGTATATTTCCCGCCAGACCCATGGGGCATCATACCAAAGAGTACAGAGCATGGCCGACAGTAACGTCCTTCTCGTGCCAATTCAGCTTCAAGCATTCTCTCTCAATCCGGCTGTGTGTGGCACTGGAGATGATGATGACAAGGGAGCTCGTATTATCCCCATCACACAGCCCAACTATACCTTCCTACGGCTAGACAACTTCGTTGTGCAGAGCGACGTTCTAAACCACGCCGACCTTCACAATGCGGCCCCTGCCAGCCGTAACTCGCGCATGACGGACTTGGGGTCGAGGGCATTCGCCCCTCGCCGGAATCGCCACGGCATTTACCTTCACTGGATTCTTCCTCAGCTGTATCGATCCGGCGTGGCAGCAACGGATTCAGTCACTCCGGAGCGTCTCAGCGACGAGCGCCTCAGGCGGGGATTACCCGATCGCGATGTCAAAGTCGACCCCAAGGCCGGAGAGGCGTCGACTCCCGAATTCCTCGGTCCGCCGACCCGATGGATAGTGGTTCGAAAGCTCGACATGGACAGCATCAACCCCGCAGCGAAGTCGCAGTTCAAGGAGTACCAGGCCTGGGTCATCGAAAGCGACTACCTCTGGGCGCTGGATGACATTCCGCTCAGCTACGACCTCGAGGTGGACGTCTCGCCGTATGTTGTGGGTGTCGCAGGCCCAGGGGACGAAAACACCATCGCTCAGCAAGCTGAGGTTTTCATCGGCAGGAAGACGCCGCTCGAGGAGTGGTCTCCGCCGACGGATGCTCAGTATGCGGATATCAACGTTCTCCGCAGCGGTAACCAGCTCTTTACCGACTTTCAGCTGCACAACACCAACGTCTTCAGCACCCTGGACAACTTTGAGTACAAAGGTCCTAACCAAGAGACCTGCTACCTCGATGCGGCCACCGCAAGCTACTACCTCTTTGGCTGGCATTCGGACTCCTCTAGCGATCCGCTATGGGATACCAAGGAGCGCTACACTCACGAGCAACGTTTGGATGCACTGTTTATGACTCTTGCCGACACTGGCGACCCGGATGTGACCGGGCCCTGGCTCAAGTCAACAGATCCTGTCAGACTCTGCTTACATGGCGCAATGTACGACGTCAAATGGGACCACGAGAACAAGCCAGCGTCTGTCCCGGCAGATGACTTTTCTCAAGGCGTACTTGATCAAAAGGTTCCCGCCCTCTCAGTAGGCACGAGTCCTCTGGATGCGTTGATGACTTACTGCTCAGCGAGAGAAGGTTCAGAAAAGGGGGTTGTGAAGAGGCTGGAGGAAGATCTCTTGGCCATAGAGTCCCTGCTGCATGCTCGTGATGACGGCGTCGAGGGCCAGCGCGAGGCCAAGGACACGGTCTACAACTGGAATTTTTCTCGCTTCAAAGGCGGAGCACGCTTCTTCTTTGGCGGTCAAGACAACAAAGGACAGCCAACCAAGCCGACTGACGCGTCCATCATTGCTCTCAAGGAACTCAACCAGATACAGCGCATCCTGGATGCCTGCAGCCGCCTGGCTGATCAATGGCGCTGGGATATGTTCTCGACTTGGTGGAAATTCGTCAGCACCGTCTCCAACAAAGAGGATGGAGACGACAAGACCAAGTCTGATGCTGACGCCATCGCACGACGCTTACAAGATCTCACCAAGTGTATAGCTGACCTGGAAGACCAGCTTAAGACGACACTTTCGAGCGCCGACGACGTACTGACCGACGCTAAAACAGGGACTTTGGACTTCTACTACAGCGCCAAAGACCCGACGCTGCTGGTTGGGGGCGTCGATTCGGGATGGCCAGCTGACTTTTCCAAAAATGTACCAGTCAGGCTTCCCGTGCAGACCATACCTCTATCATCACCATCAAGTCTCCCGCCTGCTCTGTCCAGTCTGATCTCGGCCATCCAAGCCGTGCTCCCCGTAACTGCGGCTAGCCAACTCCTCGCAGAATTCTACGCCTTGCAACCTTCCCAGCAACCCCCAGACGCACCTACACAAGGCCATGCGTGTCCTCATTTCCATGAGAAGGGCACCAAGGAGAAGCCATCGCGGGACAATTGGGGTGACCAGCAGCCATGGTTCCCACTCTACGTGGAATGGGAGGTCGAGTACACCCATGTTCCTTATGAATTCTGGGTTCTAGACGAACAGACTGCGCGTCTTTCGGCCAACAAGATGGTGCGTTACGGCGTTGATATATCGGACGGACCCTTATGGCAAAAGCTCCGGGACCCCCATGACACTCGCATCCTCTCTGGAAGAGTGCTCATCCTCCCACATCCAAGCTTCTCACTCAAGAGCAAAGTGACGCAGCTCATCTCAGATACTCCGCCACAGATCCTGGACCAGTACCTCAAGGAGTGCGGTCTCGCCCAGGCTGACCTCCAGGAGCTGGTGGACAACATCGGCTCTCTGTCCTACCTTTCTTGTCCACTATCCGGGCTCACCCAGGGGCTCCTCACTCTCAACATGGGCACGCACGTCAAGCCCGAGAATAAACAGTTGACTGATCAAGGCGAGACTACCGTCGCAGTCAAAGCGGCCGAGTTTGACGCCGCTGGTCTGACCAAAGAACGTATCGAGCTCATCATGGGCAATTCGAGCGTCACCCCGTTCGCAGCCATGACCAATTTTGGCAACGCTGCATTCTGCCCTTTCAAGCCCGTCACACATGGACAGATGGCGTGAGTTACTTGCCCCTCCCATATACAGACAATCTTTATGCCAGTCTGCGGTTTGTGTTGAGCTGAGCTGATACGTGCCCCAAATCAGATTTAGAAAGCTCAACATCATAGACAAGTTTGGCCAAGCCATCGTAGCCATCGACCCGCAGCCGCAGCCGCAAAATGAGCCGCCGCCGCCTCTCTTTCCTAGCATCAGCGACTTTTACGAGCCGCAGACAGTCCTCCAAGACGGCACCCTCGTTGCCAATGCTGTTCAGCCCCAGAACGGCTCGGCCTGTGAGTTTATCCAGCTGCCACCGCAGATCAATCAACCTGCACGACTCAACGCCGACTTCATTATGCCGGCTAGGTCGATAGACGATGGTGCCTCGAGACAGTCATCATACTGGCGCTCTGCCACGGAATGGGAGAACCCCATATGGGGCTGGATAGTAGTCAACTATGCTGACTACGGCATCCAGCTGTTTCTGCAGGACGGCACGTTTTACGGAGAGGTGCGGATTGGAGGGCCTGGGGACGCCCTCGAGGAGCCTAAGTGGTCGCCCTTTGAGCCAGACCAGACAATCTCCACGGCGGATGCCCAGCGATTGGATGCCTTTATCTTGCGGCTCAAGAACAAGGACTATCTTGAGGGGGTCTGGGTCATGCTCACAACTGCTCTTGACAACTTGCCCCCCGCGCCGGACGCCTACGCCCAGTTTCTCAGCTGCACCATCGGGAAGCCTCTTGCGCTAGTAAATATGGGCTGGTCGTTGGAGCTGGCAGGGCCGCCCCTAAGTAACCAAAGCACCCGCACCGGAGAGCGCTCGTTGTATCCGGAGAGAGATCTCGTGGACGATGAAGATTTGAACGGCGAGCACTCGTACGTCTTCCACGTCAAGCTCGGCGACAAAGAGCGAGAATACGACGGACTCGTAGGCTACTTCGACGGCTACTCGGAGCCCGAGAGGAACGAAGAGCTGGATTACGACATTATTAGCACGTATTTTACAGGAGAGAACGTCAACAATCCGTTTGATAACCTCCGGGTCTTGACCAAAGACACATATCCCACCTTTAAGCCCTACTGGCTCTCACCCATCAGTCCCAGCGATCAAAGCAAAATCATGGATGTGGATGTCTTCACGGACCTGCACAATGCGAAACTGCGTCCGTTTGGTGCTATTGTCGACCCCTTTACGGCAGTGCACGGCTACTCTTCTTTTCTGCCGGCCAAGGCGCTCCAGCTACCCACTTGGACGTGGCAGTCGGCCATGGAGAGTCTCATAGCATTTTTCCACTGGGGACCCATGACGCTCACAAGCGACGTAGGGTCGTACTCTGCCGATGACCAGCTGACCATCGCAAAGGCAAAGATGCGCCCTGCGCGGAATGTGTCGATACCAGGGCTGGGGGCGGGCGATGAGTGGAACTGGCTGCAGCCGTACGACGAGGGTGGACAGGGCCAGCCATCATTTAACGCGATGGGTATAGAGAAGCGGGGGAATCTCGCTGCTCCGGGATTCCAAAAGGCCCCGTACACTGCGACTGAAGGCTTTTTGCAATTGAGAAGGCCGGCCATGCAGGGTACGGGAGATGGCGCAAAGATATGACGGGGGTGACCACTGACCACGTGGTGGTTGTGCCCTAGCAGCTAACCCGAGGGTGCTCCACTTTTCGGTGCCAGCCTGACCCCTCGGTTCACCTTCGCCTCCGGTGATACTCCGCACTGTCAACAGATTACGTGCCTAGGTACTCCGTACCTATCCTATGTATTCAACCACGAATGACGACCACAGTGCGATCACATGAGCGGGCAGTCATCATGAGCGCGGCAATCCTGGCCACGTAGTTCTGTCTCCAAAATAACGTCCCGAAGATATTCACAAGTTTCCAGTTCTAATTATTTTGTTGCAGAGGGGTGATTGGAATTTGGAATGGGAACAGTGCTTTTAGAAATGCGGCCTGCATCACCCCATGCTGGAGGTACCGCCACCGTGTGCTAGTGCTTGCTCTCGTGTGGGGCTGCGGAATGAACCTGTAGCAGGTAGTTACTAACTAAATATATCCGTAGACAGCCTAGCCTGTAAGCGAAATTAAAAAGAGAGGCGTACCGGAAGGAACCTTGTCCAGTCTTTCTTTCCCAGATCTGATCTGACACGCGGGTATGCGCACCCCTGACACTAACGCAGGCTGGCATCAGGTCCATCTTCAACATCTCCACCATTCAACATCGCAGCATCAGGAACCCCCAACTCACATCCGTCGGACCAACGCGCGTTTGCACTGGCTGAGCTCAACATGATAGCTTTTGCGAAAAGCCTAGTGCTTTCCTTTCGCGATCTGAGGCCTAACGACGCACACGGCCTTGATAATAATACGGTTCGTCAGGAGCCGTCTGTTGCATTCGTTCATTCCACTCTGCCCCAGCTGGTGAGCAAATCTGTACCCCGGAATTGGCACGAGAAAACCCCCACCGTCGTATTAAGGCTCAAAAAAGTGCTGACTTTGCCGCCACAGCCACAGCGGCCGGGAAAGAGGAAGATTGGTGACACCACGAATCAACTCAAGGACTACACACCTATGAAGATCAAGGAGGAGCCTGGCTCAGACACCTACACAAAGCGTCGCAAACTAAATGACATCACGCCCCGACGCACAAAGCCCGTCAAGCAGCTCAATAGTGCACCAACACGACGACTGGAAATTGCAGTGTTCGGGAGCGGAGAGAATGGCGAACTTGGTCTACGAAATAAGATCTGCGACAAGAGGAGCCCTGTGAACGCAAGCAAACCGCGTCTCAACCATGTACTAAACTCAGAGGATGTAGGCATTGTTCAAGTAGCAGTCGGAAGCATGCACTGCGCTGCACTCACACACGACGGCCGAGTCTTGACTTGGGGTGCCAACGACTCCAGGGCTCTTGGTCGAAGTACAAAATGGGAACAGCCCGCGCTACGCCACCCAGACGTAACGGATTTGAACCCTCTCGAGAGCACGCCCGCGCCTGCAGAAGGACTGGAACATCTGAAGTCGGATATCACGCAAGTTGCTGCCACTGATAATGCGACCTTTGTCCTTACTAGATCTGGGCTTGTATACGGCTGGGGCACCTTTTTTGTACTTTAGCAACTCTTGCCTCCCTCCCACCCCCACCCCCCCCGAGTCGGAGAGCTAACTTGATCAAGGGAAGTGACGGCGTGTACGGCTTTTTGCGAGAGAAAATGCGCCCCCAGAAAAAGTCCAAGTGCAAAGAACGCTTCCAAGTCACACCCATCCAAATAGCAGGCCTCAAAGATATCAAGGAGCTCTCCACCGGCGCAAACCACGTGCTCGCTCTTACAGAATCAGGAGACGTATACGCCTGGGGGTCCGGGCAACAGGCTGAACTTGGCCGTCGTCTTGTCCAGCGACATCAATTCGAATCCTTGATCCCGCGAATGGTGGATTTACCAAGGCGGGGAATCGTCAAGGTCTTTGCTGGGTTCAACCATAGCTTCGCGATAGATAAGGAGGACCAAGTGTGGACCTGGGGACTGAACAACTTTGGCCAAACGGGTCTTGCAGCCAGCGAGGATAATCTTCACGTTGGCATCCCAAAAATCGTTGAAGGGCTCAAAGGGTACGAGATTCGCCACATGGCCGGTGGGTTTCAGCACAGCATGGCGTGCACGAAGGATGGAAAGGTTCTTGCATGGGGAAGATGTGACGACAGCCAGGTTGGGATGGATTTGTCTGCATTGCCCAGGGAACATGTCCTGTTCGACAGCCGGGGAAGGCCGAGGATTTTGCTGCAGCCTACCATTATCCCTGGTGCGTGCCCTTTCAATCTGCGCCTCTTTCTTCTTCTTCTTCTCCTTCTTCTCCCGCCTCCTTGAGCCTTTGAAGAGATGGCTGACATCAGTGGCAGGAATTACGGCTACCCTCGTCGCAGCCGGCATCGACAACTCCTTCGCCATCACCCCGGAAGGCAAAGTGCTGACCTGGGGATACTCTGAAAACTGTCGAACGGGCCAGGGGTCTGAAACAACCATCGAGAGACCTACAGAACTTGGAGGAAGCGCGGTTTCTGGTAAATCGTTTACGTTTGCTGCTTGCAGAGGCCAATTCTCACTCATTGCGAGCACACGAGAGTCATGAATCGAAGCACAGCCATGTTTGGTTTACCATGGGAGCCTGTCGTGATGTGGAATTCGGAATGAAGTGCATTATGAGGGATTGTCCTGTATGCAGCTGGACTCGTATTTAGCTACAAATGATACCAAGAGCTCTACAAAACAATAGAAGCTCCATGCGCGCGCGCACACACACACGGCTATGATGGTGGACTGAATCGACTTGTCTGCGTTCTATCGTGGCAAAAGCGCCGAGGTAGCCATTCTTAACTAAAACCCAGTCGACACTGCCAGGAACCCAAGCATGGAAACAAGATCGTTATTGGTATTGCTATGCATCTATGCTCACCACCGTGCGGTGCAACGGGGCATAAATCACAATCAAGTTCCGTGTAGACCGACATGTCCATGAACCACACCAGTGCACATCATGTGCACAACAGCATCAAGCACCGATACATGCATGGGTCTAGGCGCGCAACGCCTGCGCCCACTCATGCAACTTGTCAATCACGACTGGCGCAAAAGCCGTCAGCGTGCCCTCTATCACGTTCCCAAAGTACACAATGGCCTCCTCTTCACTGAGCTCCAGGTGGAACCTCTCGCGCACCTTCATGACGGCCTTGTCAGGCTCCAGGCGGATATCGGGGATGTTGGCGTGCAGCATGAGGCTGAAGAGGTTGAGGATGAGGTTTGAGGATTTCCGCAGGGCCGTGTAGGCTAGAAAGCAGTACTGTTTGAAGCGGTTGTACTGCTCCGAGTTGACGCCGCCCATGCACTCGACCATTTCTTTGGACAGCTTCACCAACGGCGCGAACGGCTTTGGGTCTCGGCCGAGAATGAAGCCGAAGTCGGCGTGGAAGAAGTGGCCGTCGGGTGCGAGCAGGAGATTGTCGAGGTGGCGGTCGCCGACGCCGAGGATGTAGGTGATGACGCAGTATCCGGCACAGGACTTGATGTACGTATCTAGAGTCTCCTGTCGTACACCCAAGGGTTGCCTGTCGTCGGGGTTGTGATGTCTGAGGTACGCGAGCGCGGGGTTGGTCTTGTATTTGCTGACAATCGCCGACAAGCTTTGCGACTGGACGAATTGGGAGGCGCCTGCAGTTGTGCTGGTTGCTAGAATTTTGTACGGCGACAGCTTCAGGTCCAAGTTCTCCTTTTGGAGGAGCTGGTCCATGAGTGTGATGATTTGAATGACCAGTTGGTCTTGCCTCAGGTCATCGCCCAATTTGAATATGACGGGATATGTGCCACCACTCGTGGTTTTAAAGGTGCACTTGATTGGATTCAGCGATGACTTGAATACTGCAACTTGGTCCGGTGCAATGCCGACAACCTTGATTGCTGGGTCAAGGGGCATAGTCAGAGGCGGGTCAAAGGTAAGAAGCTCGTTCTTGGGATCTGCCAAAAAGTGTTTTAGGCGGTCGGTTTTCTTCGCAATCGACTCGCCGGATGATTTAATGTCGGCCGCTACCTTGGAGAGGATAGCAATCATCTCCGCTTGTCTGAGTAGCATTTTCCTGTTTTCGGCTCCGGTTGGCTGTTTGACGAGCTCGGTCATGAAATCATAAGCGACTTTGCGATATATGTTTCGATTATCAATTCCTTGTTCTGGACTGTGATCGTCGCATTCGACCATCAGATACCAGTGGAAATAATTGCCAAGCATAAAGTTCGCCGCAGCCCGCTGTATGAGAAAACGTGCCAGTGACGAATCCTGTATGCTCTCTTGTTCAGAGTCTGCAGATATGTGCTCGTATTTCAGTGCTTGTACCAGCTGAAGGAGATAGAGGAGTAGCTCATGATCATCAGCTTTTCGTAACCGTTCTACGGCGTATGAACGAACGGCCGGATTGTCGAACGACGGCCCAAGAAGCTCAAGGGCGTCGTCGACATCAATCTCCGTCCAGCGGCCAAGGACCTGTATCGCTTGCTTGGACTCGCTCTGGTCAGTCCAGTTGACCGATTTGACAAATTTAGTCAAGGCTCGCTTGTCTCTAGTCAGGTGATATCTAAACTTCCAAATCAAGTCGGCCTCCTCCGGTGACAAAACATGGGTTGGCGAATATGCCATGATCAAATTCAACTCGTCTCGGACCTTTGCGTTCGGTTTGAGATCCTTGTCCAGGATTCCGTGCCTGTGTGAGCTTCGGAACAGCCGCCTGTGCTTAGCTTCTGCAGGATTGTCTCTCTGGCCGACCTCTGGATCGTAGACCTTGATGAGCCGGGCCCCGAATCCATCAGAACCCTCTCCCATAGCATTGATACCTGGGCCAAATTGAACCTGCGGCTGATGGAGCGGGAGCGTCCCTTGGGAAGCTGAGAGCGGTTGCAAGGCTGATATCGGCGGTGGGTCATATTCATGGTCGGCGAATACGACGGGGAAATCAAATCGTGGCAGTTCAACATTAAGTAGAAAAGCTGACGTGTTTGGGCGGCCGTCATCAAGACCATGGTCATCGACATGGGGAGAATGGCTGCCATTATTATCTCCGTTGAGAGCTCGCTGACGCTGAAGCATCTTCATGGATGACTTTGCGGCCTGCAGGCCCTTTTTCTCGAAGCTTCGGAACACCATCTGGTCCAGCCAGTCCACGCGGGGAATCTCTCCCATCTCATGCTTCTTGAACAACTTTTCCATTCTGTCGAGCTCTTCGGCGTCTTTATCGACAAGTGGACCACCCCCATTCCGAAGGCTGGCCTTTATTTTTGTCGTGACCAAAGCCGGCGTGGTGGAGTTGTCTGTTCCGTCAGCATGCTTGTGCCTGTGGACGAGGCACTTTTGGCGACCTTTTTGGATTTGATTGTCGATATCAAACATGGGCAATGTGGTGCCTCCGAAGGGAATCGCATGGTCAATAGCGTCTTTCCCCCCGGTAGGTGACAGGTCCCATATTGTGATGGCGAGACGAGAATTTACGGGCAGCGACTTGTATGTGATGGGCAGCTCTAGCCACTCGTTCCATCTGTGTCAAAGGCGACAGTGAGTACAGGGTCATGTCACGGCGGGTCTCGGGTCTCATGTTCTGCACGCACTTTCGTTCGGATCGGAAGGGCTTGTATGCTGTCTGTACGGGGATTGTAAGGGGTTTAGAGCCGGCCCAGACTTGTATCGTTACGTAAAGCTCGGAATGCGGGCTAGGGCAGCGGTCAGTCCAAGTGATGGACGAGTCGGGATGGATGGATCTGTCGGTGCCAACCTGGTGTTGGACCCAATATGCCTGAGGTCCGGTCGCTCAAGGAGCGTCGAATATTTGACTGGAGGCTCGTCCCCCTCTAGGTTCATTCTGAAGTCGAAACTCAGCAAACAGAAGGTTGAGCGTGAGGCCACACTGCGTGGCTCGGCAGCGGACGCATGGTGGTCTTGGGGACATGCGTCGGGAGAGCAGCCTACATTCGGACGCTCACAGGATGGTCGACATCCTTGGAGCCCGCAAAGGAGAAGGGGTCCATTCTCCCGTACTCAGCCATGGCCATGTGGTCATGTCATTCTGGGCCGTTGTTTGCGGGCGGGGAGCGAAAGGAGGGTCGAGGGTTTGGCTCAGGGTTGAAATGTTGAAGGGGAGTGTCGAGTGTCGAGTCAAACGATGAAGTGAGGCAGGCTTAGCAGTCGGTGACATCTGCCGAGCCGAGATTCCCCACAGGCACCACCAGTCCACCAGAGCCGACGTCCATCCGGCCAGCTGGCCGTCAGTCTGAGTTGAGGCACGATGCAATTTTCACTTCTTCACCTCAACAAGAGGCGGCCACGATCCGGCAGGACACATCTCGTCATTTCGCATTCAAGTACGTAGTTAACAATTTGCGTCCGGCCCCCCTCGCAGCGTTCATGATTTACCAAGCTTGATCCCCATTGTCTGACGTCTTGCTCACGAGTCGTCACGAATGCAGCTTTTTTTTTTATTTTCCTTCAAATCAACAGCCACCCCAGTACCAGTGCCGCAACACCAAAAGCTTCCAAGGAACCAAAGGTAACGCGAGGCCCCAAGCTAGGGGCACTTGCTGTCGTCGACGGCGCTGTTGCCGTTTTCGTCGACGACGATTCCCTCGTACCCGGTGCTGTTGGGTGAGGAGGAGTGAGCAGTCAATACGGAGCAAAGATGCAAAAAAAGCAAATCACTTGCCACCAGAACTTCTCAAAGACGTTTCTGGAGTCCGAGATGTTCCAGCTGCAGAGCTTCTCGTCAAACTGTCCGCCGACCTGACAGACGATTGCAGCATCCGACAGGCTGGCCGTCGGGGCGGCGGTCAATATCCAGCTGCCCAGCGAGCCGACGTACCTGTAGAACCAGAAGCAGATGAGGCCCTGGCGGGTCCCGGAGGAGGAGAAGGGTTGGACGATGCCGTGGCCGAAGAAGTCGCTGGCGAGGACGACGTGGGTGAGTCGGTGCCCGGCGTCACCAAGTTCGTATCATACGTGAACTGCGTCGTCGTCGTCGTCTTGCCGTCTTCGCCCCCGGTAGCCTGGAAGATATACGTGCCAGACGGGACATTCTGTATCTTGGCCGTGAACTCTGTGCCCGCCCGGTTTTCTGTGATTGTCGGCATTGTGCGTTAGCGGACGGCCCGTGTCCGGCAATGGCGTCTACGCGAGCGCATCGGCAAACCAAACAAAAACAAGCCTTGGCCGACACGGTTTTTCTCACGCACCAAAAATAGTCGCGACCCTTTCCATGGTCGCCAGCCTCACCAAGTACAGAGAACATGGCTTCGCGTCGGTACACTTGTTGATAGTATACTTGAAAGTATCTACCGATTCGCGGCTGCCCGTCACGAAGTCGGCAGCGCTGGCAAAGGGCGACAACGCAGCCCCGAAAACAACGACGTTGGCGAACCTCATTGTCGCGTAGCTATGAGCGTGCAAATCTGGGAAAGAAAAACAAGGAGAAAGAGGGGAAAGAATAGCAAGCGAGGCTGGGGAGATAAACGAACAGTTTTGTCCCGACAAAGCGAGAGGTGTCGTTTCCCAAAGCGGATGGTCCTAGACCGGCTTTTCACCGTCACTTGGCCATGATGTAACCCCTGCCTGCTCGACATTGACCAAGTGACACACCATTATTTTAAAATACCAAAGAGGTCCGTGAGTGAGGAACTGCCATCTACTTACTTGGTGGTAGTTACTCCTCAATATCATCAACTGATGCCTTGCGTCATTGAGGCTCGAATATGTAAAAGCGAAACAAAATCCTGTACCTTCATTGACGTCATCTATAAGAGCACATTTTCATCTTGGGTATCTACTCCGTCCCATTTCAACCTAGATCCCGTTCGCCCACGACGCCGCTGATGCGCTGCATTACCGTCAATTCTGACAAGACGTCGCCAAACGCCCCTCTGCCCCAGCACGGCTCAACCCATCTCTGAGATTACGCCTTCCCGTGCAAATTCCACTCGAACATCTTGTTGAACACCTCTTTTGCATTGCCTTGAATAACATCGCCGTGACAGGGAATCAGCGTAGTGAAATCCCACTTCGCAATCGTCGCAAGACTCTCATTCATGCTGGTGTGGTCTTTGGTGAGAAGCCAATTGAACCGCTTGGGCCAGGTCGCCTCTCCCTCGGTGTTCTGCAACGCTCGGAATAGCCTGTCAAGAAAGCCACCGGGTCTTTGCGACTCGGGCACCTTGCTGTACTGCTCGGTGGCGGGCAGGTTGAAGAGGAGATCGGCCTCGATGAGAACCTTGTCTGGCCTGTAGTTGAAGACGAGTTCCTTGTTTGCATGGCCGTCGACATACTCGTAGTCGAAATCGGCATCAAACTCGTGGCTGATTTTCATGTCGCGCTTACCATCTTTTGTGAATACGACATGGAATTTATCATTGTTGATTTTGGGATCCTGAATCTGCTTGGCGCGCTTCTCGAAGAGACCCTCGGGGCCGATGATTTTGGCATTGGGCCACTGCTTGGCCCATTCAGAAATGAAGATGTGGTGTTCAAAGTCGAGGGCTACGATGTAGCCTACGCTTCCGCCGAATCCGGCCACCTTGGCCTTGGTTTCTTCTGTGAGAGCGACGGGAGAGAAGACGGCGAGGTTGCCGGAGGTGAGCTTGACTAAAGGGCCCGTCAGTCACGGTCATGTTGTGCTACCGATCAGCATTGAAGCCGGGTTTCCTGGGCAATTGGAACATACCAAGTGTGCCACGACCACCAATCTTGATTCTGCCAAATCGCGAAAACGGCACTGAGAAAGTGGCAACGTTGGGCGTGACGTTGCGGATGACCATCAAATCTGCCGGGTTGGCCGGGATAAGGTCTGCCGACATGGTGTGCGCGTTTATGTCGGTAGAAGTAAAGGTGCGATAGTTTTTTGACGGCCCTGAATATGCACCAAGACGAGAGGATATGCACGAGCAACGGTGGTGCTGCCGTTGCTGTTGCCGTTGCTGTTGCCGTTGCTGTTGCTGTAGTTGCTGCTGTGCACAATTGCGACGCGCCCAAGCCAAAGTCGATGCGGCGACGGCGTTGCTATTTAAGCGCGAAGCTAAAATGTAATCATCAAAGACGAAAATCCTGCCCCTACGCTTCGGCAAAGACGAGCTACTGACATTGCTAAGCGACTTCACACCATACTTGCCCAGTTGACTCTTCTTCAACGGCTGAAAGAGTGGCGATGCAGACCACATGGGACAGGGGAAATCCAAATGCCGGAATCCGGATTCGTCGGCAAGATGCGCACTCCGACGTACGGAGTTTTCTGGCCCAAAAATAAAAAGGTGGCCCCAGACTGGTGAGTGGTGACTAATAAACGTGTAATGGCAGTCTGGCAGGGAAGCCACTTGGCTTGCGACTTGGCGTTCGTTCCCTTATCGTGATCTCATGGAGCTCCATGGAACCGGCGGAATCATGACATCAGCACCCCTTTTCGGACATCTGGAGGATTACTCAGTCTCGCTCAGGGGCCCCGCCCGAGCAAACCCTGCCAACTACTCCGTACTAGTACGTATTGATAAATCCCATCACTGACAATTCGCCTGCGGTGCCGAGACCCTGCAAGTCATCGGAGGCGCCGGATGACCGTGTCAGGACTTGGGAGGCTGAGCAATACAGAGTGCGTACTCGGAGTGTCAAGTAAGATATAGGTGGCATACCACACAAAATTGGCCACACCCGTTTCTGGAACAATTGAGGAACTGGACTGGAAACGTGAAGAGCACCTCACCTGAGCAGATGGGCTGATTCATGGGCAGTGGAGAGCAAGTCTCGACTCCCGACTACAATGGCGCACAGAGTCACATCATTGTCAATCTCTTTAAAAGAGCCTCTGCATACTTGCATATTTACAAGTAATTACATAAAACGACAAGTTCACTGCGGAGACCGCTGACCCCCATACTTGCAAAACATAAACACCACAGCACCAAACACCACAACCCTCATGCTCTGCCGATTTGCCAAATCAAATGCCCGCACCACCCGACCCAAAAGACCCAAAACATGTCGCGAATTCAACAACATCAACGTCAGCAGCATAGACAGCTCTGCACCCGTGAACAGTCCCCCATGCAGCCCCGGCCAAGAGGACCTCTCCCCACGAGCATACGAGGAGAGTAAAGTGGGTGGCTTGATATTGTTGGCGTACAACCACGTGTTTCGCTCCTCCGCGCACGCGATCCAGGTCTGGATGCCAAATACCAAGACGGCGTGGGTGAGGACGTTGAAAAAGGCACTCCACGGGATGCCCGGCTCGGCGTTGCGGTTCATTGGCAAGGAGGAACCATCCGCGCCCGGCAGGGGAACGGACGGCTGCGGGATTGCATCGATGAAAGACCACAGGAAGTCGTACATGGTGACCCACGACTGGCATTGGTTTTCGACAAAGCCTGAAAAGGACAGTGACTGTCCAGTCCGGGGGACAGTGTGGCTGTCGCAGACCATCGAGGCCTCTGCTTCGGGCGACTTGGTCTGAAGTTCAACCCGCGGACGCCGCACGGCAGCACGAGGACCCTGCTCGAATTTCGGTATGTTCGGGGCCCGTCCGGGGGCGCTCACGCGGGCTCTAGGCTCAACGTTTACCCGTCGGCCAGTCTCGGTCGTATCCAGTGACGGTGGAGGAGTCATTGGATATACCGTTCCCCTGGGACTCACGGGCGGTGACATGCTGCGAATGCCATTGCCGTTGCTCCCCGACCGGCTTCGGCTTGAGTTTCGTGTCCAGTCCACGTCGACCGCCTTTGTGACGTAGACCGCCGTCACTGTGTCGTGAATCTGCCTGTCCCTGTCGAACCTCGCCTTCATCTCCTCGTGCCTCTCCGTCAGGCTCTCATACCGTCTGGTAAGGATATTGTACCGTTTCGCCGACCTTTCGTAGATCCTGGTCATGCCTTCATATCTGTCCGCCATCTCCTCGTATATCTCCCTCAAACGCTCATGCTCCTCGCATTTCCGGTGCAACATGTCTTCCAGGTACTGTTTGCGCCGCAAAGGTGATGATGACCGTGACAAGTCTTCTTGAGGTGGCCCGTATTTGCCCAGGATGCTTGCAACCGAACATCTGTCTTCTGGCACATGGTGCGAGCGAGCTTGCGCTTCGGCGTCGGCGTGCCATGGACTTGTGGTGTTCAAGAACTGAGTTGGGCTCGGGGCCCTGGGATAACTCGGCGTGGGCTCCAGTATGTCCGGGTCCTCCTGGGCTTCTGCGGCAGAGATGACGGAGAAACCCGTAGGGCTCACGTAGCGAGGTTGTTGTAATAGTCTGGCCTGCTCTTCATCAAAGGTAGCCAGGTCATCTGTCCACTCCTCGGCCGTTTCTTCCAGGACCTCTGCCGATGCGGTGGGCGCTCCAACTTCCGTCCGTGAAACCGAGAGAAGGGGATGCGAGGCGATGGATTGGTCGTCCTCTGCAGGGACCTCCATGCGTGCCTTTTCCTTCGGCTCTCCTTTGTCTTTGACATGTCTTTCAAACTTGCTCCCGCAGGCGGCACATACTCTCGTTGCCTGTTGCCAGTCCCATGAAGGCCTGCGTTTTGGAGGGCTTGGCTCCGCACGCTGCGCCCGGACTTCCATCAAGAGATGGGAATACGCCAGTTTTAGTTTGTTGTATTGGCTTGTGAGCTCTGCAAAGGCTTCCAGTTCAATCTCCCCGGGCGTTGGGACAGCAGCATCGAGTCCCAGGTCGGCCGCTGGTCCGTTTTCATGATCCACGACCCTCAGTTGCCATGTCTGGATGTAAATGCACAGCATTTCCAGAGGCTTAGCGATATAATTCATCAGAGTCTCCTGAGTCAGAGCCAGGCGTTCTGGCTTCTGAGCCGCACCACATTCGTCACGTTGTGCATCTAGTGCTGCTCGGTTCAAGTTGTTCATCCCTACGGAGCCCGCGATGGTTGACACAAACTTTGACACGTACGTGCAAAGATTCGCGGGAAGCACAAAGTCCCGTGGACTCAAGTACAAGGGCTCTGTGTCGCGGGCCAAGTGGTATAGATCGGGTGCACAATGGTTCATGGCGTTGTGGATTCTGTCATGGTATTCCTGGAAGTCTTCAGCGTTGTGTCTCTGCTCATTGCGGGTTGAAGCTGTGCCCGTGCCCTTCGAGCCCTCACCTTGGACCTCTGCAACAGGTTTTGTGTCCAAATCGCCTTTCAGTCCGGCTTCTTCATGTCTAGAGTCGTACGGGCTTTGGACTTGAGACTCGGAGCTTTCGACGGGCTCAGATGCACACAACGGCCAAACCAGCCCCGGCGAGGGATCATCAGCGTCGTCGTCCCTGGTGAGTGATGTCTGAGGCGGTTCGTTCGAGCCGGCAGGGGCCGCGTCGGGCGGTTTGCCATCCTTGTCTTGACCCATGCTGGTCAACGGTCTTGGGCGGAAACTGTTGTCACGATGTGAGGAATTTTGACTGATGCGACATTTGACGCCAAGTTCAAGAAAAATAAAGATGGAGGAGGAGGCGTTCCTGGGTCTATATACTTATGTAGCCGAGCGTTGCCGCGGCGTCAGATCACTGCTGGTAACATTCGAGAGCTGTGTCGAGCAGAGTACGTACAATTCCGACAGGATTGCCTTTGTTGAGCACATTCACGCTCCTTCGCGGCAGCCCAATTTGAATGGCGACATACAGTGTTGGAGGAAACAACAAAGGACTAGCGAATACGGATCGAAGCGCCTCATGACCAAGAGCCGTCTCGGCAAAGCGTGTGCGGGGAAGACGCGAGAACAATGTCTTCCCTGGCAGAACTTGCAAAGTTCACCGTGTGATATCGAGAGCACGAGAGCGTTGGCCACAATGCTACGCGAACGTCAAGGTTTGCCAAGAGCAAGATGCGAGTCATCTGTTCATTCCGTCATGGTTCACAGGTCATTCTGAATTCGTACACAAAGCCCTTTTGCCATGTCTGAACGTTCACAAAACGGTCTGACATTAACTATACCAACCGCGGGCACCGGGTCCAGTATGTGTGGTCTCTCTCCGGTGACTTATCATCGGTTCCGTAATATCGAAAACATCTATAATCTGACGCCATATTCCCTCGTCCATCGATATGATTGCTTGGTGCTTCGAAGCCCCATGGCGTTGGGTGCTGTCATCTTCTGGATCACGTCCAACAGGTGCTGTTTCAAGGACGGTGTATTAGCAACATTAAACGATGTTTCCGACGCGTTCATGGGACGCACCTAATGCAGGGAGATCGAATTCGTCAAAATCGATCTCAACACGGCCATCTCTGATGAGAAAGCTAACGTAGAAGATATTCTCAACGGTCTGTCCAAAAGACTTTGGATTGACAACAAAACGCATCAAGTCTATTCCTCCAGTGCTGCGAAGCCCGTGCTGGTGCATGATTCGCGTTTGTTCGTGCCCGTCCATCTCTTCGTGGATCAAGTCTGCGACAGCTTTTTGTCTTTCGATCTGGACCTTATGCAATTGGTGCAGGATCTTGCCACATATCGCGGTCAAGTCATTCTCCTTCCTTGCCAACTCGTCGACGTTGAGCACCTCGGGCCGCGTCTCTGTCAAGTTATTAGGTCGAAAGGGAGCAGTCCGTTTGGCAATCTTGCGAGCTTTCTTCTCGACGGACATTGGCCCCAACAGGAATCCTGGGAGGGCAGGACGTCGAATGAATGGCAAACAAGCAAAACGACCGAGGTGAGGCCAGTTCATCATGTCGCCCTCGTCTCCTATCTCGTCGTCGTCTTCATCATCGTCATGTCCCCTGCGCCGTGATGCTGCTCTCCGTTGCCGCTGTGTGCTTGACAGCTCCAGGGCATTGTCATCGGTAATTCCACTGCCTTGTCGCATGTATGTAATGGCCTTGGAAACAAGTTCATCCACATCTACGCCTTGCGAGAGGCTGCCTTGGGTGAGACGCAAAGTTTTCCGATAAGACAGATCAGTGGTGCTTACGAGCAGTCGCGAATCGATTGTGGCTTCGGTGGTCTGTTTCAACTGTTTGGACAGTTCGTTGGCCTTTAAAATGGTATCGTGCAAACCCCGTGAGTCATCTCGCAGGTATTCCTCTGAGTTTTCAGAAATGCCCTTGAGGAGGTCCCTCAGCCCTTGTTGCACAGCCCGGCGGTCTTGAAGTGGCTGGTCAGGATCATACACGTCCTCGAAGATGCCGCTTTCGCTTTGGCCGCTGCCCTCCTCGTCGCTGCCGGTGTCCAGGGTCCTCTGGCGGGTAGTGGACGGTTCTGACGTGAGGGTGTTTGTTCTCTTCCTTTTCGTTCCAGACACACTCCGCCCGTCAGGCTTCCGCCGGCCTGTTAAGCCATATCTCGTCGAAGGCGTTTGCGAAGGTGACGGCGATGTTCCCGGGGATCGGTTGTCCTGGGAGCGTCCGCCGACGCGTATTGGCATCGCGAAAGGTGGATGGATGGCTGCCAAAAGAAGTGTTGGGTCTGACGGTGTTCAGGAGTTTGCGACAGTTTCCACTTTGTGGTACCTGCAAAGGCTTCCATGCGCGTCGACGTGGCCCGGTCTGCTCAGGCGATGCTTCAACGATGGCAGCCGCGTTGGAAAGACGCGATTGATGGTACTTGCCGACCCACCATTTCTTAACAGCCCGGCGGGCGCCCCGCAATGAAATACTAACGCGCGTGCTCAAGTACCTGGGTAAATCTGGTCACTCCATACTTGGCTTGGCAAAACTGTGGTTTGTCGGGGTTGATTCTCGTCACCGACTGCCACTGAGTTATCATCTTATGTTATGGATAGGGTCCGAAAGCGACAAAGGCAACGCCTGACAGACGTACTGGAACTGAAGAAGCCACAAACTCTCCTGTCTTCTGTGTGGATGGATGGATGAGGCACGCTTTTCAAACACAGGCGGCTTCACAACCATGACTACTCCGTAGGGGCGCGTGAACCAAAGTTCCGCCGTCTGGTGCGTCGAGAGACTCTTTGAACCCAACAGATCTGGACGGCGCATTGCCATCACGACGTTTTGCACCGCGTCCATGGCCCCAAAATTCAACTTTGGGAAGAGCAATACGGCAGCAGCAGTCTCCGATTCACAGACAAAGAGCGCCTTTGCTGCCCGCCACCATGACGCCGTTGATGCACCGAGCTGCAGGGCACCCGACGAGTTCCACTGTGGTGTTTTGTGTTCTAGGACGCAGGGACAAACAAACGAATGATACGCTTCAATCTTGCACCAGCATCCATCACCGCCTGCGGACTGTTCGCAAAAAAGTCGCCACGCACTGTGCCATTTGAGACTTGAGACGGGCGTGTTGCCGACTGTCGTGGTGTCATTTCTCGAGGCATTAGGTTGACGGCCGACGTGGTGCAGGCAATGGAAAGCTGCCTCTGGTTGCCCGCCACTTTTAGGACGATGGACGATCAAACAAAACAAAACCGCCAAGACGCCAACCTCACTCGCGGCAGCGGTTGGTCCATTTTTAGCGCCTCGAGAGTCGGTACCTCGCTAAAGGGCGTCGAAAGGCGTCAATAATTCTTACTGATGCATCAATGGGCGCATGTGGCAAAGCTTACCCAGACGGCCTCTTTAGTCTGGGCCTCCAACGTGCTGGCGGCCTTGGCACACCCCTCTCCGGCGGCTGTCCCCCACAAATGTGGCTTTGGTCTGGCTACGATAGCGATAAGTACCCCGCTGACGGAGCAGGTCCGTCGATGACCTGCAGCCAGCCAGTCAACGCCTTCCATCAACGCGCTCTCAACCGTCTTCAAGCCAATTGTTTGGTTAGGGGCCACCGCGAAGCTGATCCTTGGTCCAGCCGGCCGCCAGCGACAGCTGATAGGCCCGAGAGCATTCAATCTGGCCTGCGTCAAGTCTTGGTTGTTTGCTTATTTCGAGTCTGGCCACATTTCCGGGCCTAGCTGCTGGTATACTAATAAGAATGAAAAGACGCCGTGAGCCTCCCGCGCTGCCAGGCCTGCCGGGCCTGCGGGTGATGTCATTTCGTGTTTCCCCCCTCATCCTCTCCTCGTAGCCTAACAGGTATCCACGTCCTTGCTTATTCCGGACCTGACGACTACGTGACGGGATCTGGCTTCGAGCGGGCATCTCGTCTGGGGCTCTCCCTAGATTCTCCAGCCCTTTTTCTTTTTTTTCCAAGAGCCGTAGACGGTGCTTGAACATACTCCTCACGTGCGGTGCGCCTGATAGGCGTGCAAGCGAGGCACCTTTTGATTCTGCCTGGCTTCATCGCGAAAGCTCGAAACCATCTCTGCCCGTGGAATCGTCTCGTCACTGGCTGGCAACTTTGTGTGAACCTCATTTCTTCGCCAACAGCACGCCTCTTGGTGTTTGATCGATCAACTGTGTTGTCTTGTCTGGACATTGGTTGGCAGTAGCCAGACTCGTACCCGAACTCTCCACCCCGTCTCTTCGTCATGACGGGACCGACTACAACTCCGCGCTACAGCGTCGAGGATTTCGAGACCGCCTCTATCCGTTCGGCTGCCCCTTCCTATGGTAAGGAGCTCTCCAGACAGATTCACAGGCTTTCGACTCGCAAGTCTTAACCATTCGTCAAATAGTCTCGGACACGCCATCCTATCACACCCTCCCGTACAATCACAACGAAACCATCCCGCCCTACAGCCCGCCGGCCCCGAGGGCAGCTCCATTGCCATCGAGTGCTTCTCCCCCCTTATTTGCGCCTGGCCGTCATGGAACTTCATCGACCCGCCGGCAGACCGTGGGCCTGCCTCCTCTCCCCCCCGTGGCACCCCAAGGCGCCATGTCCATGCAGAACTTCCACCCCCCGACGTGGTCCGCCAACAACGGCCCGGCGGCTCGTCACTACCGAAACGTAGCTGAGCGCCGAATCACGTCCGGTCGATACGCGGCACCGGCAGAGCCCGCGAGGCACCAGAACGCCAATGACAGAGCCCTGGACAACGAGACGGACACCGCTGCAGACGTGCGGCCCTTGGAGGATCCGTACCTCGTTGGCGAGGTCGCAGCGGCACAGGCTCGTCGTGAAAGGCTGGCCCGTGAATCTGGTGACGATATCCTTGTCCGGGAGGACAGGCAGTGGGATTGGCTTCTCGGTCAGTATCACGTCTACTTGCCGGCCTAGTCTTGCCAAGATGATGCCGCCGCTGACAACCTGGTGCTGCAGCACAAATGAGAAGCTGGGACGAGCGCGAAAGGACCTGGGCCCGTTTCCGCCGCGAGGTCGAACACACCCAACGCAAGAGACTGCTCCGCCGTATTGGCGGTCGGCTGCTGCCGACTTAGAATGTGAAGCTATTGGCACAGGCGCTTGATGTTTGATCGTCGTACGTTCGCTCTTCCTCTGAAACTCTCCGCTGGTTGGGGTATGGTCCACTCCTGGTATCCTGGCATATTTTGACGATTCCATGATGCATCTGGCGGCGTTTTCATGTAGATCGGTATGATTTTTTTTATTTGTTTTTTATTTTTTTTACTTTATATTTATTTTTTCCTTTTTTTTTCTTGGCTGAATTCAGAGTGAAGAGATTTCCTCACTCACACGAACATTGGATGGAGGGCAACTGGCACTTGTGCCTTGGTGAATTCAACTTCTCTTACGCTGTCTACCGTATTACTGGTGCTTGTGACAAAGGTGATCTTCAAGACGAACATCCGTACCACGACATGATTTCTGGGAAACGATGCTGCGCCATCATCATGCTTTATACAAGGAAAATAGATGTAGCATTTCATGACGCTACTGAACCAGCTAACGTGTGCCTGATCTATCTGCGATGACAAAATACATACACGTTCCAATAAACGCCATGCCCCATGCAGCTAATAAGACATTTCCCCCGGCTGTCCCTCAACGGCTTTCGCTCACGTCCGGTAGCTCTAGTTGGTGCATCGTATACACTAGAAATGATGTGACTTGTTCCGACTGTATCAAGGTGAAGAGATCGCAGTTCAATCAGCCCTTGCTTCGTGAGTTCAGCAAGAGAGCGACAATCAGGCTGTTGCGACACCAGTTAGTTCAGCGCGACTTGCCCACTCCATCTCAAGCAACTCACCCGTAAAGACCCAGGACCTCTCCAAAGATCAGAATAAGAACCATGCCGACAAAGATTCTCGACTGCTCCATGTAGGCGCGGACGCCCTTGTCGCCAACAATCCCGATACAATAGCCGGCAGCCAGGCCGGTCATGCCGACCGCCAGACCGCAAGCAAGGTGCATAAAGCCGCTGAAAGAGATTAGATGTCAACTCTTGATTCTTGACCACTGAGGGCTTTCGGAGGCGGCCACGTACGAGAACAGGGCGTACTGCCCGTTTGCAGAGGGAGGCGCGAGGTCCTGGGCGATGAGGACCGATATGACGAGCGAGTAGACGGCGATAATGCCGGACATGACGACGGGGATCAGACACTGTCGAGCGTGTTTAGTATGCTTCCGCGCGATACCGTCGGGAGGAAACTACAAGCCAGCGGGGAGGGACAGGGACACGAACCTTCATTATGAGATCTGGGCGAAACGTTCCAACACCGGCAATGCCAATGCCAGACTTTGCCGTGCCGTAAGCGGCGCCAGCAGCTGTACATGTCCCGCGTTAGAGGTCAAGTAGCGATCAAAAGGGACGTTCGGATCGCGACGTTCTTACATCCGAAGACCATGGCGGCTGCGATGCCAGCCTGCATTGGCGCATTAGCATCCCGAATCTTGTGAGCAGAAGGGTCGCCGATGGTGCCTGTCGCATCCAGCGGCGGGCGGGTCGAAGACTTACCATCCCAATGAAAGGGGCGAACTTGGGAGCGAGCTCAGACTCCATGATGGGCGGGACGGAAATGGGGCCTCGAGCGTTGGACGAGCGGCTAGTTGTTTGGAGGTTCGTGAAGGAGCTCTGCGTGGCTTTGAAGCCCGTATGAAACCATGGCAAGCAAGTTGCACGTTCCTCTTGAGTCTTGGCCAGGCAGCTCTCAGGAGCTGGCAAGCCAATGAGCGATACAGCGGAACGTGACTGTTCACGTGACTTGTTTCGCTTGGCAGTGGGTAAATTCACATGAATGTCCGGACTCCGGAGCAGGGCCTTCCTTCGTCAGGACTCAGGACTGTCGTATTTTGACGTTGTGAGTTATTTGTGGCTTGCAAAGCTTTCTAGTGATTCATTTAGGGGACGAGGATTTCTTTAATTCGAATGACCCATTCAAGGCCGGACCAGATTCGCGATGCAAAGGAACGCGGTTTGAGTTCGGGACAAGCCAGCGCGACACATAGTATCAAAGTTGACTTGAGCGTCGAACGAAGCAGGTTGTGCTTGGGACTGGTTGGGTTCTTTACTCGGAACGAATGCATTAATGCATTACGTAGCCGCTACTTCGTGCACCACAGGGTGCTCACTACTCGCCCCTGCCGTGACGCAGCCAATTCCTGCGGACAGACCAAGATGAAAAGAGATCGCCTGAGCTTGGCTGGGGTGGCAATTGCACCCAGCGTTGAGGAGTCAGTGGTGTGATGTGGATGAGCTTGTGGTACATTCTGGCATCAAGACTCTATCTGATAGCATTTGGACTTGTGCCCCGTAAAGTTGACGTGTAACCTGCGCCGCCCGGTCATAGGTTTCGACGGTGTTGGTTGCGGCATGCGCTCGGTTCCGCTTACAATTCCACCCCCTTTGGCGAAGAACAAAGATGCAACGAAACTGTAGGGTTTGACCTGTGGCTCGCCAAAAGGGACTGAAGGCGTCTGGGTGTCGAGGTGACCTATCCATTGAGATGACCTTGTCGTCACTGCGGCTCCGGGGTAGAATGCGCAACGGATGTTGTGAAGCTCACGAGAAGCCCTGGGCTTTTACTTTGGCTCAAGCCGGGACAAAGAGCAAGGTACGACGCACAATAGCCAATAGACGACGTCAAAAAAGGTGGGATCAGGATCTGTAGACGCGATAGCTTCCGTGCTGTTCGGAATTTATTGGGACATGTTCATGTAGCAGCAGTGGGCGCTCGGCGATGTGCTATCCGTGGTGGTGGCGGCGGCGCCATGAGAGGTCGGGCAGCACCGCAAGAGGAGCGTGCGGCGTGTATCATTACACCGAGGGCCATATTCATTCGTCTCCCTCGTCTGTCCGTCGACGTGTAGCGGGCAGGTAGGGCCACTGGAATAGATATTATTGTTGACTGTATCCCCGAAGATGCCGTCTTGGTCTGTCTTGGACTCTTGGTCCTTGGACGTCTGGTACCTTGGCCCGCGCCCCATGTCGAGCGCTGGCGGGCTCACATTGGCCAACTTGCGTTCTTTCATCTGCCCGCTTCTCCGAGACACGCACAGGTTCGTTCGTTCGTTCGCAGGCTGCAAGTACTACACGTAAGAAGTGGTATGGAGTAAAGGGCTTGCTGGACCGCACTAAGACAAGGGAACGAGGGGGATTGACGAGGGGACCGAGGGGAATCGAAGGGACGAGAGAGACGACTCCGAACGAGAGAGTACTCGGCAAGTCCGTACCAACGTAGGTGAGAAGGGACCTTGACGATTGAATTGGGTTGGATTCTGGGAAGTTGCTCGCTAGTAGTAGCTGGGAGGGACCTGGACTTGCACCAGACCAGACCAGACCGACCTGACTGACCGACGACCGTCTGGTCTGCCGGGGTCTTTCAAATTCCATCCGCAAGCCGGAATTCGCAATCCACAATCCACAAGAGTCCACAGTCCACAGTCCACAGCCCGCAGTCCGCAGTCCACAAGAGTCCCCATCCAGCGACGACGAGGAACCGGGTCCCGGACGGCCCTGCACATTGAACCAACATTGGAACCAGCCCAAAGCCCAAAAGCCCATTGGCCGCAGCGCTGGGGCACTGGCTGGCTGCCCTCTGCGGTAGGCTGTCACCAAGCCCCAGGTGACCAGTGCCTGGTCGGTTCGTTGACTCTGCTCTGCTCTGCTCTGCTCTGCCCTGCCCTGCTCTGCTCTGCCCTGCCCTGCTCTGCTCTGCTCTGGCTTGATCGCTGCTGGTCGTCGGTCGTCGCCGCTTCTCCAGCGCTGCCTGCTCCTCGGCCTCGGGCCTGGCTCGACACTGGACCTCTCACTCGGCTGTTTCCACCCGGCCAGCTCAGGTAGTCGACGACATCGAAACGACGACAATCTCTTCTCCGTTGCTGCTGCTCACATCACCACGCCACCCCTGCCCGGTACGCTTCGGATTCGCCCAACGCATTACTCGCCTTGCTCCCGAGCGTCCACGGCGGCCTATACTGCAACTGTGCGCCCCGGCCAGTGTCTGCGAGCACAGCTTCAGCCTCGAGCCTGCGAGGAGGCACAACTGCCCTCGTGTCTCGAGTCCTCTCCTCTGCGCATCGAGACGTATTCCACGAGGCCCTCGCGTTCCGCCCAACAACGTCGACGGCGGCGTCGTCACGACTGATTCGCTCGTCCACTGAGATCCCGTGTGACTGACCCTGGCGGCCCGGGCATCAGCTGCGCTTGGTGGTTTTGTCTCTCCTTTCCTTTGCTGGCCGCCTTTCAAGGCCACGCACCGTGAGTTGCACCCAATTCCTTCAACTTGGGCCCAGCCGCACCAACCCTCCCCGTGAGCTTCACTGGCCGCACCAGCTGGCAGTCGGACTGCCTCTTCCCCGTATCGCCCTCTAGTCCACCGTGTATCGACCATTGCTAACGGAGACTCTCTTTTGGGGCGCTCCCTATCAGCATAGTCAGCATCATGGCCGAGTACCACCCCTACGATCCTCGAGCTCAGCAACGGCCGCACCCCTCTCGCGGTTACCCCGATGCCAACAATTATCAACGGGATGCCGCTTACTCCAACATATTCGGTGCTGCTCCTCCTCCGGGACGATCACAGACAATGACGTCGTCTTCTGCCGCCGCCCCAATGGACCCGGGGAGAACGCAGACCATGTCTTCTACGGCTTCTGGCATGCCACGCCAACCGCCGCCGAGGCCGCAGCAGGGCTACTATGGCGAGCGAGACCCCATGCAGCGACGGCCTGCACCGGGTGACCCCAATATAGGAGGCGGCTACTATCCGGGATCGAGATCTGCTTCGAGCGGACATCTGCCGCCCTCACCACAGTCACAGTATGCTCAGCAATACCAGCCGAGACGACCATATCTGAGCCCTGGCGGCCTTCTTCCCCCTCGCATGGAATCGCGAGGTCCGCCACCTCAGGCTGCGGGCGCGCGATATGGCCCTCAGAGCGGATATCAAGGTGCCCCACGGCCTGCAATGAATAGCGACCCTTATCGCTCACAGTCCTTGGCCTCTGTTCCTCGGCCGCAAATGTATCAGCCGCCTCCGAGTTCATACCAACAGTCGCCCGCAAACCAATTTCGCCAGGCTGCCTACTCTCACCACATCTCCGCCAGAACCACCGCACAGGGCCGGGTTGTCCCCGAACGCCATCACGACGACCGTTCCATGTCAATGACCGGCTCCTTTCACCCCGCGGATCGAGACCCTCACCAAACAATGAGCGGCCGCATAATTCCGAATCGAAGGGCGCCCAGTGACGCGTCAATGTCGAATGGCTATGGTCCCGACGGAGGATATCATACTGTCCCAGGATCTCAGACACGAACCACTAGCTTGGCCTCATCTGTTGGCTATCCCGACCACGCCAGAACCATGTCCATGGCGTCTACCTCGACGTCTAATATTACACCTTCCGAGTCCGACAGTATGACGCTCGTGAGCCGACCATCCAGAAGCAAGTCGGTCGAGAGCGATCGACCACCCACCGCCACCAAGATCCGCCCTCCGCTTGTTTATCCTGCGCTACTCTCAAGAGTCGCCGAGTGCTTTCGGCGGAAAATCATCACGGGAGACCGCACCAAGAATGAACTGACATACAAGAATGCCTTCAGCGGTTCAGAGGCGGTGGATGTATTATCATATATAATCCGCACCACCGACCGCAACCTGGCTCTGCTGCTCGGCCGTGCCCTGGATGCCCAAAAATTCTTTCACGACGTAACATACGAGCACAGGCTGCGAGACTCGCAGTCTGAAATGTATCAGTTTAGAGAAACCCTGATGGAAGAGTCCGAGGAAAAGCCCCCCGTCAATGGTGTCTTTGTACTGCTGACCGAATGCTACTCTCCTACCTGCACAAGGGACCAACTTTGCTACTCGATTGCGTGTCCACGACGGTTAGAGCAGGTTTCTAGGCTGAACCTGAACGCGAGCTCCGGCCTCCGAAAAGACCATGCCGCGGTGATCAACGACGATGAGGTGGACCAAACCGATGAACAGAAACTTTGGATCAATACCGTGCCAAAAGAAGTTGCCGATGCGGTTGGTGAACGCGAAAAGAAACGGCAAGAAGTCATATCCGAAATTTGCTATACTGAGAGAGACTTTGTCAAGGATCTTGAGTATCTCCGCGACTTCTGGATTATACCCCTACGATCAAAGGCCTCACCCATTCCGTTGCAGCGCCGAGACAAGGTTGTCAAGACCATCTTTAGTAACATCATTGACCATCCGAGCATTCACACCGTCAGCTCTCGATTCGCATCGACCCTCACAAGCCGGCAGCAAAAGAACCCCATTGTGCATAATATTGGCGACATCTTCCTTGACTACGTACCGCAATTTGAGCCTTTCATTTACTATGGTTCCAAGCAATTGGAAGGGAAGTTTGACTTTGAAAACGAGCGATCCGTCAACCCATTCTTCGCCAAGTTCGTAGACGAAATCGAACGACGAAAGGAGTCGAGAAAGCTGGAACTCAACGGTTATCTCACCAAGCCGACCACGCGCCTTGCTCGGTACCCATTGCTACTGGAGAATGTGTTGAAATATACAGAAGAAGGCAATACTGACAAGGATGACATTCCCAAAGTTTTGACCATGATTCGAGACATTTTGGGCAGAGTCAATGCAGAGTCCGGAAAGGCGGAGAATAGATTCAACTTGCGACGGCTTCAGGAACAGCTTAAATTCCGGCCCCAGGAGAGAGTGGACCTCCGACTCACAGAAGACGGACGAGAGATGGTGTTTAAGAGCCAGTTCAAGAAATCACCCACTGATCCTGCCGAGATCACCGCATTCCTTTTCGACCACGCTGTCCTTTTAGCCCGCATCAAGCAAAATGGCAAGAGTGAGGAACTCAAAGCTTATCGACGTCCTATTCCCTTGGAACTGTTGGCCATTCGGGAAATGGATGAAGTGATACCCGCGCAGGGCATGAAGCGCTCATCGTCTAGTCTGATTACGTCGATCAGAACAAACAACGCCGACGCGAGGAAGGCCGAAGGCTGGCCGATTACATTTCGTCATTTAGGCAAGGCAGGCTACGAGCTGACCCTCTACGCTTCAAACCAGGCAGCCCGGAAGAAGTGGTTGGAGTTTATTGACAATGCGCAGCAGCGACTTCGCGCGCGTGCCGACTTTTTCAACACGACTGTTATTTCCAGCAATTTTTTTGTGGGCACGAACCATGTCAACTGTGTTATGCCATTCGGTATGTTGAAAAATGCCTTGCCGATAACCTTCGACCCCATGACACGAGACTGACCATGTTGTTGTTTTTGTGTTGTTTTGCAGATGGTGGCCGTAAGCTTCTTTATGGTACAGACAACGGTGTCTATCTATCAGACCGCAAGAACAAGGCCCAGATTCCAAGAAGGTTATTGGAAACGCCCAACGTAACTCAGATTGATATTTTGGAAGAATACCAACTTCTGCTGGTGTTGTCCAATAAAACGTTGCAGTCATACGCACTTTCTGCGCTCAACCCCGACGAACCCGCCATGAGTAAGAGACCGAAAAAGATTCAGAACCACTGCAGCTTCTTCAAGACGGGCATCTGCCTTGGTCGACATCTCGTCTGCTGCGTCAAGTCATCCGCACTATCAACAACGATCAAGGTGTTTGAACCCAATGATGCCATGACCAAGGGGAAGAAGCAAAAGGGCCTTGGCAAGTTCATAGCCGGTGGCCATGACGAACTTCGACCATTCAAGGAGTTTTACATTCCCACAGAGTCGTCCTCAGTACACTTTCTCAAGTCGAAGCTATGTGTTGCATGTGCGCGAGGCTTCGAGGTCGTGTCTCTCGAGACCCTGGAAACGCAATCACTGCTCGATCAGGCAGATACTTCTCTCGATTTCGTGGCACGCAAGGAAGGTGCCAAGCCGATTCACATTGAGCGTCTCAATGGAGAATTCTTACTGAACTATTCCGAATTCTCGTTCTTTGTCAATCGCAATGGCTGGCGAGCAAGACCTGAGTGGCGGATTGACTGGGAAGGATCGCCTCAAAGCTTTGCTCTCAGCTACCCCTGGATTCTTGCGTTTGAACCCAATTTTATCGAACTGCGCAGTATTGAAAACGGCGCAGTGCACATTGTACCCCATAAGAACACTCGTATGCTTCACAGCAGTACTCATGAGGTGAGTTTGACAGTCCACACACACGTATATCCAAGCAGTCTGCGAACCTGTCGTCACGCTAACATGCCACCCAGATCCTGTTTGCATACGAAGACGAGCGGGGAGAGGACGTTGTCGAAGCCATTGATTTTTGGAAGAACGAGAGAAAATCCCAAATCCTGAGCGGTCCTTCTACCACCCATCCAAGCGGCTCTTGATGTTCCAAACGAGATACGATACTCTTGTACCCTGACACCGACGACCATAGAATAGAATCACCGCCCCTTTTTTGAAGAGAAAGAAAGGAAGGAAGGAAGGATGGAAGAAGCAAGAACAGAGATTCAACGTCTTCTTGTATCGCTTGCAGTTTGGGAGAGCCGTCTTTTTAATAATACCATATCTGTATCTCCTCTTGCCCACGTTGGCCTCTTTTCTCTCCTTCTCTCTCTCTCTCTCTTTCAACTGGGCTGAGACCACGGACAACGAACCCGCAGTCTTGCATCGTTTAATTTGATTGCGTTTTCAATTCTTCCGGCCGGCTTCTTGCTGGGCAAGGAGCTGCGCACCTGCGCCGAGGGCTGCGAGACATTGGTGGAAGTTTGACCTACGCCACTGTGCAGGTATTGTATGTTTTTGGGGTCTTCAATTACCCCGCACACGCGCATACATAGCAGAGAGCAGTCGGTTTGAGAACAGACATGGCTCTATTTATTGGTCAGGGTGGACGCTCTTCCGGAGTGTTGGCCCCCTTGTCTAAAAGTTTTGGCCAAAGACAAGAAGGCTTGTTATACTCCGTACCGGGTGGACGAGTAGAAGGGAGGCCAGGTGCCAGCGAGGAACGAGGAGGGGAGAGGGGAGAAGACTTATTGCTGGGTAGGTTTTGTACATTGAAGGAAGGGCAAACTAAGCAACCTCGAGACGTGCGAGGCAAGCTTGGCATCTCGATTGAGCGGTCTCTCTTTTTTTTTTCCGTCTCGAGGGGAGGAGAGGAGAGGAGAGGACCTAATAGGAAAGGAGATATATATATATATATATATATATATATATAATTTGCGCGTAAATTCCAGGAGGCATTTGCTACGAGGGTCGGCCTGAAATGTGAATCAGTGTGACGAGCAAACGTGGGCATCTTGTTGTCGGGCACGGGCACGGATAGGGTCTGCATACAAGACCAAGAGAGCAAGAGAGCAAGACGAAACCAACGCCGGCCAAGATACATGCGCCAGGGCAGCCAGACGTCTCAACGACGGCATTTCCGTCACGTCACAGCAGCCACGTCAGGCTTCTGGCCTCCCAAAGGCGTCGACGACCCTCCCGGCGTCGACGTGCACGGCAGCCCATCTCTGCTCCCGGCTCTGCCTCTTGCCCAGGCTCCCGGTCCACAAGCCCATGCCGTCCAACAGCACTTCCACCACGGTGACAAACGTCGCCTCGGGAGCTGCGCCCCCCAGCGCGTCCTCTGCGTCCCCCCTCGTCCTGGGGATCCGAGAGGCCAGCAGGTGCAGGTCGAGCAACTGCGTAAAGACCAGCCCAAACGAGGGCTTGTTGCGCCTCGACGAGGCGGACACGTAGCCGGGGATGTGCAGCGGCGGGGGATTGAATATCGACCGGAGGGAAGGGTCGAGGGGTCTTCCGCCGGCAGGCGCGGAAGGGCGCGGACGCCTGGCCGGCTCCGGCGCGTTGGAGTCGGTCGACGAAGTGGTCGAGTTAAGGATGAGGACGAGCGGCCTCGAGGGCAGGCTGCGCGAGAGGTGGCGCAGGCGCGACGAGAGGAGGGACAAGTCGGCGTGGGCGGCCGGCCTGGCGCGCTGGGTGAAGAGCGACGTGAGGAGACTCGAGAAGTGCGTGAGGAGAATGAAACACGGCGGCGGCGGCGGCGGTGACGGCGGAGGCGACCAGAGCCCCTCGTCCTCGCTGTCTTGAATCTCGGACGCCGCATCCTCCTCCTCCTCCTGGGAGGCAGGCCGCGACGACGGGCGAGGACGCGGGCGGCTGTCCCCTTCCCGTTCCAGGTCGGCCAGGACCTCCCACAGGCCATCCATGTCAAACACACACGACAGCATGACGCTGTCCAGGGCCGTCCTCAGGCGCAGGTCCATGTCGGCCGGGGCGACGCCCTCGTGGGCCAGCTCGGCGCCGACGGCGTCCCTCAGCGACCGCAGAATGACGCCGGCGGGCTTGGGCGTGATGACCAACGCCCTGGATCGCGGGTGCTCCAGCAGCGCCCTGGAGAGGACCTGTAGGCCGAGCTGCATCCCGACGGCGTCAGCACATGAGACGGGGGCGGCAAACACGGAGGCGGCAGGGAAGACGGTACAGCGACTCCAAAGGACTCCTCTTCCGCGCTCAGGCCCACGACGTGCCCCGTCTCCAGACCACCGAGGAGGACGTGGTCGTCTATTTCGGGACACGCCGTCTTGAAATATCCCCGCCGGCGGGCGTGGTTCCTGCGCTCTGCTTCTCGTTCGGCGAGGATGGACGCCGGCACGGGTGCCAGCGGAAAGGGATCGCGCGGCCACGACGGCTCTGGCCTGTCCGCCGCCGCTGCTCCGGTGGCAGGAGCTTTCGTCGGGGTGCGCATGTCATTACGGCGGGCCGGGCGAGGGCAGGGGCAGCGCAGGGGTGATGTTGTATGATGTATGTTCTCTCGACGTCGACGAGGCCAAGATGATGTTGTGTTGCAGGCGGTGGAGCTCCTTCCTGCCTTCCTTCTTGTGCCTGCCTGCCTTCTTTCCTCCCCCTGCATGGTGCATGGTGGCATGGCTTACCCGGCCAATGGGGGACGTCGCCAACACCAAGACGGGAAGACGGCAACGTCATGTCATGTCTCGGTACGGAGTACATCGTGCATGCATCAGGTAACATACATCAAGGCCAGGCCGCAAGGGCACATTGGAAACTGGACAACCACCACCAACTACTCGAGTCTTGCGCATTGCATCTTGGTAGGTGTTGTTTCAACAGAAAAAAAAAAACGGCTCCACGCCCACGGTCAGTTGTTGCTCTTCTTTCTTCTTCCGGCACGCCTTGCAACCCTCTCGGAGACGGTATGGTAACTATGTTGTCGACATACCTCTGCCTGCCTGCCTGGTTGCCGTGCTACGTGGTTCAAAAGTGTTTCGATATCCTCATGATGAGCGTCGAGCCTCGTGTCTCGTGTCTTGGCCAGTCTCGCAAGCTGTTAGTAGCAAACAACCCGGGCGTCCACACTCCAAAATTTCCATCGTGGTGCTTGAATAGAGCCAATTGTGGCCAAATATTGAGCAAGCTTCACTGTATTCATCGATCCGCTGAGCAGCGTACAAACAATTCCCGGGCGTGTCTCATAATGCTCCTTCAGCATAATGTAAAATTAAACGTCTACTCATAGCAATCTGCCCAAGTATTTTGCACATCAAAGTGCTCTATCCTTCAGTCTCAAAGCCCACCTCCCCCCCTAAACATGAAAAACTGATGCCGACAGTGCATACAAGTCTGTCAAAGCCTGGCAGATGGCCACAGGTTGCCATGGACGCTTCGCAGACGCCTCAAACTCGGTCCAAGTACGCCAGTCTTCTATTGTCTTCCCAAACTCCCCAACAACCTTTACGCAATGGAAATCGCATATGCCAGCTGATGGCCTTGACAAACCCTCGCAGCAGCCTGGACGCCCTGAGCGCGCTTGCCGCTAGTTGCCGGTACGTGCGCACCGCATTTCCGTCTGTCCCCGTCACTGAAAGACGACGTGTCGAGTCAGAGTCACTACCCGATTCTCCAACTAGTATGTCCGTGCTTGTGTCCGTACGCATCGCGTCAAGGCCCCTTTGCATTGATGATGCCTTCCCTTTTCTCGACCATCCTCTTTCAGTCCCGTCACATCGCCATTCCAGACCCTGCAGGTTGAGAGCTGGTGTCCGTGTTCTTAGGCCTTCGTCCACCCTTCAAACTCTTCATTCGACCCAGAAGACCGGTTGACTTGGCAGGAGGACTGTCCTCCCCTTGCGTCATCGCGTCCGTAGTGGCTCGTCGCTCCAATGCTGATGCCGGCGGGCTGGCGGGGGACTTGGCTCCGCCGCGGGGCCCAACACTGATGCTCTCCTCGCCTTTGGCGAACTCGGCAAAGAAAGGGTTAGGTTCGGAGCCTACACTGGAAGCAAAGCGAATAGAGTCCGGAGACCGCTTCGTCGATACTCCATCGGGGTTTGTCAGTCGTCCAGAAGGCAGATCTCGGGGTTTGTTGTTGATGTGACGAATTCGCTGTGCCAACGACTTCTTGCGTTGCAGACCGCCATCAGCTATCTCTTGCTGCTGTTCTGCCTGTCTTCGGACGATGGCACTTCGTGCGGCAGGCGTGCCTTCGAGGAAGGTTGAGGTACCTAAACCATAACTCTCATCTCCATGGACCAAGGATCCACGAGCGACGGGATCAAAGATGAGTGGCTCTGCACTTGAGCTACCGGGGTAGTTGTATCCATTCTTGTTCTTAACGCCGCCAGCGTAATCGCGGAAGGCTTCGTCTGTGCCGTGACCCAAGAAGGTCGCATGATCCGGGTTGCGATTGAGAGGGCCTGCACCACCTAGTGAATTGTTGAGAGAGTCCTTGGGAAAGGCTTGCATCGGAGCGCGCCTGCTGGTGTGCCGATTTCGATGCGGGTTCAAGGCATCAAAGGGGCCGTCATGGTGGAACACTGACAGACGACGTGTGGTTAGAGGAGATGGCAGAATAATCATCATGTCAAACTTACGGCCAGTGCCATATATGCTGGTTGCATCCAGCTGGTCGATGATGTCCATCCGTCGGCTTGGGCGACCAGACTTGCTCCGTCCTTTACCCGCCCGCTCCTTGTTACGAGGCTCGCGACTTTCGCGACTCTCCTTGTCCCGGCTCTCTGTTTCGCGAGCCGTCTTTTCACGGCGTTGTCGGTCTCGCATGCGGTGCTCCTCAATTATTTTCATTTCCTCGGCTGTAATGGGTTGAGCATTGAAGTCCATAACAGAGGAGTCAGAGTTTCGTCGTGGACGTCGGACCGGTTTCTTCAGAGGAGAACGCGATGTTCCGGGGTGGAGACCTGGTCCTGGTTTTCTTGACCTCGAGGCGTCTTCTTCTGGCTTTGCGAGTCGATTCTTGTCGCTAGGCTGTTGAGACTCCCCAGTCCGAAGGGGGGGGACCTGGTCTGATGGGCGTCGCTGAGCCGTCAGCGCTGGGGGCAGCCTGTCGTTTGGCATTGTGTCGTCGAGCGTGAGTGAGCCCTGGGGGTAAAATAGAGTTAGCTCAAGGTCGGTTGAGTCCTGGTCCCCTCGTTCCGCCGCGACTCGGCGTGACGGTTCATGGTGTGCTGGCAAAGGCGTCTTTGCGCAGAGTCACGTCAACGTACAAATATGTCTTCAGCGGACAGCGACTTGTGCTCCAATTTGTCAGAAACAGCAGCTGGAGGTTTCAGTGGCTGCTGAGACTGGTCAAGAAAAGGGTTTCGCGATACAGGTCTCTGCATCGGTGCGGGGTCGGCAAAAGGCGAGGTGGTGGTTGTCAAGGCAAAGGGGGCATCAAGGCCGGCGGGCGACGCGGCCCGGTTGCGAAAAGGGTTGTTGGAGGACAGTCCTGGCGAGGGGAGTTGTCCTGTGCAGAGAGATATAAAAAGTTAGTTTTGAATCTGGTTCATGCATATGTCAACCGACTAAACGAGATGAAACGCGACAATGTCCCAACAGGAAGGAGAAGTCTGAAGGGGATCGGCGGACAAAGCGCGGGCCAAACGGGAGGCGGCATGCTCGTGGCAGGCATTGCACAACACTCGTGACGACGCATGCTCTATGCCCTTGTCAAGGAGAGAGGGGGTCACGGCCAGACAAGCGTACATGCGGCGTCTGTGGACATGCTTGGGCACAGCTTACCTTGCTGGAAAGGACCCGGGCTGGACATTTTGACTGGTCGATAAGCAATATGGCCCTGGAATGTGCGGTCCGGAATAGATTAGAAAAACAAAGGATACAAATTAGAAACCTGTCAGTCAGAGGGCGGCCTCCTTGTGGGTTGGCCAAACTCCTGGGGCCTTGGTGCACAGGCCGGATGTCATGCCAATAGGAGAGGCACGATGGTGGTTCCCCGTCGCGGTGAAACGGAAACAAGGGCGGCTACAGCCAGTAGATGGCGGGGCGTCAATATAGGATCCAGGGGCTTGTCGTTTGAGAAAGGGCGAGGCGCTGCGCCGATCGATCAAAGCGGTGCCGACACGCAGGAAGCAGACGGCTCGAGGACCAAGATGTGCTTCGCAAGCCCTTGGAAACAGCGGGCCGTCAAGGGGGCGCGAGGAGAGGACGCGTTCGGGAGAAGGGACCAAAGAAAGAGCTGGAGACGGCCCCAGCAAAGGAAAGGCGAGGCAGAGTTTGGATATTGGGACGACGTCGGTCTGCAGTGGGCCGAGCGTCCCTTCCCATCGGTCGGATCGGACAGCGCCGGTTGACGAGCACGGGGTGCAACGCAGGGAGTCGAGAGATTCCTCGTGCAGTCGATTAGCTAGCGGACTCGGGGTTGAAACTGACGGTGGCCCAAAGGCGAGGGAATTGGAGCGGATCTGTTTGTTTGAAGACGCGGAGGCGATGAATGCTCAGGATCTAAAGGGGCCTGCCCGGGCTCGCAATCAGATTGGGGATCGGTGTCGGCCTGGCCTGTTCGCTCCGCAGCCAGCCAGCCACCCAAGCCCTCTCGCTACGAAGACAGCTTCTGCAATTTGTCGCGGCCAACAAGGCTGCCGACAAGTCTTCTCATTCGGCGGGCGGGATTGGTCGGTACGCTCGTCTGCGCACAAACACAGGATGGCGGCGTGAAAAATGGGGATCCAGATGGGCCGAGAGGCGACGAGTACGGAGTACGTGCGTACGTACTTACGTAGATGCACAGTGGGGGAGCCAATAATGGTGATGCCAGAGACCAGGGGGCCCGCAGATGGCAGCCGGCTCCAGGCTCCAGGGGGTGGGCGGCTCCGAACTGGCTCGAAGGCAGGCAGGCAGTGGGAAGCGGGCCAGGCTCGACGCCAGGGATCCTGCCAAGGCCAACGGCCAAGTTGTGACTTGTCGAGTCGAGGTAGTTAGGTCGAGCAACAGGACGGGCAGAACAGGCCTTGTTGCTTGGCCGAGATCTGACACGCCTTTGAGAGACAACTGGTATGCGCGAGCCGGCTCGATGACGAGCAACAACAGCTTGTCCTCCTGGCTGGTGCCGGTGCTGATGGATGGTTGCCGGTCTGGGCTGTCTCGGACGCTCGAATGCGGTCAGGTACGGATGAGGAGGCGTCTTTGGTAAAGAATCAAGAGGTGAACGGTGCCTGGTGCCTGGTGCCTGGTGCCTTGTATTGTAAAACTGTCGGGGTATTGACGCACGATGTTTGCTTCAGGGTGGTGAACAAGAGACCTTGGGCTCACCCTCTTTTTTTTTTCCTCTCTCTCTTTTTTTTTTTGGCCTTTTGCTCGACAGATACCGTGCAATCGCAGCAAGGGCGTCGAATTGGGAAGGATGCTTGCGTCTAGATGTTTGTTTTCCCACGACGCTTGCAGGCAGGTACCTATACAGGTCATGTGTGCATATGTTGCCTTTCACCTTCCACCTCTGCCTACAAGTACCTACCCACCTTAGGTACCTACCTACCTAGGTAGGTAGGTACCCGAGTACGTAGGCACAGTCCTTGGCACGTGAGCATCTCCGGGGTACGAATACAGAGCACCGTAGCCAACTGACAAGCGTGACTTTGCAAGTGTCGCTTCTCAGCCCAGTCAACCACCTCGCAAAGACACGTGGAACAACAATTTTGGTCGTCCCCATCCCTCATCAGCAACAACCCTCGAGTCTGACTCCGCACGCGGTCAAATAGTACCCTACAGGTGTGTATTCTTCATCAGCCCTACAAATACATGGCCCCGGGAAAGCTGCTAGCCACAGTAGCCCGCCTGGGTAGTAATTGCTTGGCAGACACGATGGTGCTGGTCTGGCCCGCCAACGGGTTTGACATCAGAAGCCGATAGGCTGGTGATGGCACGTGCAAGTTGTCTTGAATGGCCAAGTAATTAGTTTCACGCCCAGCCTGGTCCAAGTCAGTTGTTCCAGCGCTTCTCTACTCCGTGCTGCTGGAAGGAAAGAAATTAATTACCCCTGCTCATACGATTTGCCTCACAGGTGTCGTTGATTCGGTTAGCAGGAGTGGAAACATGCATGCTCAAGGGAAACTTATTCGGCTAACAAACTTTCAACCTAATAACGTTGGGAGTCTCTGCGGACAAGCGCGAAACGCGCTGGCCGTCGACACCACATACTCGAGGTTGGAATGCTCAACCCCTCCCTTTTGGCAACCATCTACGTATTGCTCGTGCGAAAGCCCAACTCCTTCTGGACATTGACGACCCCGAGAAACGTGCCGGCAGCCATACCTCCATGTACATGGAGCGAGATCTGCTGGGCCTCGCCAACTCGTCAACTCACGCGCAGGTGCAGGTGCCTGGCATAAGGGGCAAGCAGCAAGCAATTAATTCCCTTGCCCAGCACGACCCCACCACCCCTGAGTCGGACGAGAATGACGTTGGCCGCATTCCATCAGCGACGTCATGTTCATAAAAAAGCAAAATGCTACGGCCGACTGACCCTGGTTCTCGCAATACCACCTGATGTTCTGCAGGGATTTTTAACTTTCCGTCCCACATACTACAGTAAACCAGGTCTATAACGATATCCTTCGTGAGCAATTTTTCATCGTTATAACCCGACTACAGGGATTATATCGCTAAGATGCGACTACTCTTTTAGGAAAACCCCTACTTTTGTTAGTAAGATAAGGCTAATAAGGCCTGATAAGGCTTAATAAGGGATTTTAGGGGGGGTAAGGTAGTGTGTAATTATAAACTTACATATATTAATAAGCAATATTTATAAGAAAAATCGCTATAAGCTAGGAGTTACTTTTATATATATAACATATAGGAAAGGTACTTCACGCCCAGGCGTGTGTGCCGAATCGCTATAGGGGGGGATCGTTATAAACCTGCTTTACTGTACCAACAGACTGCTGCTCTAACTTCTAGCAAAAGCCCCCACGGGCATCTACGGAGTACGTACACGGCTCTTGCTATCAATAGTACATCGTGAACAGGGATGCAGCAGGGATAGATGGACCAAAGATTATGCAAACTACAGTGTCTGCGCTTGAACTTGCCCGTGGCGCACGCCCTTGCGGGATATTTTAGCGTGAGCGTTCAGTTGCGGCCAAAAACTTGGACCGCCGGTTCGTAGCATCACGGCCTAACAGTGAAAGCATGTTCGCGCCAACCCAGCATATCTTTCTTGCCCGAGACTCGCACTCTCGCGCGACTAGCATTGTTCAACGTATTCCAAGCACACATGGAGAGACGGCTTTCTTCACGTCCAGTTGGCAACCCAACTGTACTGGCATGATTCAACTTGTGATAGGGAATGACATGGCAAATGTGTGGCAACGGCGATTCGATATTTCAAGTAGATACGTACCCAGGTAGGGAGCAGTATTCGTGTACTTGATACGACGCGTCTAGTAACTTCACCGCCCGCGGCTGTTCTTTTCCTTTTTCTAATTCTGTATTGAACTAGGTTAGAAATTGCGCGAGTGAAGAAAGCTGTTCGACAGTCGCCGTAGCATCTACAGTCGCCACCAACTGGTCGATTGCTGTCCATACCCAGCCAGGGCATAACAGAGCAAACCGTTGGCCCATGCATTCTGTGGCATGTCCCTGTAGGCCGTCATTCCAAGTGAAGGCCTGACCGTGCCCGAGTCGAAACCAAGTCTCGACGAAAGAATACGCGATTCTGGTCGAGCCCAGCGGGGGGGGGGTTGGTGACCGAGATGCGCATCCACCCGTGCAGAGCCGAGCAAAGAACAAGGCGTCACCACGGCAAATGCAGAGGAGTCTCCAGGTTCTTCCCCATGGTTTCCTCAGCCGTGCCAATGTCGCCTAAAATCGCAGCTCACGTCAGCACATGGCCTCCCGGGGCGATTCGACCAAACAGCAGCGCACTTGCCTGGCCCCCTAGGTGCCCAGAACTGGCCGGTTTTGGAAACGTCCACCCGCTCAATCCACCGAACAAGAGACGACGCGGCCTCATCGGGCGTGACGGCTGCAGCAACGTCATGTCGTCAGGTCAGCTTGATACCCGCCACGAGCGAGGAGTTGCCTCCGAGGCAGAAGACGCAACGAGCAAGCAAGGTACGCAGACTCACCGCCGCCAGCGTCCCAGTACTTGTCGTAGCCGACGCCCTTTGTCATTTCGGTCCGCATGAAGCCGGGGTGGACGAGGGTGACGATGACGCCCTTGTCCTTGAGGTCCAAGCTCAGTAGTTTGCCGACCATGTTGAGGGCCGTCTTGCTCGCGTGATGGGCGTAGTTGCCGCCGCCTTCCTTGTCGTGGCGGAGCCGGATGCTCCCGGCCTCGGAAGACACCAGGGTGACCTTGGAGCCTTGACGCAGCAGCCCGGCGTGGACTAGCCGGTGGACGATGAAGACGGGGGCAACGGAGCTGGTCGTGTACATCCGGAGCTCCTCATCCCACTTTGGACCCTTTTCGGCGCTGAAATCCTCGGTGGAGAAGTAGCCGGCCGTGATTACCTGCGGGTTTCTACGTCAGTGACTGCCGCCGCCATGGGGGGGTTTCTTCTCTTGTGGAGGCTCCGAGGGGGGGGGCGCGGGAGAAACTCACGAGGTTGGACAAGGGCTTGGCGTCGCCGAGCAGCTTGACAATGTCGTCTCCGACAGAACTCTTGGTCAGGTCGACGCCGTTGAGCCACTTGACGTGTTCCGGAAAGCCAGGAGGGGTTGTGCTGGAGCGAGCGGTTCCATAGACGACGTTGCCGACGGTCGCGGCGTACTGTTTGACCAAGCTGGCACCCAGGCCTCGCGTGGCCCCGACAATCAGGATCGTGGACATTGCGTAACGAGGCGGCGCGAGGAGCAGTGTTGAGTGGCAGTGGATGTTGTCGAAGCAAACGTGGCCGCGCGAGACCCGCTCAAGCAAGTAGACACCTGGGTGGGCACATGTGGATGTGGATGTTGTGATGCGTTGGAGCAGTTGGCTATGACGCCATGTACTCCGTACTTGTTGACTTGGGCTGCTGGTGTCCGAGCTCAGCAAGCACGGGGCCCCGCCACGACGTCAGTGCCTTCATGTATTCCCCACGTACTCCGTACAGCAAGGTTCCTTCGACCCGCGCACCGGGTACGTACCTCCTTAAGTAACTACCTAGGTACTCAGGATATCAATCAATACTACGCGCAATGCCGTCGGCCGGCCTCATCAGGCCCGCGAGCAGACGTCCCCGGCCGCCATGAGCATGATTGCCGACAGGCAGATTATGGGAAAGGTCCTGGATGACGACATGGTGGCTTCGGGCTATGAAATCTAGCAAAGAGACGACGACGACGACAAACAATGACGGTTCGCCAACCGGGCCAACAACATTATAGACCGCGTCTGGTGATTATCCTGCAATGGCATTGTCTTGCTCAAGCAATGGACACGCAAAATATTCTATCGTGACATGATGGGCGTCAAATTCGGCACCCAATGTAGACCAGACGAAGTCAAGGCCCCCGTCGTCGACTCGTCATTACCGCGCCGCTGTCATTATCCAACTTGACAGTCGCAGTCGCCGCAAAGTCGCTCCCCAAAATCGTCCATCAACTTCGTGCCTGTTATTCCACACCTCACGCCTAAAATACCCTCTGCGCCATGATGCTTCCCACCCTCATGATCCAGAATACAAGCCAACTAATAATCCCATCACAGCAACAAAATGGCTGTCGCAATACGACCTCTTCGTGCCGTCTTCTCTGCTCTTACGCGACGCTCATGAGACAAAAAGGAAGGGGGGGGGATTCAACTACTGCTGTTCCCGGTACCGCAACCGTTTCCGCTGTCGGTCGGGCCTCTCCTGAGTGGACATCTATAAGATCCTGTCCCTGCTCTTTGGACGATGCGCCTGCCCCTGCATCTAGTCCGTCTAATAAATCGCGATCAGAGCTCTTGACCGATCTGTTATCCCCACTGGGACCGCCTGGTCCTCTCCTAGCTCCAACTGCGATGCCAATATCATCGTCGTCGTCCTCTTCATCCTCAGGGCGCTGTCCAGGCAGCGCATTCTTCTCGAGTTCCCTCTGGGCCTCTTCCATGCGTCGGCGCACCTCGGTTGCCACTCGCATTCCATCCGTTACAATGTTGTCCAGGACGCCTCGCAAACCACGACCTGCTCCGTGTGGTCCTGGCTGGACGGGGACAGGTGCCTTGGAACCAAAACCAAGGCTGGCAAAGGTTGTCAATGACGAGCTTTGCGGTGTCGCTGCTGCGTTTCGAAGACCCTCAATGATATGGAATGAGAACGGGAACGATGATTCAAAAAACTGCTCCAGGAGCTCGTCAGCGAGCACAACCATTCTAAAGGTTGGTAGCGTCATATGCAGAGGTTGCGCTGGATTGAGCGCGGCGTTGGCGGCCTCCGACTTGGCCTTGGATACCCGTCGTCGTGATTCGTCGATTGTGCCGTCGGCTTGCGTTTCTCCATCGGGAAACGATTCATTCGTCTTCTTCGCTTCTTTTGGCGACCCAGATGGAGACTCCAGCCCCAGAAGGTCCTCTCCGTCCTCGTCATCTCCTATGGCAAATGAGCTCTGGCATGCCTCAGTGTCTTGTGACAGGTTGCCTGTATTTTGGTTCTTGGGGTGATCCGGATCGGCGTATTCAAAGCAGCGGCGGATAAAGGCGCTCACGCTGCCGAGAAACCGTTCATTCACAGGTATACTCGTTGGTAAGCTTGCCTGGGACCCGTGTGCACTGCCGCTTTCGCCGTTGAGTGCTAGACTTGAGGCATTAGGACTGAGTGTTCCCTCAAGCCCGCGTCGTGATAGGAATAGCAACGCCTCGGAAATTCGTAGTATTCCCTCGCGATCGACCTTGCCATCACCATCGTCGTCGTAGAGTTCGAAGAAATATGTAATAGTGCCCATGATATCCTGCTTGCCTTTGATACCAGCCAGCCCGGTGACAACATTCTGCAGCGTCAGGATTTTGTTTCCATCTTCGTCCCACTTTCTGTACAGTCGCCGTAGGAACTCGTGCTCTGCGGGTTCCGGGCCAGCGCCCCAAGGGGACACGAGATCTGGAGATTTCCGAGCACTATTGAACTTGGCAAATTTGTCCTCGCCAGTCATGGTGTCCCTTCTTGAATTTCCGGGGGAGTCAGACAAAGCCCATTTACACATGCTGGCAAGGAATTCGCGGAATGCGTCGTAATCCATAAGATTCGTGCTTGGCCCCAGCCCTACGCGGCCCTTTTCCACCTGGCTTGGCGCAGAGGAAAAAATTTCAGAAGCCCGCATTCTGCTTGTCTTGAGTCGCCGCTTCTGCTCCTCCTGAATCATGACATCTCGTTGTTGTCGCTCGTACAAGACGCTGTAAAATCTGTCATACAAGGCACCGAGCTCATCAGGGTTGAGAAGCTTGCTGTCGGGGCCCAAGTTTCGAATTGCCGTCCTTTTGGCGAAATTTTCAATGTTGTTCAGGACCGCATCCTTCTTCTTGAGTCGCAACTCTGTTATGCTGCTGTGAGTGATGCCAGAAAACTCCTTGAAAGCAACAACCATGAGCTCCTGAAACCGAGTGACTGCTCGAAGCTTGGGATTCTCAGACTTGGGGTGAGCTGACTCATCCAACCTAGAGAAATATGCCTTGAGGACGGAGATGAACGCGCCGTCATCAGCGGCATCAAGCAACTCTTCCCCGTTTATGCGCAGAATTGCCAGACCGACCTGGAACAGAACCTTTGGCCCCTCGACAAAGAAAACATCCAAGACGCGGAAAGCGAATATTAGGGGCATCGAGTTGATATACAACGACAGGAACCAGGGCAACGAGACGACTGATAATTGAACATCGCTCTTGACGAGATGTTCCCATAGAATCGGCATGGTCCTTTCCACCAATGACTCAAACACCTTTTGGTCCAGCAGTGTGCCATACATGGTCGTGGAGTAATAGCCGGGTACAAGACGATCGCAAAGAGATGAAAGCAGGAAAAAAGCCTGGGCCTCCGACATGTAGATGAGCAGCGCCGCCACGACGATATTCATGGCCTGGCAGTATCCAACATCAGGATTCACCCAGCTGTATGCAGTTAGAACCCTGCGAAGCCTGCTAATTCCCTCCTCGCTTTGGAAACCGGGATATTCGGGCAGACTGCGATTCAGATCCTTTTCGATTTCGTCGATAGCGAGGGACTCTTGCCCCTCGAATTTGGTCAAGGTATCGGCGTACAGAGTGGGCTTCTCAAGTCGCAAGTACAGCGAACCTGAAGTCAGTTCCCATATCTCTCCTCGTAAGCGATTTGGCAAGCCGACTCGAATGAGTTTGTGAAACGTGGGCTGACGCATAAGGGTAGCATTTCTTCCATTATCTCGCAAGTATTCGGCCCAGAGTCGCATCTTGGCCCGGTCTCGCAGCTTTTTGGGATCACCGGGATATCTAAATACCATACCAAGACCGGCATCGGGTGGGTTGGAATTCTTGTTCTCCTCGGATCGGAGGAGATGCTCGGAGTAGCATCCAGCAATGACCTTGCGGAGCTTGCCTACGTTGCCGACGCCAGCTCTCAGGCCTCTCTTGAGTCCATCGCAAAACCGTTCACAAGCAGGCCTGGCGCCGGCCAAATGTATCGTAATTCGTTGCTCCTTTGTATCTTTGGTGTCTTTAATGCCGTCTCTATCCCTGGGGCCCCCTGCCAGCAGCCCGTTCCACGTCGTGATGGCTAGTGCGAACTGTCAAGGGGAGGAGGCGTGTTAATCATTACATGTTGATGGCTTGTTGACAAGCCCACCACGAGGCTGGGGGGTTGAGCAGAGGGCAAGCCTACCTGGAAACTCTGGCTATTTAGCCTCTCAACTCTTCTGATCGCGCACAGAGGAAAGGTGAAACCATTCCCGCTTGGCCCGGCGCCATGGGTCGGGCCTGTAAATGCCAGAGAGGTCGAGGTGCTGGAAGTCTGTAAGAAGCTCGTGGGCGTGGTGGAAAAGCACATGTACGACTCGGACAAATGCAGCTTCCCGGCGTAGTGCCATCCTCGATCGTGGTCTCTATCGCCCTGGGTAGCATTGGAGGGTGGAATGGTAAGCTCAGCATTGATCTCGTACAGGGGATTTTGTGACGAGGGCAAGCGAAACTGGCTCTGAAACAGGGATGCCTTGGAGGGATTCCGATCGGAGCTCGAGAGGTTGAGGCCTTGGGTCGGGTCAATGAGTTGCTGGGCCTTTTGCACGATGTTGGTGAAGTTGGAGAACATGGTCGCGGATCAGCAGCGCCGCATGGCGATGCAGGAGGGGAGGGGGCAGCTTGGCTACCAGGTCGGGAATTGGATCCAGCGCAGGATATGTCTGTCTGTTCAACGGAAACGGGGAAAATGGACTGAAGATGCAGATGCTTGGGACGAGCGAACTATGCAGCGGCAGGATGATTGCGAATCCGCCGGGCCGTGGTGGTTTGGAAGACTATGAGTTGCAGACAAGATGATGATGGGACGGAAGGGTTAGTTAGGAGGGCATGGAACAAGCAGGGCAACTCGACTCGACTTTCTACGAGACCTGATGAATGCAGCCAATGGCAGAGGCACATGGGCGACGGTCAGGGCGGGTGGCTGGCCTGTGGCCCTGTGGGGTCACTGGTGCCTCAGGTGCCAGGTGCTAGGCTCATCGCTGATGAGGCGTCAGGTCAACTGTCAACACTGATGTCACTTTGGGCGCTGTTTTCGAGCCGTCCTTGGTCTGCTCACTGCCTTCCATGCCTAATGTTCACTCACGTCTTTGTCTGGTCAGCTGGTCCATCTCAGACTATCTGTGCGCAGTGCTGCGCCGTGCAGGTCAACCGTGCCAACATGTCATTCAATGCAATATTGATGAACATTGATGAATGCTGCAGACCGCCCAATGACCAACTTTTGGCACCCGCCAAGGCCAGGCCACCATCAAGGCCACTGAACAACTTGCAAGGCAGAGGGTCTCGGGCTCAGACCAGCACCGGGTGGCGCAGCGCTTTTCCCAGGCCGCACATCTTGCATCGTTATAACACCGACGCTACGGGGAGGATAAAATAAATAAATAAATGAGACCTTACACATGTAGAGCTCGGCAGTCATATTTCGACCATGTCCAACCAAGCACACAATGCATACCGAATTCAAAGTCGCAAAACACCAAAAAGAAAACAGTCCTCCGATGCGGGGAATCGAACCCCGATCCCTGCGGCACTCCCAAGTCGCCGAGCTTGAAAGCGCAGTATGATAGCCACTACACCACATCGGATATTAGATGATTCTGGACCGAGCATAAGTTACTCATAAACTATTCACTTACCTAGCGATCACCACACGTACAACACGGCAACCTCCCTGTGTCCTCCTACTTGGGTCGCCTTATCATCGCGTTGAACAACAGACTCTAAAAACAGGTCCGTTTTGGCGGCCGCAGCGTCTAGACTTAGATGTTTGAACGGAGTCAGTCTACGAAGATGCCGAACCTTGTCGCACGCCGTTCCGGCGGCGATATTTGCTCTTTTCACTTGACTAATCACACAGTCATTACTTTAGTGATGGTTCTGGGCCCTTTGGCTTCATTGATGAATCCCGACTCCGACTCTCGAGGCAGTTCGAGGTCAGGATGGGAAACCTGATGATGTCTTCTCCATGAATCTCACCAACCGAACGTTGTTTTACCAATGCAGACACGACGACGCATCCCCCAGTTTTCCAGGTGTCTAAGATAGACCGTGTGTAATATAGACCGTGTCTCTGATATAGTCAAGTCATCTGGCCCCTGAATTTGGTCTCGTCTGTCCTTACCGGCTCGCTGGGCAAGCCAGATGCTATAACGTTACCCATGTCCAAAAACGAAAGCGCCCTCAGGCCTCAAATCTGCCGATGGTCTTTCTGTTCGTCCTTTAAAGCCAAATTATTCAGGGTTCAAATCCTGACGTATATCTAATTTAGGTGCAGGCACATACATACTCCGCCTTCGGCTCCTCCGCCCGTCAGCCTACGCGCCGGGCGGGCGAGTTTACTCTGGACTCTGGCCATATACTCTGGAAGCTGGGGCGGGTAGTTCGTGAACCTTGCTGCGGGATAGGTGTACCAATCTGCCAGCTTGACTGCGATTTTTGATGCCCCTGTTGCCGTGGGCAGGACTCGACAGGGGAATCGGCAGACTGAAGATGCTACTAGCCATGCCGACATGACTCGGCACGGCGCCGATTTTATCAAAAGCCGTTGGCTTGTGTACTCTGTCTTGGATTTTTGGTGGCTACCCAGGCAGGCAGCTAGCAACACAGTGTATTAATAGTTGAGAAGGTGGCGCTGGCGAAATTGCAGAGGCTTCTCGGATATAGATGATGGATACATTAAAGCAAATAGTCATAGTGCTCTGTGGTTAAGCCTATTACCAGCAGCTAACTAAGTAACTAATGCAAGGATAGGAAGTGGGATGGAAGATAATGGTAGGTGTGGGCAAAGGGATAGAGCTAGTTGTTCCCTTTATTTTTTTTTTTTTCCCACGAGGAAACCGCTTGGCAGCTTAAGCCTATAACCACGATCCATGTCCAATACGGTTCTCAGTCCATGTACATTGTGGGATTTTAGCAACTGAAAGCTGACACTGCTTCTCCTGCGCTCCCACCTCGCATGGTTAATAATCCATTCCACGACAATGTGTCGGGCTACTTGCGAGACTTGGGTCCCTACACATGCTATTATACTCTATGAGGGATTTACAGCAACCAAGTTGCGGGTCAAGTGCGAGATGACTAGATACAGTGCTCAGTTGGAGAAGAGACAAGTGCCAGATATAAAAATGAAGGCCGTCGCACCCGAAGGCCCCAACCAGCCGTGACACGAATGCTGCGATTGCTGGCCGGCCTCGGTGGGCACTCTGTTATCACGGCCTCTGGACACGTTCTTTTCCGAGATGAAAGCCTCCATTGTCGTCGCGACGCTCTCTTTGCTGGTTTCAGCCAGCCCCCCGGAACGTCGGTTTCGGCAAGACGCGGGATGGAACATCCAAGCCATCTCTCACCGACATCCTCCTAGAAAGATAAACGGCAAATATCGCGACACAGGCTACCTTTACAACCGCTGGCCCGAAGATAAGGAATTTTACGCATATGTGCTCGACTCAGGCATCCGAACCACACATCACGAGTTTGGTGACCGGGCCAAGAACCTCTGGACGGCATTCCAGGATGCCGACGGGAGGTATGAGTTTGAGGATGTAACTGGCCACGGCACTCATGTTGCCGGGATAATTGCCTCTACGACCTACGGCGTGGCTGAACAAGCCCGCGTGCTCTCGGTCAAGGTCCTTGACGCCAACGACGAGGCACTTGTATCTGAGGCAATAGCAGGCTTCAACGCAGCCGTCAAGCACATCATCGAACACGGCCGGCAGCATAGGGCCGTGATCACTCACTCAGGAGGGGCAGGGTGGGAATATTCGGCTGCCTGGAGAACGGCTGTTCGGGGAGCGCTCGAGGCGCCGGGGGGGCCAATTTTGACCGTTGTTTCGAGCGGCAACGACGGCGCAAATGTCGACTACACGGCACCCGCTTGCCTGGACGAGGTTATTTCGGTTGGGTCCATGGAGATGGATTGGAAGATCAGCCCTACCTCCAACTATGGATGCCAGGTTGACATACTGGCCCCCGGAGACAGAATCAAATCACTGTCTCACACGGCCGACGATGATTTGGTCATCATGTCTGGAACCTCGGCGGCGGCGCCCCACGTGGCTGCCGTGGCATTGAACGCCATGGCAGTTTTTGGGAAAAGCAGCGGGCAAGTGTCTGATTTTCTTCGACAAACTGCCACGCGGGGTAGGGTTAGGGGCATACTCCGTGACACGCCGAACCTTCTCGTGAACAATAACAACCCTGTCCAGTGGTAGTACAGTAATTTGGAGTGAGTCGGAGAAAAAGGGGAGTTTTTCTTTTTTTAAAAAAAAAAGAAAAAAAAACGGAATAGAATGATAAATGCGTGCTTCTCTTTAAAATGCATCATTGTACGTACTACGTTCAATGTCGGGTCCGGAAAAGCGTAGACACGCAAGTTGATGACCAGCGGACGTATCCAGATTGCTGGTAACTTATCAGGGCGGCGCGGGAGATTTGGCTGGCGTGGACATGGACATGCATGAGGTACCTGCCTGGAATGTACATGTACGGAGTACTCCGTACCTCCATGGATATCTCGTAGTCTCGCACAGCACCACGCCATGTCCACGCATGCACTTGGAACTCCGTACCCAAGTAGTTGGTGGTATACTGCACGTCTTGGCGCTGGCCCCGGCATTCCCGCGGCATGAATCAACACGCTCGCTCCTGCCACAATGATGCGTAAAAGGAAAGGCACCAAACACCAGACAGAGCCCGGCGTCAGCGTCAGCGTCAGCGTCAGCGTCGCCATCACCATCACCATCACCATCACCATCACCATCGTCAGCGTCAGCGTCACACATCGCAGCCGGCCCCCGTCATCCTCTCCCCCAGAGCCCGCGGAGATCGGCATCCGCGGCGGAAAAGTCCGGTGGCCTGGGTAAGCATGCCAGCCCTCGAATCCGCGAAATCCGCTTGACCCCTCTTTTCTCTTCTTCCCCAGCCCGCAGCCGTCAACCCTTTGGGACTCGACTTTACCCCAGCGCCGCGCCAACGGCCAATACCGTCACCGTTGTGCCGTCATCGATTTTCAACTCTTTTTTCCTCTTTTGTCGCCGACTTTGGGCCCCGCCGAGAACTGTCCGCCGACAAAGCCTTGTGCAAGCCACGGCGCGCTCAACTTGGCCGCCTCGTCATGCCTCACGTTTAACGTCGGCACCGGCACCAGCACCAGCCAACCGAGTTGGTCTCGCCAGACAGATCGGGCAGAAAAAGCCATCCACGCCTCGATTGGCGCCGACTTGACGCATCTCGACGCTCAACTCCGAATCGTTTTTATGTCATTACATTTCTGTTGATCCCTTCCTGTGGCCCGCCCTCCCCCTCCTCGTCCTCGACCTTGTCGCCGTCGTCTCTCGCGGCTCTTTGTCGCTGCGGCTCCCCGACGCATCCCCGAGCAGCTCGACTGCTTTGTCTGTGGCCATCTCTCCGAGCGCGTCGTCCCCCGCCTCTGCTCTTCAGGACACAGGGTGCGTGATCCGGGAGAAGCGCCCTCGCCCTGCGTATTTTTGTTGCTCCTGCTTGCCCCCTTTCATTTCGCCCATGTAGTTGGTAGCCATCTCGGGATTCCCCTTGGCCATGGACAGCACCTGAAACCACCTGCTCAAACGGGGGGCCATTGATGCAAGCCTCAACCTCTCTTTTAACACGTTTTCGAAACAACAAAGAAACTGTCGCTCCGGCCTGCGTCTTGTCCGTATTAATAGTCTTTTGCCTCCCGGGCTGACTTGCCCGGCCGCAACTCGTCGACGACGACATCTCTCTCGAACCGACATCGACGCACAACAGAGCCGTGGCAATTTGATCCAGCATGGCGGCTACTGTGGCACAGTCCCAGGCGCCAGCCAACTTGCCGTCCAACGGACTCGCCTCTCCAACCGCGCCGGCCTCTCACGCAGCGCATGAGCATCATCCTCTTCACAGTCGCCAGGCGCATTCAAAAATACACGGCGGACACGTCGACACGTTGCCGCAAACCCATCGCTTCGAGCCCAGCAACTTCAACGTCGTTCGCACTCTAGGAACAGGTTCGTCGCTCAGCGTGTCTACTGTAGCTGCAACTGCAGCCTCGACGCACTTTACGTTGCTCTTGGCGCCAGGTAAATCCAGACCACCATCTAACTTGGCTCTCTAGGCACGTTTGCGCGAGTCTGCCTTGTCCGGCCGTCCAACGCCCCCAACACGCCGTTGGAACGGAACACCGCAGGCACGGCCCAAGTGTACGCCCTCAAGATCCTGCGCAAAACCCAAGTCATCAAGCTCAAGCAAGTCGACCACGTCAGACATGAGCGAGCCGTCTTGGCTGATGTGGCAGGCCACCCCTTCATCACCAACCTGCTCGCTTCGTTTTCGGACCGCGACTCGCTATACATGCTCCTGGACTACGTCCCCGGCGGCGAACTATTCAGCTACCTCCGCAAATTCAGGCGCTTCGACGAAGCCACGGCCCAGTTCTACGCCGCCGAGATTGTCCTCGTGCTGGAGTACCTGCACGAGCAGCAGGGCGGCGTTGCATACCGGGATCTCAAGCCGGAAAACCTCTTGCTGGACAAGGACGGCCACATCAAACTGGTCGACTTTGGCTTCGCCAAGCGCCTGGGCTACAAGGACGACCACCCGGTCGAAACATATACCCTCTGCGGCACGCCCGAGTATCTCGCTCCCGAGGTCATCCACAACAAGGGCCACACCACGGCCGTAGACTGGTGGGCGCTAGGAATCCTGATATACGAATTCCTCACGGGGTACCCGCCGTTCTGGCACCAGAACCCCATGGAGATATACAAACAGTAAGAAGACTCCCCCGCACACGAAAGAACCCCCCCTTGTCATCTACAGGGAAAGGGACAATACTCACTGGCGTGTCAAGAATCGTCGAAAAACCAGTCACGTTCCCCCACGAGCCGCCCATATCCGACGAGGCCAAGGACATCATCCGCTCCTTGTGCACCATCGACCGCTCCCGACGCCTGGGCAACATCAGCGGCGGCGCAGCCCGCGTCAAGGCTCACCCCTTCTTCCGCACCGTCAACTGGGACGACGTGCTCAACCGCCGGTACCTGGGGCCTATTGTCCCGCCGGTGCGGTATCCAGGCGACTCGCAGTGCTTCGACGTGTACCCCGAGGACGACGGCCGGCGGGACCGGTACACGGAGGAAATGGCACGGCAGTACGACCCGTATTTTGCGGATTTCTGACGGCAGGACGTCCTTTGTTTTGTTCTTGTTTTTTAGTCTTGGCCTTGTTGCACAGTCCACGGCATAGGGTGCACCTGCACAGCTGGGGCTCGCGAGCGAGAGGGGAGGGGCGCAAGAGAAGATGGATTCTGCTTCAATGTACATGAGACGCCTCGTAAGAGGCTTGTAAAGAGGGCAACCACGAAGATTGGGGAAAAGCACGTAGGCATGTATTTTTTCATCTTTTTTCATCTTTTTTTTTTATTTGGGCATTCCTGGGAGGAGGAGGGGGGAGGCAGCATCACGTGTTGTGACGACACCGCAGCATTGTACGTATACGCAGGCAAGCAAAGCAAGCGTCGGCAGAGAGCGGCAGCATCGTAACTCACCGGCATGTTTCTTTTTCATTTTTTTTTTCATCACGGATCAACACTGCTCTGTAGTTAGTAATGACTGAAAACGACTCGACTGCCTGGTCCGAGAACAGAGAAGCATCGTGGCGTGCAAGCGTGCCTCGTACCTCGCCGAGCCACCGTTCCGCATCACCTCCATTACCAACTACACCTGTCTGTTCAACGGCAAATACCACACCCTCTATTCTCTAATGCCGTCGTCCGTCCGTCTTTGGGGAAATAAAAGAACAAAAACAAGATGAACAAGAGTAAAGAGTAAACGTAACGGGGCACGGCGGCCCCGGAACCCATCTATCGTGACGCCCACTCCAAAAGCACACGCCGGCAATCACGTCTGCCACAGCCACCAGACCGCCGCTCCGGCGGCCAGCAGCGTGGCCCACATCCAAGCGGCCTCCTTGGTGCTGCCCAGGAAGGCGCCCCATCCGACGAGCAGCTCCCACTGGCGGGCGACGCGGCGGCGCGACCAGGCCTCGGGGTCGACCTCGATGGGGAGCCGCACCCTGGGGTCCTGGGGGCCGGGCGGGCGCCCCGTCGACGAGGCCGGCGGCGGCGGCGGGGACAGCTCGTGCGGCGGGATCAGGGGAATCTCGACGCGCAGGTAGACGGGGCGGTGGTCGCTGCTCCTCATGAGCGGGAGGGCGTCGTAGGCGAGAACCCTCATCTCGGGGCCGTCGCCGCGCGACTTGACCCACGGCGGGAGGTCGAGGTATAGCACGCGGTCGGTCCAGCTGGGGTACCTGTGCTTGGCAAAGGTCCACGGGACCTCGGTCTCGTCGTGCTCCGACACGCCGTCCCCCCGGGGCTGGACGTCGTACTTGTAGGTGGGCGGGAAGCCGATGGGGTGCTCCGACAGGCCGTGCATGGTGCGGCCGGCGCGCCGCTCGCGGGCGAGCTGGTCCAGGGGCAGGAAGGCCGGGTAGTGGTTGGGCGAGGCGGGATCCAGGCTCGGGAAGACGGCGCCGGGCGGCGGGGGCGACGTCGATATCCTGTAGTTGAAGTCGCCGGCGACGAAGAGGTGGGACGAGGGCTTGAAGACGGAGATGTCGTGCATGGCCCTCTGGACCTGGGCGTGCTCCTCGTCGTGCACGTCGTGGAGGCGGAGGAGGCGGCGTCCTTGGGCGCCTCGGTGGTCGCTGCCGTCCGCCTCCCGCGCGTGCTCGGGGGTCCCGGCGGCTCGCCCGAGGCCCTTGAGGATGACCTCGGGATCGCCAAACGTCAGGCCGCGCACGAGGGCGGCCCAGTTTGCGTTGCGCCGGGCCAGATTCCACTCCATGGCGGCCAGATGCGCCGCCACAAAGGTCACCTGCGTGCACTTGGCGCCGGTGCCGTCGACGTCGTACAAGGCCCGTATGCCCACGGCTCCTTTATTGCCCATGTCGGCGGTGCCGAAGCCGACCTCGGCATGTTCCAGGTTGCGTATCCTGCCTGGGTCCCTGGCAAAGAGTAGTATCGCCGTGTACCCGACGTTGCGGGTCGTGACGAGCGTGTACGGGCGACGCTGGGGCTTGGGGGGCTCTGAACCGGACACGGTTTGCTCTGCCGGGACCAGGGGTTCTTCTTCTCCTTCTTCTTCTTCTTCTTCTTCTTCTTCTTCTTCTTCTTCTTCTTCTTCTTCTTCTTCTTCTTCTTCTTCTTCTTCTTCTTCTTCTTCTTCTTCTTCTTCTTCTTCTTCTTCTTCTTCTTCTTCTTCTTCTTCTTCTTCTTCTTCTTCTTCTTCTTCTTCTTCTTCTTCTTCTTCTTCTTCTTCTTCTTCTTCTTCTTCTTCTTCTTCTTCTTCTTCTTCTTCTTCTTCTTCTTCTTCTTCTTCTTCTTCTTCTTCTTCTTCTTCTTCTTCTTCTTCTTCTTCTTCTTCTTCTTCTTCTTCTTCTTCTTCTTCTTCTTCTTCTTCTTCTTCTTCTTCTTCTTCTTCTTCTTCTTCTTCTTCTTCTTCTTCTTCTTCTTCTTCTTCTTCTTCTTCTTCTTCTTCTTCTTCTTCTTCTTCTTCTTCTTCTTCTTCTTCTTCTTCTTCTTCTTCTTCTTCTTCTTCTTCTTCTTCTTCTTCTTCTTCTTCTTCTTCTTCTTCTTCTTCTTCTTCTTCTTCTTCTTCTTCTTCTTCTTCTTCTTCGCCGTCGAGCGTGCCTTCGGGCTCGGCTCGGCTGGCGGCGAGGTTCACGGCGTCGTCGAAGCGCGCAAAGTATTCGTCGAGGTAGTGCGAGCTGATGAAGGCCGAGCTCAGCGGCGCAACTTCCTGGAGAGCGCTGCGCAAGCCACTCGTGAGCTTCTGGCCGAGAGAGAGGAGGGAGAGAGACGGGGCGGCGGCTGGCTTACAAGACCACGACCTGTGGCAACGTCGTGGCATTGTTCGTGAGCGCGGTGTGCAGGTGGTTGGCGAGGACGTTGACGTTGACCAGCCTCTTCGCACAATTGAAGGTGAGCATCAGCAGATCCAGAGTCGAAGGCGCCATGGCTGCTTCTGTCGCTGAGCCGCGGGTGCTGCGCAGCTTGTCGTCGCGGGTGCTGGTGCTGGTGCTGGTGCTGGTGCTGGTGCTGGTGCTGGTGCCGGTGCCGGTGCCGGCAAAGGACGACGAGGCCACACGAAGCCGCGGGCTTTGGGGCTTTTGTCGACTCCTCGGTAGTTTGCTGTTGCTGCTGCTCTCCCGGGTGTCGGGCCCCAGGCAGCTTCTTACATCATGATTCAACACGGACAAAAAAAAAAAGGGAAAAGAAAAAAAAGCACGCAGCACGCACGCACGCACACACACACACACACACACAACGACTTCAACAGGTCAACAGTTCCAACCGCTCTCGATTCCCACCCGCCAGCTATCTTTTGACTTCAGCCACCGTCGCCGACTTCTCGACCTGCTCCCTGCTCCCAACGCATCGCCGCCACTCGGCGACCCAACGACTCGGTAACCCCTCCATCCCGCTTCCAGATGTCTTCGTCGCATCAACGTGCCCCCGTCGGCCAACGTCCTCCCTTTTTACCACGACACCAACCAATCTTCAGTCGACAGACCAACGCTCCGCCTCCGCGTCACCCCACCTTCTCACCTGGGCCTGTCATCGGTTCATGCCTCCATCGTCTCTGCCGCTCCCCCCCTCCCATGTGACCCAACTTCTGCACTCATTGAGGGACCCGAGGCGTCGCCCGTCGCCGCCTCACGCGACGTGCAAAACCGCCCTGTCGGCCTGTGACATCAAATCACGCCCGCCTCATGCGTTTCCCCCGCCTTCACCCCCTACACCCAATTTATTCAATTAATTCCGTCATTGTAAGGAAAAAAAAACAAGCACTCCATTGTTGAACACTATCTGATGTAATACTGGCTGGTACTTCTTGATTTCGTCATGTCTGCTTCATGCCCAGAGCGTCACCATTGGCCAGGCCTCATTCGGCGCACCAGAACAAGCTCCTGCACCAGACATGTATGTGTGCGACGCCTGCAAGCCCATTCGCAGGCAACACGAACCAGCTTCGCAAATCAAAATTAAAAGAGCCTATCCCCCAGACACTACCACCACGCATCCTGCGCTTGAGTTGATGCTGAACATGACATGCCTGATCATGCCCGGATGCCAGCACCGTCTCGTCCAAAATCATCGCAGGTCCAGTCGTCATAATACGTACAGTGGTACGGCCCATACACCAACCGCAGAGCAGGCGAGATCGATACGACCGTGCTAGGCGAGCTTCGTCGACTTGTCAAACTTCCCCAGAAGCCGCCTCGCGGTGCGGGACAAAAACCAGAATTCCAAAAACAAAAGTGTCGGGTGGAGAGCAGAACTCATGACCAAGGAAAGGTAGGAAATGCCAACTAAGCATGAAACGCAGCTGTACCGCAACGACTGTGGCTAGGGCCTGAAGTAAAATAAATTGGTCAAGGCTTCAAGTGTAGCGTCAAAGGGTGTTTTGCCGCTCCACGCATCTCCAATCGGCTGCAAGAGACAAATGTATCTGGTATGCGACGGCTGGCCACATACACAAGCCCCGAGGTTTGGCGGTCTGCGTTGGACAGAACACCTGGCATGCCGTTCAGATGCTGTTGTCGGAGAACAGCAAGTACTTCCACTTCATCGCCCAGGGATGAGTCCTGATCATCGAGGTGGAAGAACTGACTGCCAACGAAGAACGATCCGAGCCATGCGTGAAGTCGTGTACCCTACAATGCGTCGAAGAACGAAATATAGCAATGCGCGAATCATCAAAAACCAAAGCGAATAAAAAGTAAAGCAGTGACGGGTTTCCCGATGAAATTTCCCCATGACCTCGACTTTCCGCCTGCAAGTTTTGAGATTCGTGTTGGCGGCATAGAATAGACATGCTAGCCGCTTTGACTCATCGCATCTCTTGACGCAAGTAGTCCAACACGTCCGTCGATAGCTGAGGAATAGAATCAAGACATTCATGGCGGCGCCCAATTCGTCTGCGGTTTCAAAGCGGGAGTTCCCATACAAGGGCAAGTCAGTCGTGAGCCCACGTGCTATGGATCAAGTCGGGCGGTGGCTGCCAGAGGCATAAGCCGCTCCCTTGGAAGCAGAGCGAAGCCTGTTTATCGTCCACTGAGTCAGCCATAAATTGTCAGCACATTTTCCCTTTGGCCAGCGGTATCAAGTACAGTCAACGCGCGCAGGAAAATGACTCCTTACAAGAAAGAGAAGGTTGTCGTTAAGAGGCTGGGCTTGTTCTTTGTCACTCACATCCTGTCGCTTCCGCCAATGGCGCGGCTGGTATCCGGAGTGTCGACACCAGCACCTGATCCACGTTCGAGCATTTTACGTCGAGAGCTGGGGATGGCATTGGGCTTGGCGACACCGGACTGTCCGCCCGTAGCGGCATTGGTACGGGAAGCACGAGCTTTCTCGTCGTCTTCGGGGTTGGCCTGACCAGCAGCCTGGGCGATGGCCTGGGCATTCTTTTGGTACTTGTAGACGGTCCAGTCGAAGACGTAGTCGTATTGGAAGCCCTCACGAACAAAGAGGTCGCGGAAGATCTTGCGGAGATAACTGTAGTCAGGCTTGTCGTCAAACCGAAGGGAACGAGTGTAGTTCAAGTAAATGGCAAACTCGTTGGGGAAGCCACGGCACAACACCTCGGTGGGGGTTGTCATCTTCTTCTCCATGATGCGGTCGTACTTCTGCTTCTTGGTGGCGGCCTTGAGACCCTGCCAGGGGAGGGATCCACGGCAAAAGTAGAGCATGACATAGCCGAGAGATTCCATGTCGTCGCGGCGGGACTGCTCCACGCCCAAATGGGTGTTGATGGACGCATAGCGTGCAGTACCGGTCAAGTTCTTGTTCTCACGGTATGGGATGTGGAAATGGGTCTTGGGATCTCGGTACTTCTTGGCCAGGCCAAAGTCAATGACGTTTACTTGATTGCCCCGTTTACCAATGCCCATGAGGAAATTGTCCGGCTTGATATCACGATGGATAAAGGACTTGGCGTGAATGTACTCGATTCGGGAAATGAGTTGGTCGGCGAGCAGAAGGACCGTCTTGAGCGAGAATTTGCGGTTGCAGAAATTGAAAAGATCCTCCAAGCTGGGACCAAGAAGATCGAGTACCATGGCGTTGTAGTCGCACTCGGTACCAAACCAGCGAACAAACGGGATGCCGACACCTCCAGCGAGCGACTTGTAGACTCGAGCTTCATATTCAAGCTGGGGATGCTTGGCCTTGACGGATTCAAGTTTGATGGCAATCTCCTCTCCGGAGATGATGTTGGTGCCGAGGTAAATGTCACCAAACGAGCCTGAACCGATCTTTCGGCCGATGCGGTACTTGTTACCGACACGGAGATCCTGTCAAGAGAGAAAAAGTCAGCCCAAGCATTTGAACAACCGATGTCGGCAGACGACGGTAGCTGCATGGGGGCCCTTTTGGAGGTGCACCGTCATTTTGGGACACGGGTGTGTCGGGCGGCGGTGCAATTCGGAGATTGCCAGGGCTGCTTATCAAATAAAGGTCAAACAGGGGGCCATACCATCGTCGTCATTTTTCCGTAGTGGATAATACAACTCCTTTCCACGATGGAAGGAGGCAAATTGAGAGTGGTACAGTTTACCGCCCGCGTCGAAAGCGGTCTCGACAGTTCTGGGTCGGGTGCTGCTGGATTAAGCTGTGTCCACTCGGTTAGCAACTGATGAATGACAATGGCGTCCGGCGTCGGTGATCAATCGATGCAGGAGAAAAATGAAGATGAATGCTCCCAACACGAGTGACTTGCAGGCCTTCGGCGATGCCAAAGGGGAAAGAAGGGATGCGGGAGTGCTGAGGTGAAGGACCCGAAGGGGGGCCGGGCGAAGTTTGGTGCACCTCAGACATAAGCCTTGGGTCACGACGGACACGGGCGGGCCGACAGGCAAGAGTAGCGAGTCGGTCAGCAACTCGGCCGCCAACTACCGCCTCGCTTGCGGTGGACCCCAAGGACAAGGTGAAAAAAGGGAGCGGGAGGAAGACGAGCAAAAAGCGCAGCTACTGCGTTGAGGCAACAAAAATGAATTGGCGATGAAAACAGTCCCTGAGGACTGCAGACGTGGCCCGCCTCTGATACTGTGCATGACTTACCAATGCACCAACTTGTATTCAGCAGTAGAGGCGGTCAGAGAAGGGCGGGTGCGGTCTGGTGTGCCACGAGTTTTGTCTGGCTTTGCCGCTTGGGTGGCGGTGACCGAAGGGGCGTGGAGGCGAAGAGTTGATCGGGACAGGCGTGGACGAGGGGATGACGACAACAAGCGAAAAGGGGAGGAAACTTGGTCGACGGTCGAGATGTCGATGGCGGAAACTGGACTCGAGGCTCGGAATCCGCGGATGGTTCAGTCGTTTACCAGACAAGAGCTGGCAGTTGACGGTGGGGTGGTGGTGGTGGTTGGAGGAGATGGAGAAGGAGGAAGAGAAAAATGGTCGAGAGTCCCGGCGGGAAAGGGAGAAGGACGACGTCTAGGGGGGGAGAGTCTGGTGAAAAGCACCGCCCGGGGGGAGGGGGGGCAAAGGGATGGCCTGGATGGGCGGGCTCCAGGGGCCTAGCGGTGGGCGAGGCGAGGCAACTTGGCACTTGTTGAATGCTCGAGGCGGGGAGGCGAGAAAGGGTCAGCGACGGGGCACGCCGTTTGACACCTTGGGCCAACCCAGCCATGTTTGACGCCCATGCCTTAAGTACCCTGGCACTCCGGACTTGGTAGGCCTCACGGTGAGCGTGCGGTAAAGATTGCATGATCAAAAGAAACCAGAGCTCCAAGGGCGCAAGGGCGCGCCCCCGGCCCGGCCGCGCGGGTGGCAGGCAGCTGGGCGCTCACTGGTGCCACAAAAGACAAAAGAGACATGCAGTGCAGTTTGACGGCAAGCCACGCCCCGAGTCCGGACATCAGCCTGCCTGAAGTCTGGACGAGGACCGCTGACACCGCTGACCAGACAGCAGCTGGGAAGACCTGGCCCGGGTGCCGCTTTTGGGGTGGCGGGAAGGCTAGAGTCTCTTGGGGCTGGTACGGAGCACGGAGTAGGGAGCACAGTGCTGCGGCCGATTCGCTTCAGGTGCTGACTCAAGTACTCAAGCGCTTGACGCAGGTGCCCAGGCAGGTACGCAGGTGCCTTTGGTGCTCCGTGCGTACCTGTACGGCGAGCATTACCTGGCCAGGTACCAGGTGCTTAGCTAGCACTCCGTACCAGTCTCGACCGTTCAAACCTGGCCCAGACCGCCTGGCCGGGCGCATGGATGCCTGCTCCGTCCTCCACCATCAAATCATCAACTTCATGGCTGGCCGGCTTGTCAATCAAACTTCCCCTCTGCAGCCCAGCAGCCGTGTTCAGTCGAGCGGCCCGCCGCAATCAATCTCGAACCAAAACATCCATCCATCCATACGGAGGACTGCTCGTATCTGTCATGTACTCCAGTCGCTCCGATGCGTGCCTTGCTTGCCCTGCCCACGTCAGACTGACTCGCTCGACGCGGCTGGTACGACGCGGCAAGTAGTTAATAAGTGTCCAAGAGTCGTCGAGGCATCAGACAGCAAGGTGCGGAGTACTCCCTCAAGTGAGACGGTGGTATTCAGAGTGCCGCTCACCAAGTATAAATCTACTTAGATTCGTCAGGCGCGTCGAGCACGTCAGGCACGTCCAGCGAATAGGTCGCCCTCCGGTTCATGTAGTCTGTGCCCGAGTCATCACCAAACCCAGAGACGGAGAGATGGAGCCTTTGTTGGGAGAGGAAAAAATCGCCAAGGAGAGAGACATGTTCGCCCGAGAGAGAGACGGAGAGACGGGGAGTGTGTGGCGGCCCAAGTGTGGAGATGACGAGGCGCTCTGCCCGTTGCCCGTTTCGCCCTCGAGAACGCGCCCAACGTCGTCATCGTTGGGCGGCGGTGCGGTGCGGTGCGGTGTAGATGCCCTCGTGCCAAAGTGCTCCCCCGACTCCGTTCCGTCTTCAGGACAGAGTGCTGCAAGATACGGAGATGGGACAGGCACCACCACCGTCAGGACAGAGTGCTGCAAGATACGGAGATGGGACAGGCCCCCGGTGGGGGTGCTATCCTTGACACCCGGCCGGGTCTCGAGACAAAAGGCCCAAGATGACGCGCCAACCCGACGCACGGGAGCGCGGCAACGGTGCTAATCTGAAGCCGAAACCAGCTTGGCCATACGACAGTGGACAGAGTGGGCGACGGACAATGTGCTCGCGTGGGTGCGACCAGATAAAGCAGCTGTCAATGCCAATGCGACCAACTCTCGTCAAACGGCGCCGCCCTTGCAAAGGCATGAATGACAGACATGACATGACCGACGTTGGGCTCCCGATGGAGCCGATATCAGGCGTTGCAGCAGGACGCCCCCCCGCGGTTTCCGCCGTCCGTACATGTGTTTTATTGCCGTGGCAGCCAGGCAGCCCGGCTGTGCTTGAAGAGTACTCCAGTAGGCAGTTACTCCGTACTCGGCAAAGTATTACCGCCCGCGGCATGGATGAGCGTCTACGGTCTGACCAATCTCGGGCCCCGGATCTAGTTTCGTTCCAAGGAACAAGAACAAAAGAACAAAAAAAGGTAGTACTACCCCATCGCAGGAGTTCCTCTGTCCCGAGTCCCGAGGCTAATAAACAGCGTCATCACTTGCCCCGTCTTCATCCTGATTCCTAATTGTGCCCAAGCCAATCAAGCCAGCCAAAAGGTCGGTGCTCGCTTGCCTGCTGTCCCAGACATGGCATTCAGCAAAGAACATGAAAAGAAAGAAGAGAAAACACAATCAGTCAATCAGTCAATAAGTCAATCAAAGGACGTCCATCTAATTTTAACAGGCAGGCCTAGGAGGAAGAATGCGGCTCAACAGTGTCACCACGGTCCACGACGCCCGAAGCACCAGGCTTGTCCAGCCAAGGTAACCACTTCGTGGTTGTGTTCGGACCCCCGAGTGCTCAAGTAAGGAGATAGTAGTTCCTCTACAGGCACTGGGCACCTCAACTTTGTGGTAGCTGTATTCGCACCACCGACAGCTCAAGTACTCAAGTAGATTGTAGTTCCTCCTGCTTAGGTACCAAATACCTTCATAGTAGTTGCATTCGCACCAAGTGCAAGTACCAAGACTAGGTGAGGACAAGTAGGGCAGCAGAACCACGCACGCAAGGCACTCCCAACTTCCAAGCGCCCCGTTCCGCCATAAAAAAGAATATCGTACATTTACATAGACAGGGCACCCGGGTCCCGGCCGCTCCAAATCAACGCACAACAAGTAAAACGCGCCAGGCTTAAAGAACCAACCGCCCAGTCTCTTCACGGCCGGCCCCTCCACCCCGGGGGAGGAGGAGGAGGAGGAGGATGAGGAGGGTGCCACGCCGGTCCCCATGTCCCGGGAGCGCACCCATACCCCGGCGACGGCATCACTCCTGTCTGCGGTCCATGGGGATACGCCTGCGGCGGCAGGCCCGTCGTGTACGCGGGTCGGTACGCAGGGCCCTGGGGACCCTGGAGGACAGAGTCGAGCTTGCTCTCGAGGGCCTGGCTCGTCCTACCGAGCCACTTGCGTGCAGAGCTTGCGCTGAAGAGGGACGTGCTGGACGTGCCGCCGCCGAGGGGGCGGGGCGGATGCGGCGGCGGCATCGGGCTATAGTGAGTCCTCGGCGGCGGCGGCAAGCTGGTCGCGTTCAAGGGCCCGCCGCCAAATCCGCTGTACGGGACGTTTGGTCGTCGTGGCGGTAACGGCGGCGGGGAGGGCTTCCCCCCTGGCAGCGGTGGGTTTTGCTGACCCGTGTTTGCCGTGTACATCGGCTGATTCCGGGAGGGAGACGGCGGAGACGGCGGAGATGGCGAGTATGGGGAATGTTGTTGACTTTGCCATGTTGTTGTTGGCTGGAAGTCGGGTCGTCCTCCTGATCCGGGGAACGTGTATGCCGGCGGTGGGGACAGGGGCGTGTATCCGATGCGTGATGATGGCGACGGTGAGGGTGATGGCGCATACGTACTTTGCTGCGTCTTGTGCGATGGTGCTGGAGAAGGTGGTATTCCCGCCGATGGCGTAACGGGTGTCATTCCAAGCACGCCAGGCGATGGCTGAGCGAGTGGCGCTCGGGCGTGTACCGTGGCTGCAGGCGGAGGTGACTGCGGTCGGGAAGTCATCGTTGCCGGAGGCAGGGCTGCATCATATGCCGCCGGGCCTTGTGTTGACGATGTAGGGGAAATATGCTTTGGTGGTGGTGGTGGTGGTGGTGGTGGTGGTGGTGGTGGTGAGTGCGGTCTGATACAGGGAGCCTTTCCGGCAGTCTTGTCCTCTGCATCCGGTACAACGGTTGGTCCCTGGGTTGGGAGACTTGTCGGTTGTTGGGAGTCGGGGCTAAACGGCATATAAAAGTGATGTGGTGCCGCACCCAGGAGCGGCGGGCAGTGCGGCTTGATATCGGGTGGACGGGAGACTCGTAGAGGTGACGGATACGGAGACGGATACGGAGACGAATGCGGTGCCACCTGACCTGGTTTCGCTGCCTCTTGTCTCCCGGGGCGCTTCAGCGATTCCTGTAAAGACGCTCTGGCAGAGCCGCCGTCGGGGGTACTCGAAGACGGCTCCTTCTCAAGGCGTCGCTGCTGAGCCTGCGGGTATATCGTCGCGCTGGGTGCGTCGTCCCCCGAGGCAGGGCCATGATACGGCCACGGATCCGCCTGTTGGAGCTCTTCCTCGTCCTCGTCCTCGTCCGGTGGTGCACTGCCGCCAGGAGCTTTGAACTCTTGGTCCAAGTAAAACGGCCAAGGGTTCGCCTGCACATTCTCGCCTAGCTCGGTCGTCCTCGGCGGCCTGCGTTTCCGTTGGTCGCTTGTCACCCGCACCGGGGCCGCTTCTCCCGTCATCTCGAAGGCAAGCCCGCCATCGGGCGAGGAGACCGAGCCATGGACAGGCGACGTGTCGAGCTCGGCGACGAATAGCGGCGGTGGGAAGCTTCCCTCGCCGCGGCGGTGAGCCATCTCTCGGGGCGGGTGTGGGCTGCCGCGAATCCGATCAGATTCTTTTTTTTTCCCCTTCAGTCTGTTCGTTTGGATTGTCGGCTATGGCTGCAGCCTGACGGCTACGTTCTCAGTCGGGTGATGTGGATGGGGATGGTTTGTTCCGCTGGCGGCGGCGTCGTTTGTTTCAACGCTTGGGCTGCCAAGGAACTCGGCCTCGCAAAACATCCGTCTTCTGTCTGGCTTTCGTCGAGTGTCGGAAGCGTTAGTCGGGGGGTTTTCCTGCCATGGCAGCGAGACAGGTCTGCCAGAGCCGTGACGGGACGTTGGGCAGGAGAAGGCGCAGCGACGAGGTTCGCGCCATGACACGTGGTGCTCTGCATCAAGAACTTCTTGATAAAGCAGTTGCCAGACGCATCGTACTTGGAGTGCCTACCGTACTTTAGTAGTTACTCCCCGCGCTCGCTAGTGCCGTGTCCTTGTCGACGACGGGCCGCGCTTGCAGGCCAGGCCGTGTGGAGGGTCGAGATTCACCTTCTGCAATAAATGCGACACAAGCGTCTTCACACTGCACTGTCCTGCATATGTAACCACTTTATTATGAAATAAAAATAATTAATGTCACTTTCAGCACCCGTAAAGAGCAACTTGGCCATCCCAGCACGCAAATCCCGCCCGATATATACACTCAATCACCTCCTTTTTTTTTTTTTTTTGCCCCCTTCACTCTCACCTCTACATACCAGGTAGTTAGAACCAGCCAGTCCTTGTACTCAGGAAAACATCCCACCATGTAAAATGTCAAAGAAATAGACGCACTTCTTTCGCTGGCGGCAATGCGACTCCTCTTCGCGGTGCCGGCTCGAGAATCGCAGAACAAATTGCATCATCTATATTGCCATAAAGTGGATTCCATGCCAAGGCGACGAGCACTGAGCAAACCAGGAGCAATGAACGAAACCACAATAGCCAAACAAGAGAGCACGCACAGGCTCGAACACGTGCCAAGACGAGAAAGGCTGTCGTCTGAACCAAGAAAGAATTGGACACTTGTGCTTGCAAAGCAGCTAAAAAGAGAGAGACAGACAGAGAATCCAGCAGTCTAAAGGGGAAAAACAGAGGGCGCAACGACAGACGAGTAACCGATGGAAAAATCATTCATCGCTGCTGGCATCTCCACGTCGTCTTCTGTCGGTCCACCGCCGTTTGCCGGCCCGTGTCTCATAGTGAGGTGCTATGGCTGTTACGTCCTGCATCGTGCCTTCAATTGCGGTTTTTATTTTACCTCGGTATGTGTCCACTATTCAGAGACAATGTTAGTCGCGTGCATCTCGTTGCAATACCAGCAAGCCGGCCCTTCCACGTCATGGGGTACTCACGCGCTCGCTGCAGAAACACAGTCCGGCCAGCAAACACACGGCTTTGGAGCCATGCCATTCGATAGGCCAAGTCGTTTAATTTTATCTCCTTCCCGCGATATGACTTCCTCATCCTCGGCACGGCAACCTCGCCGTCCTCGCCCTCGGCCATGTTGACCTTGACCGCTTGGCTGCTTGATTTAGTTGTTCCCCGCCGACCAAGCTCCCGGCCTTCAGTCTCCTGAATTCCGTCATCAGACAGGTCTTCGGTGAAAAATTGAGTGCCAGTCGCGCTCGGGGGAGGACTTTGCATTTCACGCGGAAAGTAGCTTCGAGGGAATACGCTGGCCCCTTTTCGGAAGCTGTCAGGAATCTCATTGGTGTCCACGCCATCAAGAGTAACTCGAACTCTGAGTCTCGAACCCCGCATGTTGTCGTCCACAAGGATGAACTTTCGCTTCTTCGCCTCGGGAACATCAGGGAAGAGGCCCTCCGGTTCGTGATTACCTCGACTGTGCGATCGTGCGGGCATGGCAGTACTGCCGCCTGCTCGAGGAGCCATGTGAGACATTGGCCCGCCCTGAGCACTGGTAGGGTAGCCTTGGCCAACATAACCAGTGAACACGTGCGCAGGTCTCACATCATCTCCGCCGTGATGCCCCTGGCCGGTTGCACCTGCGTGATGATGGTGTTGGTCTTCGTAAGCAGTGCCGTGACCTCATCAGTGTCAAGTTAGCCAAGAGTTCTGTCCATCGAGGTTGAAAGTGAGGCGAAAAAATGTCTTGGAAAATGAGTCGGGGGACAAGCATGCAAATCGACATCGACAACAAAACAAGGCTTTTTGCTTCTTTTCTTGCTTTGCTTCTCGTTTTTCTCGTCTCGTCTAATGCATGAACCAACTTTTTTGGTGGCATTTCGACTGCCTGCACAGGAATAACTTTAATAGCCAAAAACAGGCACAGATTGAGCTCGTCTAAAAGTCGCATAAAAACAAGCAGCATCCATGATGCGGGAGCTTTGACAGCAGCGCAACTTGATGCAACTATGATAATGTACAGGAAGTTCTTCGGCGTCTTGGTCGGTCTCAAAGAGAAACAAAAGCTCCTGTGAGCATGGACAGCAGCTTCTCTTTCCACACTCAACGCATTCGGGTCGTGAGGCAACTCTGGCCGACATCAAAGACCGTCATGCTACATATATATGACAAACAAAAAGAGTAAAGGGGACAGGAAATGGCGGGAGGCAACGACAGAAAATGTTACAAATCCGTTCCCAGAAAGAATTTGGCAAAATGAGAAGTAAAAAAAAGAAAAAGAAAAAGAAAAAAAACAACGAAAAGTCAACAAGACATGCTTGCCGCACAGCATGAGTGGGCGAGACACGCGACCAAGGAAATTTGCCCACGAGGGCTCACATTTTGTCGAAAGCGCAAGCAACTTTTTTTGCGGCAATAGATGACGGAGTAAAAGGAGTTGGTATCATGGACAAATCAACGCAACAATGAGTCGGGCAAGCTCGTACAGTGCCGTTGAGGTGCTAAGAGGCAAGCGAAACAAGCAACGCAAAGGCAGCAGATGCGAGGGTTCTGACTGAAATTACATCTGGTTGAACATACCGACTTCGTCTCCTCCGCCTGGGGCGGTTCCGTCATGAGCCCCAGCGTGATGGTGCAAAGGCTGCCCCAGGCTGCCCAAGCCAGGCTTGCCCATGGATGGCGCCCCATGCCCCATGGTGGCGGGTGCCGACGGCATCCCTGATGGTCCGCCGGGTCCAGGCAGATGAGTTGCGCCTGGGTGAGTAGTGGGTGCTCCCTGAACCTTGCGGTTGTTCATCTTGGCCATGCGGCGAACTCGTCGACTTCGGAGGCGCGGGTCTTGATTGCTATTTCGCCAACTGTCAACTGCTCTTTGGATCAAGCCTCGCTTCCCACGCAGCGGAGGGTTGAGCTGTGCCAGAGCCCACCCAACGCGGTTGCAGTCAGTCTCGTACATGAGCCGATTTCCACGGTATTGGTCCTTGGGGCAGCAGGCCCGGGGGTAGACGCAGTTCTCCTGTTTGAATTCGGGAGAGAGCTCGTCGGTGTTTACCGACTCAACGTCGCATCGGATGGTGTATTCCATCTTGACCCGGTCTCGAGAGTATTCAAACGCAATCCACTGGACACCATTGCCGTCCTGTCTCACAACCAGCGGAGTAGTCGCGGGAATGGGTCCTGGCGCAGCATTAGGGTTGACACCAGGTGCAGTATTCCCCGGGCTCTGCAGCTGCGGTGCGTTGGGCTGATGCTGTGCCTGCGGCATAGGTGAAGTCTGCGCCTGCTTCTGGAGCTGAACAGGAACCTGCGGCTCAATCTTGGACCGGGGGCTTCCCGTCATGCCCGCCTGCGCGTGCTGCGCTGCGTGCTGGGCCATCTGGTTCTGCGGCGCGGTATGCGACATCATCATGTTGGGCTGAGAGGTCATGGATTGTTGCGGGTGATGAGGATGCTGAGCGTGTTGTGCGTAGGGCGACGCGCTGGGATGATGAGGCATTGGCTGGTAATGCGACTGAGGTTGGTAGTACATGGATTGCTGAAGATGCTGCGACGGCGGCTGGCCGTACAGACTTCTGTGCTGGTCATGTTGCGAGGGAGAGGCGACAGATGCTGGAGAGTTGGATTGCGGCGTATGATAGGACATGGGGGGGTAGGGAGGTCGAGGCATTTGGGCGGCGGCCATCATGTCGGGAGTGTCTATACGGCGCAGAACGCTTCGTGTCAGCCATGTGCACCAACGGCGATAGTGGGTGACACTTTTTTGTTGTTGTCGTGTTCGGTCAAGACACGTCGGTCCCAACAAGAGGACTTCCGAGCCGAGCAACAAATCAGCGGGAAACATGCAGGCAACGTACCGGCGGATGTGTATCCGCTGTTAGCACCCGGCGTGCTGTAGGGACTCGGATGACTGTAGTAGCCCAGGTTGTCTTGAGCGCCGGCTGCCTGGCTGCCGGCTTGGTAGGCTTGCGGTAGGGAGTGAGTCGACGAGTACGCACTCTGTTGGTGTTGCGGCGGCGGCGGCGGCGGCGGCAGCGACTGGTGGCCTTGGTGCTGGCCCTGGTGCTGCGCGTTGGCTTGAGGGTGATGCTGCTGATGAACTACGCTCGACGGTCGTGGGTGATGCAGATGATGGGAAGAAGGCGGACCCTGTTGCTGGTGGTGGGGATGATGCTGCATAGAGGCAATACCAATCAGTAAGACATCGACGGGAAAGGATTACTTGAACAGGTGAAGAAAACAAGCTCGGGCTGGGCGAGGTGGTGTTTTATTGCCCCCTGGCTGGTGTCATGGTCTGGGGAGAGCTGTGGTGGAGTGGGCCGCTGGCCCCTGGTGAGCAGACTGGGATAGAACGGGTGAGGCGTGCCAGGCCCAGGAGGACAAGGCCAGGCAGGACAACGCTGATGAAGCAACCCTGCTGCTGCCGCTGCCGCTGCTCCTCGCTCCTCGCTCGCTTGAGACCAGGTCTTGGTGGTGGCAACGGAGCCAGCCAGGACAGGCAAGATATATAGTGTACAAACAGCTGTGACTTGACGAACCGCTGACTTTAGACGGAGCGCCGATCCAGGCCGAGTACCTGCCACTTCAATGGGCCTCTGCATCGCGGGAACATATTAAAGAAACATATGCCCGCGAGCCCAGGACAATGTGGCGAATGCGAGGGGAATCAAGGCCACACCCAGGACCTCAACTGGGCCGTGATGTGCAGAGCGACGACCGGGCAGAACAGGAAATACAGATGAAAGAAAGAGCGCGCGCGCCGAGCAGTGCTTAGGGAAAACAGGAGCATGGAGTATGGGCTGACCATGTATGTACCGCCGCCTTATTTTCTTCTTTGGTTCTGTGCAAATCCGCTACTTCAGCGAGCAGGAGTCCCAACGTGTCAATGGAAAATGCGACGGCGGGTGGATGGTCGCGCAGCGCGAGCCTGTTCAGCAACGACGACGTCGCCAACTGCTTGTTGCAACGAGACAGGCGAGGCACCCGGGAATATCACGTCAAGGATCGAGCGACGCAGGCTTCAGAGCTATCCAAGCGAGCACTTTGTCCGGACCATCCAAGGAAGGGGCCAAAAAAAAAAAAAAAAAAAAAAAAAAAAAAAAAGGGGATCGCAGGGACCAAAATTGGAGAGGAAGAGCTCCAGTCAAGAACGAAGACAAGAAGGTTCCATATGCCTTTTTTGACTTGGGCAGCTGGGCCCCATAACGGCTAGGAGAAGGGGGGGGGTGGCGTGCGTTGAGATTGCTCGGGGGCGCGGACAAGGGGTCGGGGAGGGTGGTGGGATAACAAGAGCGCTTTTGCAACTGTGGAAAGCGACCAGGAATGGCCAGCGCATGGAAGAAACGTGACAGGGGGTTGCGGCTTTTGATTAATCGACCAATAGACGGAGCAGCCGGGGCGTCAGGGAGCGCCATGCATAGGCCATCCAAAGGGCCAGCTGCCCAATGGGGCATTGGAGAACCGGGCTAAAGAGCGGGCCAAGATTCAGCCGGGATTGGCTTTGGCTGCTCTGACTGGCTGCTTGGACCGGCTTCTGACTGGTGCAAACTTGGCTTCTTTCTTAACGACGCTGCGTGCTGCGTGCGTGTGCGTGTGTGCGTGCGGTGTGTGTGCGTGTGTGTGTGTGTGTGTCCAGGGGGGCGCTCCGTGTTCGTGGCCTTGCCTTGCCTTGCCTTGCCTTGCCTGGCCCGGCCCTGCCATGGTCTGCTTTGCTTGACTCTGTTTGCTTTGCCTCGTCGTTTTGTCCGGTGTCTGGCCCTTTGCCCGTAGTGATGGTCATTGCCGTGGTCACGTCATGCCAAGGTGTTGGAGCTGATGGTGGTGGGAGTGCACTCGGCTGGTGGTGGCGTCGTCGCCTTTCGTCTCGCGCGCTCTCTCAATGTGAGCAAACGCTCAGTTTGGCCGGCACATTAACGCCGCCGCACTGCGCTGCGCTTCATTCTTTGCAAAGTGCAAAAGAGAGCCCACGAGCGGTGTGGTGGCAGCACCCGAGAGCCATGCAGGCAAACAGCATGCCGCCGTGGTCTGCGCACCACACCACCGCATATCCACACTTGTGCATTGCTTAGATGGTTGGAGGTTAAAAAGACGTTGGCGTAGATGGCGTTGTCGCTGACTCTGGGGCTTGGAAGGGGAAGGGGACAGGCCGTTCCCACTGATCCAGCCAAAGCCATGTCCCGTTGCCGCCCCTTGTTCACCACTAGAGAAGCGTTGACTACTCCTGGCAGCCCTTGATGTCGATTCTGTCGACAAGGACTAGGGCCATGGGAGGCCCTGCGCGCACGCGTCGGTTCTCCAGACAGGTCGCAACGGTCAACGGCCCCAGAGAGCGTGCGTGCGATTGCAGAAGACTTCTCTTGCCTGGACCTGGACCGACCTTTGTTCTCATCGGCCGAAATCTGGGGGGGGTTTCTAGCCCTGTTCACAACTCTTGCGTCCTTGTAGATGGCACGTCGTCACAGACCGCAACTCTCCCGCTACCGGCACCGCACTAACCCGCCGCCCGTCGTCTCTTTCGTCTCTTGGTGCAAAGAGGTCCTGTGTACTCCGATGGTGATGGTGCTGACGCCGGCGCCGGGTGCGCAGCGCAGCGCCATGACTGGCGAGACAATTGATCCAGACAGTGACTGACAGCGGTCCACTCGGCGCACCTCGCCCTTTTCGACAGCCACCGCCATTGTCCCACGACCCACCGGCTGTAAACGTTGATGCGCGACTGGCCGTGGGTGGCGACGTAGGGCGTTGGACGGCAGTGGTCAATCTCCACAAACTGAAGTCATATCCGCGTCGCTGCCCATCGCGGAAAAATAAGCGCGTTGTGCCAATCTAGTGCTTGACCGTTGCCTCACGAGCCAATCTTCTAGACCAGCCCGGAACCTTCGTCACGGTTTTCCACCGTCGGCGAGTCCCCAAGGCCTTCCGCTGAGGCCTCCGCGACGGGTCCCGGAAATGTCAAGCCGCCCAGGCCTTCGCGCCAAACTGGCCAAACTACCGCCAAAAGACACCTAGTCATTCGTCAAGGACATAGGGGGCGCGTACAAGAGCAGCGATGCTCCAGGCTGCCAAAGCAGCATATCAAGTGAGCAATGGCAGGAAGGCTGACGTGCCATGCGTCAACCCTCTTCCAGCTTTGGTCCTGCTGCTTTCTGTCTTGTACTCCGTACAATATTGTACAACAACCAGGGAGCCCGTACGGCATGGTCGTGGCACCCCCTCCCCGGTCCAGTGTGGCCACCCTAGTCAGTAGTGAAACAGGAGACGTCCTGCCGACCGAACCCACCGTCGAGTCCTGAGCCGGTCAACCTTGCGACTGGGCTCATTGGGTGCTTGGAACAACTCTCAAACTCATCGTCTTAAAAAGCTAGAGATGTTTGGTTGTGGCTGTTCGTTCGTTGTCCCGTTTCAGCTATTGGGAAATCACGAGGACGCGTCACTTGAAGCATCTCGGACAGGAATAAAATGAGAAGGTGTTTCGTGGTCGCAATTATTGTTGGGGGCCGGAGACCTTTCCACACCAGTCATGGGAGAATGGTGTTGACCGAGACATGTGGCATTGGGGTAAAGTAGGCCGCTTGGCCACCCAATACAAGATGTTTGAGGTGCAAATAAAATAGGTAACTTACAACATCAGAGACTGTTTCGTCCTTGAATTGGCCGCGACCTTGAGGATGTGAAGCCATTGTTACCGTCATGGAGGCCAAGGGGGTATGATGCTGCGGGCAATATCAAACTGTCAGTTCACTCTTGATCTCATCAATGTCAGTTGACACTCGGCCTTGCAGGCAAGGCTCGCCTAGTCAAGACTGCCGCTCCGATGAGCAAAAATTATGCAGTGGTGACGAGAGCAAGAGGCGCGGCTGACATGGTCTGTCTGCTCCTCGATCATTTGCACAAGTCCGATAAGCGGGACGGCCTTGCCGACCATTGGGCAACTTGGTGAAGACACACTTACCAGTGAGCACTATCAAGTCTTGACAGCACAGACGTTGTGCAGAGCAGCAAGCTGCGCGACAAGGTACAGCTCGTCTGCTGGTCTGTCCTGAATCAGGACCCCGAGTATGAAGCAGAGACCACCTTTATCATGACATATCGTTAGCAAAAATTATTGAAAAAAAAATGCATTTCTTCTTTTTCTTGAAAAAAAAAAATCCTTGGTGGAGGGCTGTGCATTCCATCTTTCTCCGAACCTGGTGAGGCGCAAAACAGCTCAGGCAATATCACGTTTGGGAGCTGCGGGCTTCAACGCGTCCAAAGCACAGTCCGGCTGGAAAGCGTCGATGACCTTCAGGCGCACGCACGTACCTGTAGGCTTTCCCGAGGCTTTGATGCCAGGAATATAGCGGTGAGCTGCAGAACTAGTCAAAGGGTTGGTCTCGTGAGAGAAGACAGGGTTCTGCCTGTTTGTCAAACCCTTCGCCACGTGTGTGGGTGCAGATGAGATGTAGGAGCTAGATCCGCGCAAGATTGTACGTTGTCTGCATTCACATACATCTTAGCCAGTGAATGGAGACAATGGCAAATGGGTTCGGTAGGCACTGAAAATAGACAGAGAACGAAGGGGGAATGAAAAGAGGTCGCAGACACTTGAACGCGTCCATCTGCTCATCGGTCACAGCACAATATGCTGCAGAGCAACTGTGAGTTCATGCACGTCGCCCTCGAGTCCGCGGGTGCGACTTCGTAACCCGGCACACAAACTCCGTAATAATATCGGAAGCACATACATACCTACCTTTGACAGGGGATCTCGAATGCCGAAAGTCTGGTAATCGTATCTGTCCAGAAATAATATCCAATGCAAGGAAACCCGGGGGGGGGATGTTTCCCTTCAATGCCCAGCGAACGGTCTGATCTGATTCTGATCAGACAAAGAATGTTATTAGCAGTTGGTCTGAAGTGCATGACATGGGTGTCGAGGGACATTGATTGAGAGATGACAGGGGTAGCGCGCAATGGCAATATCTGAAGGGGGGGTATCTCGTGCCTGGCCCAGGGTACTCCGAGGAGAGGCTCCAGACAGCGACGGCCGCCATCCAACAACCCACCAACATGCGCACATGGTCGGTACTGAAAGAGGTGAGAGCAAATGGGTCGACGATTCCGACAAATCGGCACCGGTCCCAAGCTCGACGCCGAGACGGACACGACCAGGGGGGCAGTGGTGCTGCAAGGGTGGGGGG